CGCGACCACACCCAAATTTTGGAGCACATGGCATGCTTTTTTAATTAACAAAATGGCTGCATGCAGCTAAGATGGCTCGATCCAGCAGCCACAGTACCACTTTTTCCTTACTTGAAGAATGATCTGATGGGACATGGACCTGCGCATAGACTGTTGGAGTAGATTGGTGTAAGAATTATCCTTGTAGCACCAACTGATACTGAGATACACACCGACAACTGGATTGACAGGACTTGATGATGAAGAAGATGATGATGATGATGATGAAGATGAAAAAAGGTGGCTGAACAAAACGGCCGGTTCGCCGATTTTTGGCTTTTCTCTTAGACAGGGCCTAGAGCCACGCTATGGGTACCAATGGAGTCCTCTGGTCAAGATGAGGTCCTCTAAGAAGTCTGGTAAGCATAGGAGCTCGTTTTCCCGGTTTAGCAAGGCTGCAAAAGTCGTGGCAGCCATTTTGTTTGGGGGTGAATCCTACTTAGTAACGCTACCGCGTTACTAATTATAATACAGGGACTTTGGCCCAATATTAAGCAACTTAAAATTTGTAAAGAATTTAATTTTTATCCGATTTAATCTAATTCTAATCTGAGGGCTAATAGTAGCGAACTATGAGACATGATGTGAATATGAATAGGCCAGACAGACAGTCAGACAGACATACCCACCACATACACACACCACTCAGACACACAAAGAGATCGCACCATTAATATACATGTACATGTACATATAATGTGTACATGTAAATATAAATAATGTGTACATATGTACATGTACATGTACATATAAATAATATGTACATATGTACATGTACATGTACATATAAATAATATGTACATATGTACATATTATATGGACCCACCTCTCCTTTGACTATCAGCCATGCCACCTGAAGTCCTTCCAGTCCTTTGAAAGGAATCTCTGAAGTTAAAATCTCCCAGAGGACCACACTGTAAGAGAAGACATCACAAGCAGCTGTCACTCTCTCCTGCTTAATGACCTACAGAGAGAGGGAGGGAGGGACCACTGGTAGAACACAGCTGTAAAGTGCTAGTGCACAATTGAATTGCTGATCAGTGACATAAATTTGGAAGGACATGAACACAAAACAGTTTCCATATGCAGGCAATGAGACAATATTATTAGTAACGCGGTAGCGTTACTAAGTAGGATTCACTCCCAAACAAAATGGCTGCCACGACTTTTGCAGCCTTGCTATATAAAAACTAAAGGATCCAGCCTATTTCAGATACATGTACACACACACACACACACACACAAATAGACATCATTCCAAAGATTATATCAAATCATTACAAGTTACATAATATAGTCAATAATGACTGGAGGAGGCTGTGTGTCTGAGTATAACTTTGACTGTACAGTGAATATACCAAGAGTACATAATAGTTATCTACTCTTGATTACATCATTATAAACTACATGCATACTATTGATTATAAGTAATACAGTATTACACTGTATTAGTATACTATTGATTATATGTAATACAGTATTAGACTGTATTATATACTATTGATTATAAGTAATACAGTATTACACTGTATTAGTATACTATTGATTATATGTAATACAGTATTACACTGTATTAGTATACTATTGATTATATGTAATACAGTATTACACTGTATTAGTATACTATTGATTATATGTAATACAGTATTAGACTGTATTAGTATACTATTGATTATATGTAATACAGTATTAGACTGTATTAGTATACTATTGATTATATGTAATACAGTATTAGACTGTATTAGTATACTATTGATTATATGTAATACAGTATTAGACTGTATTAGTATACTATTGATTATATGTAATACAGTATTAGACTGTATTAGTATACTATTGATTATATGTAATACAGTATTACACTGTATTAGTATACTATTGATTATAAGTAATACAGTATTACACTGTATTAGTATACTATTGATTATATGTAATACAGTATTAGACTGTATTAGTATACTATTGATTATATGTAATACAGTATTAGACTGTATTAGTATACTATTGATTATAAGTAATACAGTATTAGACTGTATTAGTATACTATTGATTATAAGTAATACAGTATTAGACTGTAATATACATGTATATACTGTTAGTCTTACTTCTGGGGCCATCCATGGGAAAGTGCCAACCAGAGACATCTGAGTAGTGTGTTTGTGGAACTTTGATGACCCAAAATCACATATCTACACACAAAGAGAGAAAAACAACCATTAATAAAGTAAAGGAATGCACTATTGCTGTAGCAGTATGTGTTTACACTTGAAGGAATAATTAAGAACAGGTAACACTACCAGTGGAAAGAGCGAAAGAATTTGTTGTTGCACTCTAAGAATCATTATTGTACAGCTGGTAATTTTGGAGGGAGATTTTGGAAAATTGGCCAAAAATAAACCTGTAATTTTGAACAATTATGCCACGCATAAAAGCAGTTCAAAATGGCTTAAATTAGAAAATGTCCAATTTTCAACCGACTAAAAAGCTGCAGCTGCTACTAGTTCATGTCACGTTACCTTGGCAGTAAGATCTTGAGCAATGACAACTGTAACAAAAAGATTATGTAATAAACAATTTAAATAAATAATAACGTACCATTTCTTGACTTTAAATCTCTATGTATCACTGGAATGGGAGCCTCAAAATGCAAATAATTCATTCCTGTACCAGAACGAGAATAATTATGTTTATTTCTAGCTGGCCCCTCCCTTAGCCACGCCCCTCATTTCCTCACCCATTGCTATCTGCTTGGCCCATAGCCTGATCTGATTAAAGTCAATGGTATTACTTCTCAAATATTCGTAGAGCGATCCTAATTCGGCATATTCTACAGCAAAATACATTCATAACTAGCTCCTCCCCCAGCCCGCCCTCACCAGTCACCAGGCAGTAGTTTGGTTTTGTGATTACGGCACCAAAGAACTGGACAACGTTTCTGTGACTCAAGGAGCTCAGGACCTCAGCCTTTAAAAGTATCGTTATCATAATGTATCATTTGCTATTGGAGCCTCTTGTACCTCTTTCTCTAGCTCCAGGAGCTTCTTGACTGCCACTATCTTATCCTTGCTCTTCCATTTTGCTCTGTAGACTGATCCAGCTGCCCCGCCGCCCAGTTTCTCGTAAAACTCCAAGTCCAAGAAGCTAATTTCAACGAAGGCCATTTTCTGTTGATTATTCCCGCCCCTGTTGGAGGTGTGGTAGTTCCATGGATACTGTCACGTGACCTGGGGCACTCCTGCATTCATTGATGGATGAGGATCAAGAGGAAACTCCAGCAGGAGATTCCTTTGACAAGACTGACGCCATTAGAGAGACACTGAGGAGCATAAGACAGACCCTCCAGTGTCCTATTTGGTGAGGAACGGAGTGCGGGTAATTTGGCGGCAAAACTGGTTAATTAATTTTATTGTCACGCCTCTTTTTTCAACGCCCACGCACAGTTTAGAGCAGTTGAAGAATCCATGCTTGACTCAATGCCTGCATCAATTCTGCAGGTAAAGCTGATTATAATTACACATTTTATATTATCAATATACATTAGAGAGTGTATTCAAACGGTCATATCAACTACAACAGCTGCAAATAAGCCAAAATGTCCGCTGTGCAAGGAACAAATTTGCAAACGGTTAGTAAATAAGAATAATTAATGGGATAATGAAAATCGTGTTATTTTTCTGTTATTTTTGTGAAGTGGTCTCACTGATAGCTCGAGAATGGAGGAAGTCATTTCAGCAATGAAAGACCTGGAAGCTGCACTGTTGATAGACACTGGACTAACATGTAAAGAGAGAGGGAAAGAGAGAAGTAGATTACAATAGTTTATGAAGTTATTTGGTGCGTTTGTTATTCTTGGTAAGATTGCCAGACCGAGAAAAAAGCAGCCAAGATTCTCAGCCAGTTATTTCCACCATTATTAATTGGATTTATAAGTTTGCATGCTCACCTGTCCTGGGGCCATTCAACCATGTCCTACTCCTGTTCAACTAATTTGTGATGATCTGCTTCGTGTATAATTGTTATCCTCCTAAATGAATCGGAAGCCAGATTTAAAAAAAATAATATTATAATTTTTTAAAACTCCTGTTTACTATCCTCTTGTTTTTATACGTGGTTATGATAGGCCATAGACTATAGAATACGTAATTATGTTATTATAATTATGTTATATATAATTATGAATTCTCTCTTGTTTTTATAGCTACTCCACCACCACCTGTTTCTCATTCCTCTCTACAAGCGGGCAACAGGGGAGGCGGTACCCCTGGGATTTTAATTCACTCTGTTTTACACCCAACACCTCAAAAACCAACAAGATAGCAGCAAGACTGACCTAATAGACATAAAGATGAGAGAGAGGGAGGAGGGTTGTAGGAGTGCTTGTGTGTTTGTATGTGATTTTACAGATGAATGGCTTGCTATGTTAAAAATTAATTGCACCAATTTCTGCACTCACTACATAAAAGGGTGGCTCCTAAGGATGCCGCCGTGTATTATGAAAATAACTTTCTCTAAGTGAGGTTTTGGTGGGGGAAACACTCTCTCCTTTTTTTTACTGATACTGAAGATGAGACTGGTCTTGTTATTGTATGTGGTTTTACTCGCTTGGGAAGTCGGTAAGGGAAAGATAATAAGTGTATGTGTGTGTTATATAGACGGCTAATCCAATTACATTATATTAGTGTATTGTTGCTAAGGGACCGGCAGAGAGAGGGAACGAGAGAGAGAGAGCAAGAAAGAATGCCTATGTTTACCTTAGTCTACGTGTCTCTTTTCTTCTATTCTTTCTTCTCTCCTGTCCTCGCAGAAAACCTGACGTGCACTTGCAATATTTGTGGTGACCATACAATTTGTGTTGTGGACTCTGTCAACAGTCACTGTTATGCCAAGACCTTCGTTAAAGGCAACGAGACAATAATAGGAAAGGGCTGCTACAGCGACACTGAAAGCACTATGTTTTGTAACACCTCAAGCAGCAGCTGGGCCACTGAGTGTTGCTCCAATCATTTCTGTAACGCTCGCCTTCGACCAGAGCTGCCCATCACTAATAGCACTACAGAAGTATCCATAAAACCAAATCTCACTGGACCTTTCCCTGGCCCTTTTCCTGGCCCTACCACTGAAGAGCCTACAGAAAGTAAGGAAGAGTGAGGAGAGAGAGAGAAAATGATGAATGACCATGTACTGTTGAAATACAATACCAATAAGACACAATGCACATATTTTGACTGTCTCTTTCTCTCTTACTAGATTTGCCTATCAAATGTCTCAAATACAATTCAAGAAAGCCTTTAAGAGGCAATCGTGAATGCTTCACTGCCATTGGTAGCTGCTACCGACTTCAGAGACTGGACCCTGTTAATAAAACTGTGCTATATTGGAAGTATGGATGCATGGTCAACTGTAGCAATGAAACCCGAAGGAGGGCCATCTTAGAGTGCTGTAACACTTCATCATGTAATAATGATACACAACATCTGCCTGAAGAACCACCAGCACCAATCACCAAAACACACATTCGAACCGCCTCTTCTACAGCAACGACAGCTGCATCTTCCACTGCATCTAGTACAAGACACAATGTCGTATCAACTACTCTACTATCCCCAACCAGTACTGAACTATCTCATTCTCATTCTACTACATCAAGAACTAACATTCACAGTCCGACACCAATCATAACAAACAGTGGTAAGTTAGGCCTCAGACCTGCATCACTTGTGTACTATTATTGATTTATGTTGCATGTGCATCACATGACGTTATTACATAAAATGTGAAAATGCTAATGTCACATTCCGTCTTTATCCCTTTCTAGGCGAAGTCATTACAATAGTAAAAGACTCAGAATCTGACTCTTTCTCCTTCATCCTTGTACCACTCTGTATTGTCTATCTCTTTGTGACGATACTTGTTGTTTCTCTCGTCGCTGTGATCTGCTACAAACAGAGACAGATAAGGAGACTAGAGACTACAGTGAGGGTCATGAAAGTGACACAGAAACAATCTCACAGTGGCTCAATGAGCAATGAAAGAACTAACAGTACAAATAATGATGGTAGTACATCAGTATGACATAAACTTATTCATGTTAACAAAATGTACAGTACAGGCAATAATGACATCAATCAATCAATATACATGGTACCTAATCCATCTATTTTATATTTATGACCAATCTATCACTTCCCTCACTTGCTTTCTCTCTCAGCTCTCTCCTCCTGTTTTTGTGTGTGTGTATGATACTTCTTATTTTGTGCTACATTTTTAAACACTATTACTAACAATTGTTGTCCTTATAAATAAATTAATATCTTTTGAATCAAAAACTCCTCCACTGGTATGTATGTACATTGTATATTATAATGGGCCTCCATTGATTACAAAGACAATTTACAAATGCTTCATCAAGTTGTTGCCAAAATACTTCAAATTGATCAATCAGTGATAGAGTAAACACTCATTCATAAGGTGGGGAGGTTACCAGCTGTCACTACTACACCAGTGAAACCAATGAATGGTTGGGTGGCTCAAGAATGAATCAGGTTACATATCAAAATGTTTAATTTATAAGAAACTGTGTGTGTGTGTGTATGAAAAGCTTCTTTGATTATACACAACAGGAAGAATTGTGGTAGAACAATTCAGATTTGGGCTTTGTTCTACAAATCAAGAGCACCCAAGCCCTTTCATCCTCTCTCTCTCACTAGACACTATAAACTCAGAAAATAAAATTAAGAGCCACTCCGCATGATCTTACATTAGCAATGTACATATACATGACTGTACACATGAGTATACAACAAATCAAAATGATGAGCTATCATTGGACGTGTTTGGCTTTCTGATACAGGGAGTCTACCACTTTCCCTAACTGTCCAATGGTTCCAAGGGCTTTAGTGTAGGTCTGATCAACGTTGCTGTCTTCAAACACGACTAAAATACCTTTGCCCTGATCCAGTATACCTAGAATAGAAAAGACAAGTAAGTGTATAATCAATGTGTGAAAGAGAGAGAGGGAGGGAGGGGGAGAGGCAGGGGGGCACATGAATAATATTTGAAAGGCAATTCATCCAAATCATTGAGTAATTCAACTGCAATCAACATGTACCACATAGTCTGGATGCCAAACATAACTTTTCTTTACCTACACCTCACGAATATAAAACCACACACACACACACACACACCGTGATAATTCAAAGTAAAAAAAAGAAAAACCAATTAATGGCTGAATGTAAATGGGCCAATAGACCACATTAATGTACGGTATATATCAAAGATGAGATTCAGTGATGCATCTGATCACTGAATGAAAATATTATAACAAGGTGGTGTGATGTGATGTGATGTGTGTATGTACATGTATCTGTGAAGAAACAAACCATCACTACCAGGAGATATGTGTGAACTACAGTATATGCTGGCAAAACCACAAATGATGACACAAGTAAAGAGAGAGAGGAGGGGAGAGAGAGAGGAAGGAAGATGTAAGAAAACAATTAGAGACTACAGCCTCTACAGTCAATAGTACTCCTGCTATATATACACAACATTATAATAAGATACACTATAAAGTAGATACAAGTACTGTGTAACAGTAGGTTGTATAGTAGGTACAGGTACAGACCACAATGAGGAGTTGTCACAGAGACTATCAGATGAAAGGCCCCACTCTCAACCTGTGGTTAGGGAACACCTTTGACCATAAATTACTACTACTACAGTGCGGGGAATGTTAATGCTAGCTCTACCATATACTTATAATTGGCCGGCAATTACTATTTACTCGAGATTCGCTTCCTTAGTTATATCATTTGCCAATTTAAGTAACCAAAATAGTTCATTAGAATTTGAATTACCATGAAGGGTCTTATCTAGAATCATCTGAGATAGTTTTTGCTCTATAGCATCCTAGAAAAAGAAGAGGGAGGGAGGGAGGGAGGGAGAGAGAGAGTGTGGTATGGAGTTATAAAAATGAATTATCAAGGGATAATGAATACAGTAAACACAAACAACTCACCTGTGGAAGATTAATGAGCTTAGCAACATGATCCACCTGTCAAAGAAATAATGATACACTGTTACATTCAGATGGTTTTCATGACACTCTTTTAAAGCCGCCATAGTACACGTACATATACATATATTCTCATTCTTCTGTCTATCTCTCTATTATCAGGTACCACCTATCTCTCTCCCCCTCTCTCCCTCCCGCTCTCTCTCCCGTCCACTTCAATAGTTATCCTTTACAAGCAAACAAGACTGTTCCTGATTAACCATCCATAAAACAGTCACCACTTTCTCACACACCAATTACTAAGACATCTCATACGCATGCATACACACACACACACACATATTAGTATACATGTACATGTACATGTACATGTACATGTACATCTGCGGTAGTCCCTATACCACATAAAACAAGTAAAACACTACATACTACACAATATAATAGCTCATGTTCCTTCCCTTTCTCTCCCTCTCTCTCTCCCTCTCCCACCTAATTCACTAAATAAGTCATGGCCAAGAGAACAACAATCCATTTATAAAATTGACCTATTCATGTACCATAAAATAGATACAAACACAGCCTCTCCTTTGTTCCCATTGAAAAGATAACAATAACAAGAAATACCAACCCCATGACACCCATTCCTCCCCCCCCCCCCACTAAGATTGCCTCTCTCTCTTCTCCCTTTGACCCTCTACTGTACCTCTACACGTGAAAAAGGTTCAATGATTCTTAGTAGATTCTGCTCTAACAAAGTGTCGTACAGTGCACCCAGATGCGACTACACAAAAATAAAACAATTAATATACCATACGGTCAAAATAAGAGGACATGGGCTACAAAACCACGTGTGTACCTTAACAATGGGGTCGCCTTCTATGTACTCATTGTGCTGCTTTAAAATCTAATTAGGATGTATGTAATTTGTAATTAAATGATAAAGATTAAGTACACACGCACTGTCTTGAACTCTGCTATAGAGCGATTCTGACTGGCTTTGGCAATCTGCTGCATAGCAATGAGCTAAAAAAAGATTAATTACATGTCAATTTATATATAATATATATGTGTGTGTGTGTGTGTGTGTGTGTGTGTATGTGTACCTCTGGTCCTGTGTAACGTAGTGCTAGTTTACCAGTAACAATAGATTGGACATCATCTGCCCTGGGATAAGAGAGAGGGGGGAGGGAGAGGATTTGATATAAAGTTAGTAAGGATGTCCTTCCTTACTGGTTGAGCATGACCTTGCAGAGTAACATATACTTGAGAGCAATGACAGCTTGAGGATCATCAACTGAGTCATAATTCTGAGAGAGAGAGAGAGAAGATTTATAGAGTAAAATTATAAAATCAAACACTAATAATAACAAATGATAAACATGCAGCAACACCTTAACCGCAACAAACAATCATCATTTAAGAAACACTAACATGGGACGCTACATATGGAATACGCATGATCTTGTGAGCATAGCTTCATAATAATGAGGAATCATTAATTACGAAGGAATTAATTTACAATTAAATAAATAAAAAACAATAAAATGGTTGAGTGAACAACAGATATCAGACTCCGTACACATGTACCAGTTCAACGTCAGAGGACATGCACAACCTTTGATGAGTAGTGGCTCTAATTGAGGTACAATTCACTGCCACACCACAAGAAGAAGGGAAGGGTTACACCACCAGGGAAACTAACCTCAAAGGCTTCGTAGAAATAAGAGTAAGAGGTTTTGAAATCCTTCTCTTCAGCATGTATGATACCTGGTAGAAGAGAGAGGGAGGGAGGAGGAAGATTTGAAATATTAAATAAGATTCTATACTAATAACCTGATTGGAGATCCAGTGATGCCTTTAAAAAGAGAGAAATAAACAAATACATAAAAATAATACACAACATGGCTGAATGTACCTGAAGTTTGGGTGGGCAGTAGATTCCATTAGCTGTTGTCTTAGCAGAAGTGAGTGAAGCTCTATTAGTACATAAGACATGTATATGTAACAGATGAAATATATAAACATGGAAAAATCTCTCCTAATCATTTTTGGGAAAATCTGGCCTCAGCTCAAACTTTCTATACAACATAAGTACATGTATATATAAAAATGCAGTAGTATAAGTATCAAATACTGTTAAATTCTTCTGATATTTAGTTACCTTGATTTGCTCACATTTCCCAGCTTCTGGTAAGCCTTGCTCTCCAACAGCTGCACCTACAAGTACATTATACGCCAACCCCTCCCTCCTTCCCTCTCTCTCTCGTACCTCAACCAGTAATGCTTTGTCATCAATCTTTTTGAGTTCTCTCAATAAAGTTGACGCTACAGGAATACTCATAATAACAATATTATTAATATTATATTTAATATTATCTAAATTAATTTAATAATTATTACAACTAGTTATACTGACCAATCTTCAGAGCTTCATTGTAATCTTGTCTCTCAACATAAACTAATATTAACCTTGACTATTAATAGAAACTGAAAGTGAACAAGGTACCAACAGATACAACACAGAACTCTTGATACTTTATTAATACACACATACCTCTAATGCTTGACGCAAATAAACTCTGTTTTCAGCTTTAGCCCAACTAATGCAGTTCTCACATAATGGAATCTATCATGATACAGCACAACAATGTGTAAAGGTCATTTTAATTAATGAGAGTTTAATTAATTAAAAATCAATAAAAGATGTGAACACATGGAAAAGCATGTACATGATCAATAATAATAACAATAATAATAATAATAAATAATTACCTCTTTTCCTTTCCTGGCTATTGCTCTCATGTTGAGGAACTGATCAACCAACTCACGGATCAGTTTGGCGGCTTTTGCCTTAGAGAACATACCCACAGATCCTTTCATCTCCTCTATTAGGCTGTATAAGTCTATTAGCAGACACAAAGAGGTAAATATGGTGAAGAACAATACATATAATGGATTTACCGTCCGCCATTTCATGTTTAGCTTGAGTCTGACCAAGTTTTGTAATGGCGAGTTCCTTTACTTTTATTATTTCTTCACCTTTTGCAGGAGATTTTACTGAAGGAAAAAAGAAATAAATAAACTACCGATAGTTTGGGGGTACTGTGAATGTACTTATTGCGTTCAACAGATCAATGGCCTCGTTGATATTGTCTTTAAAAAGTAACTGCTCGACTCTCTCCAGATCCTCCATTTTAAAAATATTTCCCTCCTTTGAAAAGGAGTTTATACGGTATACTGTTTACGTCCCACGCATTTGAGCTCGCCCACGCAATCCAGCCCCACCCAAAGCCTGCAAAAGTTTGCTAAACGACACAGGATTGATTACACAAGTAATTATGAAAGGAAACACGTTCCAAACAGAGTTACAACCCTCTCTCTCTCTCTCTCTTTAAATGATAGTCATGGGTTTGAGTCCATGGGAGGGGAGGAGTGGTGGAGCAAACACAGAACCATTAAAGACAATGTTGGCCTTTGTCTGATCAGGGGGAATGGGAACAAAATCAGTTGAGAGAGACCTTAAAAATTAAAATTAAAATAAAAAATAGTGTAACTCTTTCCTTACAAGCCCTCTTGAACAATCTTGCATCTTTCAGCGGTTGCAGGTGGAGCATGTGCAAAAGCTTGACGAGGAGAAAAGTGACAGGACCTATCAGAAGAGGAGGGAGAGGAGTAGAGCCGAGAGGGAGAGAGAGGGACATCCTGGGGCGTCACGGAGAGGCCAAGAGTGGCCCGAGTGGAAGGAGAGTCCTGGACAGGTGCAATGTGACCATCAGGATGGGGAGACTGTTGAAAAGATAAAAGATTTGATTATCTTTTGTTACCAACAATAGCAGTGAATATGTGTGTGTGTGTGTGTGTGTGTGTGGGTAATCCTTATACTGTATATATCTCTGGCATTCCTTCAAAGAATGACGAGACCTCTTGGTTAAGACCCTCAATACTTCTGCGAGAATGTTGGTCTTCACTTTTATTAACATAGCCATGAAGCTAAAAGAGAGATAAGGAGAGAGGGAGGGGGGAGGGAGTGGTAATGTCATCTTCATAGTTGTGAAGCCACAATTGGCCACAAAATTGTAGTATCCAGGAAGGGAAGGTTGAGAAGCGAGAGAGAAAGAGGAAGTGAGGGTTTCGCGAGCAGAAAAGACAAGATTTATATATACATACCTTCTTGATGGATTCCGCATTAGAGAGAGAGTTAGATCTTCTGTGATGGTGTTCAACGTCACAATCCATGTCGACCTGCGTTTCAAACTAAAAAGAGTGAGAGAGACACACGATAGGGATTATTCTGCTTAAAGAGTGATTTTCTAAAAATTCTACAACAACAGAACTTGTTATGACAATGTCAATCATTGTTTATTAATTAGAGAAAGAGGGGGCTGGGGGGGCAGGGGAAATGGTGAACATATCACACCATTAGTACAAATAATACCTGATACTGTTGGGACGTAGTATCAAGCAGGGACGTCAGGGAATTTGCCCTCCTAGGGGGGGTCAGTACACTCATGGGAAGAAGAGGAGAGGAGGGAGGGGAGAGTGAGAGACCAGCCACCTCTTCAGTAAAGGAATCTAAAAAGAGAAAGAGAGAGAGAGTAGTATGAAGAATATAATGATAGAGAGGAGTACCTCTTTGAGCGGGTGAGTGATTCTGCGGTGGATCTGTCGCGTGGCTGTGCTTTTGAGTAGACCTGATTGGAACGGAGGAGGAGGCAGTGGTAGAGGAGGAGGAGGAGTAAGATGAAACTGGTGGTAGTGGTTGAGTTCCCTGCTGCTGCGACTGAAAGGATTCGTGCATGGCTCTCAGCGGGCGAGGATAGCGCGAGACTAGAGTAGGGGTGGACATATCTGGCCTGCAGGCAACGGAGGGATAAAGGCTAGCGGCAAAAAGAAGATAAAATGGCAGCAAGAGTCACAATTCTATTCTACTCACAGTCTTGCAGTTAATTAATTTTGACCACACCCACTCATTGAGTGGGCCACACCTACTTTTGCCACTCCTATGAAAAGCATAAAAAATCAAAATCATGGAGACTAGCTTTCTTTTCCATTTATTTGAGATATTTTTATTGATTTGTAGCATTAGAACATCATCTGGGGATCAGCCTAGTCCTGATGCAAAAACTAAAAAGTAACCATTACACTTTTTGTGACTTTATAGTAAATCAAACTGATACTTTTTAAATTTTTGTTTTATATAATTTTTTAGATGCACCAAGTTCAACTCAAAGATACTTTGGACATCAAAGTTAAGAGAGTCCCCACTGGTTGGTACGCCACTCCTCATTGACATTGACGGTGACAGTTTAAGAGATATCATCGCTCCATCTCATTCCGGAGAGGTCTGGGCCATTCACGGGGAGAATGGACATATTGTGGACAACTGGCCATTTTATGTAGAGGGTCGCTCGTTTTTTGCAAATCCATTACCTGTACGTACATGTATGTACATGTACATATACACATGTATAGCTCTCATATTAAATATCGCACAAAAGTTTTGCATATTATTTTATAAAAATGCATAATTAGATGTATTTTTGCCAAACATTATTTTTTTGCAACTTAAAAAAATTTGTAAAAAATCCAAATGTGATCGGAATCAGCTCAAACTTTCTACACAACATAAGAACATGTATATGTATCAGAAAAAAAATATAAAAATGAAGAAATCTCTCGTAGTCATTTTTGGCGAAATTTGGCCAGAGACCCTGTACTATAGTACAGGGACTTTGGCCCGATTTTGGAGCAACTTTAAAAATTCGTAAAAAAATCTAAATGTGATCGGAATCAGCTCAAACTTTCTACACAACATAAGAACATGTATATGTATCAGGAAACATTATAAGAATTGAAAATACTCTACTTTTAATTTTTATTGAATTTTACCTGTACACCAGATTTGAGATTTGATACTTGTACTTCATAAGTCTTTCATTATGATAGTACGATATTGATACTGATGGTGTCACTGATATACTGCTAACTACAACTGATGCAGAGGTACTATTCCTCACTATCAATGGAACGCTATTTCATGGGGAAACAATCAAAGTCAGGATAATTATCATTCTTCTTGTTTTTCAGTTTCATTTTGTTCCTATTTCATATTAATTCCCTTTCTTATTTTAAAATTTTCATTTCTGTAGGTCCCTCCCTTAAGAGTCAAGAGGGATTGGTACAGTCTGGATAAAGACTACATCAAGAGAGTAGCTGAAGAAATGACTAAACAAGTGGGCCAACGCTTCCAGTATAACCCAGTAATAATTACCAGCTGTATAATATTAGCAATACAAGCATGAGCAATTATACCAAGACCCTTTATACTTTAGCTTTTATATTTTTGTGTCCTCTCATTTTTTTTACTGCATTTTTTCTTTCCTTTTTAGAATCCTGAGGGGACATCCCACGAGACAGGTCCAACTGAGGCCCCTCCCCCCTCTCCTTTCTCTCAGTTTGATGATCAGTTTGGAGCTGAAGCTGATATCCTTTACTCTCGTCACCAGCCCGGGGAAAGACCCTCTGGACTCGACCCTAAAGATGAAACCTACGTCTTTGTTGATCCACACATCCTTGCTACTCCAGTAGTAGCTGACATTGATGGAGATGGAGATGAGAATGAGCTAGTACTGCCTGTTAGTTATTACTTTGATCGCTATCATTACGGGTTTCAAGAAAACCTCGCAAGGACTCGACTCAATAAAGATGAGCTGTCGAAATATGCTGCGTCAGGCCTAGTCATTGTTAATCTAAAAACCAAACAGATTACTAATCAAAGATTGATCAGTTTGACAGCAATATCATCTGATCAGCCATCATACTTGTTGGCACCTCCAACCGTTGTCCGATTGGGTCCAAAGGATCCACTGAGTATCATTATAGGATGCTCCTCTGGTTCCTTGCATGTGTTTCAAGGCCCTAGTCTAACGCCAGCGGCAGGGTTTCCAATAATGACTGACTCCATTACAGCTCAAGTATCAGTGGGGGATGTCGTGGGTAATGATGATCAGTATGAGCTAGTTGTGGGTGATGCTACTGGTAACGTTATATGTCTTGATAAGTACGGCAAGCAGTTGTGGGAGTATAATGTAAAGGCACCAGTAGACACAAGTGTTAGACTATTCAACTTTAATTCTGATAGTTCAATGGAGGTTATATTTGTCGACAAGTTTGGTGTCGTTTATGTATTGAATGGTACGACGGGCCAGCCAACTCTCTCGTCTCCTTTTCTCCTCAATACCCTTATTCATTCCTCTCCTCTTCTGATGCACTTAAAGTCGGTTGATGATGATTATCATCTTGTAGCGCTCGTCCCTACAATAACTGGCCTCTATTGCATTGATCTACACACTGCTTGTGTGTCTGAGGTACAAATGGAAAGGGATTTCATGCCGTACGTTTTACAATCTGATCACATAGACCCGTTTAATCCCGGCCTTGAAGTATTAATCAGTTCACTCTCGGGCGAATTAGCATGCATCACGGCTGATTCTTATCATCCTACGGAACGGGAGGTAAGCATTGAGACCTGGCCTGGGGAGACTATGGGCAACGGTAACTGGTTCACCCACAAGGGTAGTCTCTTTGCTCTATCTGTGGCACGAGGACTCTCAACACGAGATGCCTCCGGAAAGAGTTTTAATTTTGGTTTTAATGTATACGATGCAAAAGCATCAGAGACCAATCCCAAGGAGTACAGCATTGAATTGAGTGTTGGTGGGAGGTATACTTTACTGAGTGATAGGGTCTTGCTTAATAAATCAATGACTCATTTCTTATATACTCCAAAGACTCCTCCTGCTCCTCTCTTTGCCGAGATGATCCTAAAAGTATGCAATACTCACTGGCAGTGTGACACTGCTTCGTTTAGTGTCCGTTTTAATTTAATTTTTGAAGAAGTTCTTGATTGGATCTTGGCACTACCTTTTCTAGCATTTGTCGCTGGGTACTTGTGGCTACTCCGAAATGAAACTGATGTATCTTTACCCATCGCATACAATGAGAACTCAAGAAAAATAATGTAGCTTTTTATAATTATAATTTTAAAATCAATATTATTATTAATTTTTGTGATTATTATTATTAGGAAAATAATTATTTTTTATTGATAGTAATTATTATGATGTGGTGAAACAGGCGTTTGAAAATGTAAATAATTCAATGTACATGTATAATAAATTATGTGTGTGTTAGTTACATATGTTATTGTGACCAGAGAAAATTGGAGGCAGTGAAGTTGAGATTGATGAGACTCTAAGAACTGAATTGACATCGACTCTGTTCTGTGCAATCTTAGGCAGCTTGCTGCTGTTGTTTCTTTTCGTGACACTGCTTGAAGGTTTCGTAAAAGTCGGAATACCGATCAATCCATGGTGCTGCTTTCTTGTTGTGCGTCTTCCCTCAGTGCTAGCATCAAGACTTCTCCTTCCTGTTCTTCCACTAAAAGGAACAGGCCCTGTTTGAAGGAGAGGAGGGGAGCTCCCGTGAGGAGAGTCTATGCTATTTTGACTTCCAAATATGGGAGTTACATGTAGGTCAAAGTAAGCAGTGTTACTTCTACCATGATGGGCTGCACTCCTCAACTGCTGTATTGCACTGCCTTTCCGTATTGCAGTCAGCGTCCGGTGGGCATTTGGTATGTTTTCACAAGGCCTAAGAACATCAAAATCATTTTGATTAGAAGAACAAGACTATGTTCTATATATACCTGTTTTGGTCTCCATTACTCGTAGTTAGGCTATGCCCTAGAATCCCTAGCTCCATTGGTGGACTTTGTGTCCCCGAGGCTTGTCTGCTATAAATGTGTCCAGTCCTACGTGTCCCTGAAATGAGTTTAGTATGTGAACAGCGTTTCCTTTGATGATGATGATGTACTGCTTCTTCTGTGCTATTGTAAAGGTTCTTTCCATCAACTGGACAAGTTACATGCCCCTCTTCATTTAACCAGGTATCAATGCAACCTCTGTGAAACTATAAGAATTAAAACAATATAGATCTAATAGTACAATTATTTGTACCTGGTGCTTGCAGGGAAGTTTTCTTATCCATTCTCCACGCTGGAACTGCCCACAGCATATTTGACAAGATGCCTCTGAAATGAGGAGAGGGTGGTCGTGATCAAGTGGTTCTGTTCTAAACTGGTTTGGTAAGTGGCGAGGAGCAGAAGGAGGTGGGATTTGTGGGAGCTGAGATGAAGCAGTCATGGCTTGAACATCGTCAGCATTGTTTGAGTCTAACGATAAAAGTAAGTCATAATCACTAGCACTCAGTTCTCTCATTTGGAGATCATTAATGAGAGACTGGGGCAGTGCCCGTGGGGAAGGATTATCATCTGTGATGTCTGTGGTACCACGTGTTGCTGTCCTCCATACTTCTCCTGGTTTCTATAAACAAATAATTCCTCTATAATCTGAACATGCTATACCTACCAGTTGAAAGTGAAAGTTATGCACAGAATGATGATTAGAAGTAAAACAGCTATTGCAGAGGTAGTAGCTTCTGCAAGACATGCACCTAAAGGCATAATAGTATTTATAATACATTACAAAGCATATTTTGTGTCTTACTTGTAGCATTTCCCTGGTATTGGGCAAATACCACATTGGCTGCATGTAATTCCATAATGCAAAGGTTCTTTGGCTGACCAGTTTCCTTTGGTATAGAGCTCTTTCCGTAACTCCTACACTTGCAGATCATAATGAATGTCAAAATGACTTGTCACATTATTACTTCAAATGTGCTAAATTTTTCCCTGCAGAGAGGGCAAATAATTGCCCTCTCGCCTTGAGATTTTTGATGCTCTGCCCACAACTTGACACATTTTAAGTGCACGCTCTTTCCACATCCATACCTGATGCAAATAAATTGCACATAAGATGCGACATTGTGCCACTATAATGAATTAACCTACTTGCAATAGCTAAGTTTCTGTGGTCTTCCCAGCAAGTCATTCTGACATATTGGGCAGACATCCCCAAGGGATATTGGCCGTCTGTCACATGATCCTGATTCTGAGACCCTGTCGTGCGTCTTTGGATCTTGAAAAGTCAAATACCCATTGAGAATTTCCTGTATCTCTCGTTCGACAAGTCCGAGTTGAAATATTACTGCAATTGTTATAGAACGTACATTTGCACTGTCCTGCTTACCTGAATGATTTTTGGGTATTCGAAATTTCTTCAGTAACAACCTGCATGAAAGTATTAAGGTACTTTATGACTTGCTGCTGGTCAATATTTACCATAATATATGAATGCAAAGCTCTTTTTCTTTTCTATACACAGAGCATGTGCAGGTATGCAAACTTCCCAGGAAGACCTATAATAATTTATCATCACATTTTGTAATTTAAAAATGCAGTAATGGCTGTGATTACCATTAATAAATTGATGATGTACCTTGTATTTACTTTCTCCTTGTTTTAGGACAAACCCTGTGGGTCCTGCTTGATGCACTATATAGACTGTAGCGCTAAGAGCCTCCTCTATCCTCTGGCTCACTATGTAGCTGCACATTCTCCTCAAAGAAACACCGCGAGACATCATGCACCCTCGATCGAGCATCCAATATCGTGTAACTATGGTAACTATGAATAAAATAGAAAGATCACGTGACCAAGTGTATTCTATGAATAATAAATTAATTCAATTACAAGCTTAGAATCATCATTATAAGCCCAAAGGGTGATTTAGGGTGTTGTGAGCCACCAAACAAGAGAATGGTTGACAGCCAAGAGGACAGTATCCAGCTCCGTCCATTCAATCACCAAGTTGGTGGCCATTTCTTGGTACTCGAGATGAGCAAGGACCGGCTTTGCAAGCCACTAGTGAGTAGAGAGAAGCTCTTTTACGACACCATACCTAGCGACCTTAAGGAATTTGCACCAGGGTTTTATGGTGAGTTAAGCCAAGGATCTAAACGAGATGATTGGAGCTCTGGTGTTTCCCTCTTCTGTAGGTGTCATTTTAGTAAGAATAGATAAAGATGTAAAAGGAAATGTCAGCTATAGTGGAAGTTTCAAGGAAATTGAGGCAGAAGATCCCTCGCATGTAACTTGTACTGTCTCTGAGACTAGCATTGGTGGTCAAGATGAGACTGATTCGAGGAGTCAGGAGGAAGAAGAGCTTCAGAGACTAAGTCATCTCAAATGCTCACTGAGAGATGATGACCTGAAGGCTAAGAGAATTGAGTTTCCATTTTCAAATGGTTAGGAAAGGATTATGAAAAACCACTATGATAACAGGCTCTAGTCAATGATAAGAGTTTTAGACAAAATATATACTAGTTTGTATTTTTAGCTTAATAAGGACTATAAAAACACTGTCGCTATTACTTATTTATTTTTCTATAGGTGATAGCTTTCATAATCCTTGGACTCAGAGACGACTTAACGTCTTCTCAAAATCAGTGGCAGACAAGGAGCTGCATGGTAACGATGAATATATAATGCAACTGAAACCAACCCTTGTTGTTCATATCACATCATAGAATACATTGTTTTGGAGAATCTCGTTGGCAAGTTTGACTGTCCGTGCATTCTTGATCTAAAAATAGGCACTCGGTCGTACACGGACGTCATGAGCCCAAGGAAGCAGCAGGAGCACCTGGAGAGGGCAGCGTCAACGACAACTGGCACGCTGGGTATTCGTTTCTGTGGTATGCAGGTAAGTATACACAATAGGCCGAGCTAATGAGATTAATTACATGGAAATGTGATGTAGTGGTAGTGATTGGATATCCTTTCTAGATGGTTTCCTTATGCCTTTTCTGTGGCTTGTGTATTTTCAATGTTTACAAACTATGCCATAAATGAGAGTTATTATTATTGTTGTGGCTACAATTTTAAATTCTTCCCTTTCTCCCATATTTATAGCTTTACAACCCACTGGAAAAGAATTACCAGCTATACGACAAGTATTACGGTCACTCACTGGATGTGGAGTCTCTTAACGACGTCATAAAGAGATTTGTGTTCGACGGGAAAGAGTATCAGTTTGATGTAGTCCAAGTCCTTGTAACGAGACTTAAAAAACTACTCGGAATCATCAGTCGACTCAATTCATATCGATTCTTTTCAAGTTCCCTGCTTCTTGTTTATGAGGGGAACAAGGAAGCCAGGAAAGCAATGAGAGAGGAAGGAGACTGTCATGAAATTAAAAGTTTTGTTGACATACGAATGATTGATTTTGCTAACTTGACTCACAGCGGTTTTTCCTCTGATCCTGTTCAATATGACGGTCCTGATGAAGGTTATATGTATGGCCTAACTAGCTTAGTCAGCATGTTCGAATCATTAAATAATAACTAAAAAAAATTTCTATCCCCATAATGATTTATTATTTTTTGATAGTCAATGTTATTAATATTTTTTGTGATTTACTATTAAAATTATTTTATCAACAAGTCATCAAAGGGAGTGGCTCATTTTGCAAGAGGGAGGGGCTGGCTCTCCACCTTGACACGCCCTTCTCATTTCTTGTGGTGTAGCAACAAGCACAATGGCTAGAGCTTGTAGCTCTGGTCCTGCTATAATTCCAGGAGTCTCTCTCCCTCACAAACTAGAGCGTTTCGACTATCAGGTAGGAGGCCACTTTGTATTGATGAAGCTAGGAGCATCAAGCGCCATTTGTAAACCAAGTGGGAAGCGGGAGACTTACTTTTATCAAAGTATCCCAGAGGTACTGAGAGAATTCGTTCCAGCTTTTCACGGTGAGATATAGATTGGAGTTGAAATTAGAGTATTTTATTTGTCTTCCTACAGGAGTAGTATCAGTTAGCATACAGAATGATGACACAGAGCAGCAAGTCCAGTACGTTGCTACAAGGTATTACGAATCAAGTGATTATCGAGTCAGTTTGGAGTCCCTGGGCTACTTTGAGGATGAGAGAGAAGTGTTCCGTTGCTTTAACAAGCCACTCGGGGACATGATGACTGTCGTTAGGGACCACCCAGTTGCATTTTCCCTCGGTAAAGAAACACTTTTTGTGTTGTTTACCACGTCCCCATTGCTTCACATGATTAGGTAATGAAGAGCATTTCCACAATCCTTTATCATCAGTTCGGCTCCAGACATTAAGTAACATATTAAAGAAACAGGATAAATTCAAGCAATATGGTAACGATGAAGCACTACTCTCTATTTATAGCCCATTTACACAATGTGAAGCTTCAGCTTTGAATTATTTTAAAATGACACCTTGTTAAAATTGTGTATCAAAAACTAATTATTGATTAAGTAATTTGATATCATTGTGTTAGGATGTAGTGTTGCTGTATGTCACATACATTGTATTGATTTCCAAACAAACTAAGTATTGTTTCACTTTCCATGCAAAGTCACTTCTCCTTCTTTCCTTTAGATTACATTGTACTTGAGGACCTAACGGAGGCCTTTAGTTGTCCATGCATAATCGATCTTAAACTTGGCATTCGTTGCCACGGGGATTTGGGAAATCCTGAAAAACATTTGAGAAGATCCAAAGAGACCACATCCTTATCTCTTGGCGTTCGGTTCATAGGAATGCTGGTAAGTGGGTATTATCAGTTAAATAGAGACTACTCTTGCAAAACTACTCCAATAGCTTCAGTAGCTGTACTAAAATAGCAATCTTTATCACCATCAAAGCTGCTAAGTGAAGTTACTTTATCACTATTTCATTTGTAGGTGTACAGCAACTCAGACAACACCTACAAGTTCTATGACAAATATGTCGGCCAAAAGCATCTCACGGAAGAAACCTTCTTCAATTACTTGAAACTTTTCTTCTTTGATGGAAAAGAATATCATTTTGAGGTGATTGAGGAGCTAGTAAAAAGACTTCAAAAACTGAGGGACACCATCAGTCAACTGGAGACATATCGATTCTTCTCCACTTCACTTTTGCTGATGTACGAAGGGAAGAGAAAGGCAGGAAGAAGAACAGATATGAGTAATGGAAGCATCTCAACAGAGACTTCTAACCCAGCTCCTCCTGAAACCAATCCCCCGTTAGTTCAAGCAAAACTGATTGATTTTGAAAACTTGACCCAAGGATCATATACTAACGACCCAATAAAGTACACAGGCCCTGACTCGGGGGCAATTAAAGGTCTAACGACAGTGATAGTATTCCTTCAGTCAATTTTATTAACACAAGAAACATGTACAAGCATTTCATAAAATGAGACACAGTAGAATCTACACTATGTATGATATATAATATATTTTTGCATTTTTTATTAATTTATTATTATTATTATTATTATTATTATTATTGTTATTATTATTATCATGGAAGACTTCTGTTCATCCTCTCGTTTCAAAAAGTCCTGGGAACCAATAGAGTCTCTCTCCGTCGCTCGCCTGGTCGTCTATCCAAGCCATTCCTTCCCTAACGAGGTGGTCCTAGTGGGTGTGGTTATAAGTTACCATGACAACAAGATCTACTTACAAGGACACTTTGTGCTCTAACTTCCGACCATTTCAATTCATTTATGAGAACAGATTTACTGATGAATGCAGTCGACTGATAAAATATAAATGAATAGAATTAAAACTATTAATAACCTACCTCGGCTTTTTGCAGTACAGCTGTATGATCCATGTTCAGTTCCCCAGGTACTGACTGGACTAGACGACGCCCACCAACCGGTATTACAGTGAACCCTCCACCAAGGACCCTTAGTTTCTTAATGGCACGAGCCAAATCCTCTCTGAAGGAAATGAAAGATGTGATGAAAATAATGTTTAGTTTATTTAAAGTGTTTGATTAAAATAATGTTTTTGATTTCTCTTTGCAGTCTCCTTCAATAACAATAACAAAACTTTTGTCTGAATGATATCTAGTAACACTATTTGTGTAAACTTTCTCTTTGACACATTCGATCATGTGCAAGACTTTGTTTTAATAGTGAGCTTCTTGCATAAAACAATATCCTGTACTATAGCCCATGGTTTTTTCCAAAAAATGGCTCCGAAATCACCCCCAATTTTTATTACATTTTCTAATACATATTGATGTACTTATGCTGTGTAGAAAGTTTGAGCTGATTCTGACTTAAATTTTTCGAGTTATGGCCATTTTAAAAAATGAGCAAATTTCTGAAAATTTCCCTGTACTATAGCCCATGGTTTTTTCCAAAAAATGGCTCCGAAATCACCCCCAATTTTTATTACATTTTCTAATACATATTGATGTACTTATGCTGTGTAGAAAGTTTGAGCTGATTCCGACTTAAATTTTTTGAAATATGAAAACTTTAAAAAAATGAAAAGGACCGTGTACATTCATGAGACATTCACAAAACTTGAAAACTTACTCGCTGACATCTTGTCTTGTCTTGCTTCCTGATTTTGTGACATGTTTCTTCAGCTCCTCAAATGTCATTAATCCTAAAGTATTAATAACCATTAATAACTATTAATAACTAGACACACCTCCATTCCTTTCTCTTGTTGCTAGGCATATCTCAATTATCTGGACACCTAACTAATTAATTAAAAATATTATTAAAAATATTATTAATCTTTAAACACAGAGACAATGTACCTCATAATAGAAATCTCCAACTCCTAAAGTCTGAGCCCAAAATCCTTTGCTAGCTACAAAAGAAAAGTGACAATAATGACCATAATCATAGGGGCGGGGCATTTTAGTGACTCCTAAATTTCCAAGATTTCAATCAGAAAATAGTTTGTAACGGCAGTGAAATTTATAATTATTTTTTGTAATTTCAATTTTCCTTTAAACAAACAAGAAATCCATGATAATTTCCACCACACATGTTTTGTCATGTGATAATCATGTGATTGTACTCTAAGCTCACATGCTAGTGGGTCTACTCCAATACGGGCACACATCTGTTGAAAGTGGTTCCTAAACTCTGGGTTCTTGCGAATCTCATTCTTGTGCTTTGACGCAAACTCCTCCAAATGCTTTTTAAATGTTTCCAGCTGCCCAGCTATCTGTAATGAGAGAAGATATGCCATGAGAAGGTCTGTGGCTTGGTTAATTCATACGTGTGACAATTGTAGATCTGCTATTTCCGTTCCTTTGGCTGCAAACTTTGCCTATCATGAGAAATAAGACCAATTCTTAAAGCCAATGTCTTCTTACCTTGTCTATTCTGCTTTTATCTATCGCTCCAATTCCTCTTCTCCTGGAAGCCATCTTGAAAAGGGCGTGACAACAACCACTTGACCACACCTCTTTTAATAATTAAAAAGGCGTGGTTCTACTAATTAAATCAATTATTCACGAGCATTGGTAATTATTAATTAGGTGCTGGACGCTGGGACGTCCTTTTTGGGTTTAGTATTTTGTCTCTTCTCTTTTCCTTCTTGTCTCAAGCAACTCTAAAAGGAATCATTAGCTCTGTGATAACCGCCTCGCCTAGCCATGTCTACAACAGCGTGGCAGATCGTGAGTTTAATCTGAGACACTATCCTTATCATTTTATACCATCATAAATTCACCTCCTCTGTTTTGTCATTTTGCCCTATCTCACATAACAGTGCCGTCCCTAGCCATTTTTAAAAACACAAAGCGTACCTCCATCATTTTTGTGCACTGAAATGCTCACCAGAAAAATAATGATTGTAATTATACTTTAAAATAATAATAATAACATTCACTCACCTATTGTAAAGTACTATGTATATAATAAGTATTATCATTTAAGAGCTTGTCAGTTTACATTCTAAGAACATAATGAGTACTGTTTGTAACAGCTGCAGTGAGAGGAGAGAATCATTTAGTGCTAATCACTTGCTATGTCAAGTACAAATATAACACATAGCTAGCTGCCTTCAACTCAGTACTATAGTATCTCATCTGGTCATTTCATATTCAGTTTTATTATCACTCTTCTATAACAATAATTACACAAATAATAATAATAATAATAATAATAATAATAATAGCAACAATAATAATAAGGATCAATACAGTGTTTTGTGGTAGTGGGTTTGTGGTATGCAGCTGTCAATGTCTCTTGCTTTGCTCAAGTGTCTGTGTGTGTTTATAAATGTCACCAATTCACTGCACTCTTGTATGTACATGTACATGATGTGGTGTACTTAGAGTTTTTTGGGAGGAGATATTGCTTATCGCCTCTAGTGGTTGATGTTATTAAAGTGTACCTGTACATGTTATTTTAAACATTGTTATGTGTCGTTGGTCTTGCTCAATGTGATGTTATTATTTATTTATTATTAATATTATATCACATATCTTGAGCAATCTTCCTTCCACTTTTATATCATCAGTTCATCACCTATTACACCTCCCTCTTTCTCTTTCTCTGTCTCTCCCTCTCCCTCCCTCCCTCCCTCCCTCTCCCTCCCTCCCTCCCTCTCCCTCCCTCTCCCTCCCTCTCCCTCCCTCCCTCCCTCCCTCTCTCTCCCTCCCCCTCCCTCTCTCTCTCAGGGTGGTCGTGTGTGGGTCTCCATTAATAAACAATGGTCTCCAGCAACCATAACTAACGTCACCAGCACCGAAGTATCATTTGCCAGTGAATATGGACAAGTAATTTATTGAATTCATTTAAATACATTTACGTGTACTTTTATGGTTGTTGTTTATTAATAGAATTAATAATAATAATCAAATACTTTAATTATGATAAATTAAGGAAAATAAATTCATGGAAACAATTACATGTACATGTGTACAGTTACAATTACATTTACTCTTGTAAATGTAACTGTACATTTATAAACACGTTCTCCTTCCTTCCTGCAGCAATGCACTCTACCAAGAGACTCCTTGAACCACGACACAGTGACCCAGATGCACCAGACTAGTATTGACAGTGTTGATGATATGGCTTCACTTGGGGACCTTCATGAGGCGGCCATTTTATACAACATCTACCAACGATATACCAGGGACACTATATACGTAAGTTACATGTACATGTATGACCATTTTAAAATTATTTTAAAATTATTTTCAAATTAATTTATAGACATACATCGGTTCCATTCTATCAGCTGTTAATCCCTATAAACTGATTGATGGTGTGTATGGGGTGGAGCTAATGCAGAGTTACATGAAGAGGCAGCTGGGAGACCTCCCGCCTCACATATACGCCATCGCTAACGAGATATATGAGTCAATGTGGAGGAAGAGGGAGAACCAATGTGCTTTAATTAGGTGAGGGGGCGGTGTGCGTACATGTACGTGTATCTGTTCGTACTTTTCTTGTTTGTTTTCTTTTATTTGTTAAAGAGATTCTGTTATGATTATTTTCTCATTTGTTCCTCTCTCTCCCTCTCTCTCTCTCTCTTTCCTCCTTACAGTGGTGAAAGTGGTGCTGGGAAAACAGAATCAACAAAGTTTATATTAAGTTATCTCTCAGCGATGAGTCAGCAAGCCTGTCCATCAGCAGCTGGTAAATATGCAGTTGAGGCTGCCATTTTACAGAGCAGGTACTGAATGCTTTAATTACATACGTTTGTATGATAATTATAACAATTATTTAAAATTTTTTGTTATTTTTAGTCCAATTTTGGAAGCATTTGGTAATGCAAAGACTGTCTATAATAACAACAGCAGTCGTTTTGGAAAATTCATTTTACTCAATTTTGCTGAGGCTGGTAACATCATTGGTGGTCAGATCACTGACTGTAAGTCGTCATGTGACCTTTAATCATGTGACCTTTAATCATGTGACTTGTGTGTGTTTCTTCAGATCTTTTAGAAAAGAATCGTGTTGTACGTCAGAACCCATTGGAGAGAAACTTTCATGTCTTCTATGCACTCCTGGTTGGGTCTGATCCAGCTGGAAAAGGTATAATGAATGATTGGTATTACGAGATTACATGTTATGCATGTACAGTACATGTGTACATGCAAAATTGTAAATTATTAATTTTTAAATTGTAGAGAGGCTCCAGCTGCAAGGTCCAGAGTCCTATCATTATCTCAATCAGAGTGGGTGTGTCAGTGACCCAACCATTAACGACCAGCAAGACTTCCTACACATTAGAGTAAACGATTTTAATTGCAATATTTATATTTTTATTTTCTCTCTCTTTTTTATGTAGGAAGCATTTGAGATTATGCAAGTTCCAGCCCAACAGTTCAGTGATTTGATGTCAGTCCTTGCTGGAATTTTGAAAGTGGGTAACATCACGTTTGGTAAAGCAGGTGGGGCACAAGTCTCGGATAAGTCAGCTCTTGAAGCAGCCGCTAGCTGTTTGAGTGTTGAGTCCTTCCGACTCTCTGATGCTCTCACTCAAAAATTTATGAAGCTAAGAGGGGAGGAGATAACCACACCCCTCACTCTAGAACAAGTGAGAATAATAATGATAATAATGATTTTATTGAATTTTTAAAATTTTAGGCAGTTGATTCTCGTGATTCTCTCTCTATGGCACTCTATGCTAACGCCTTTCGTTGGGTTTTGGAGAAAATTAACGTGCGAATCCGTGGGAAAGGACACTTTGCTACAGCTGGAGTGTTGGATATTTTTGGTTTTGAGAATTTTGAAGTTAGAATTTACCGTACATGTGTGTGGACTTTTTATTTTTTATACAGATTAATCGTTTTGAGCAATTTAATATTAATTTTGCAAATGAGAAGCTCCAGGAATATTTCAACAAGCACATCTTTTCCCTCGAGCAGCACGAATACAGCAAGTGAGTATAACATGTGACCTTTTGACCTTTGACCTTTGACCCTGCCCAGGGAAGGGATAGATTGGGCTGACATTGATTGGGTGGACAATGCCGAGTGTCTTAACCTCATCGAGAGGGTAAACTCCTGGTAATTAGCGTGATAATTAGTGTATTATTAATAGAAATTGGGTATACTGGATCTGTTGAATGAGGAGAGTCGGTTTCCTAAAGGAACGGATCAGAGTTTACTGGAGAAACTCCACAACTCACACAAGGTATGACTGTCACGTGACTGTCACATGATCATTGTGGTAGGCTATTAATCTATAATCTGTTACTATGTGTTTGTAAATACTGGCACAAGTATATTCAATAAACCAGTAGTGTTAATGTGTATTTGGCAGTTCACCTCTGGCATATCCTAATGTGTACAGTACAGGGACTTTGGCCCAATTTTGGAGCAACTTTAAAAATTCATAAAAAATCCAAACATGATTGAAATGAGCTCGAACTTTTTACACAACATAAGAACATGTATATGCATCAGGAAAAAATATAAAATTGAAAAATTATCTCCTTTGCATTTTTGGCAAAATTTGGCCAAAGACCCTGTACTATAGTACAGGGGCTTTGGCCCGATTTTGGAGCAATTTTTAAAATTGTACATTTAATTTAGTTTTATATTTTTGTAGGACAACGCGTTCTACATAAAACCAAAAGTGAACAACAACAAGTTTGGTATCAGACATTACGCAGGCGACGTCTTTTATGATGTCGTTGGTTTACTGGAGAAGAACAGAGACTCTTTCAGAGACGACATGCTTAAAGTTCTAAAAGACACAAAGTAAACCGAGTAATAATATCATCAGAGTATACTGGAGTGCACTAGAGTATACTAAAATTTACTAGTTACGTCTTTTTGTAGATCTGATTTTGTTTATGACCTGTTTGCTCACATGACACTTGACGAGGATACCTCGTCAGGTGGGCGGGCCTTCAAGATGGATCGTAGAGGAGGCGGAGCCAAGAAAAAAGCAACAGTCAGCACCCAATTCAAGGTATAAACAATCTTAGTATACTCCAGTATAACTCTGTATATTGCAACAGACTTCTCTCCATTCACTCATGACAGAGCTAGGTCAGGCTAACCCGTATTTTGTGAGGTGCATAAAACCAAACGGAGAAAAAGTTAAAGACAAATTTGTACCTCAAATGGTCCTCAATCAGCTCAAGTACTCCGGAATGATGGAAACCGTCCGTATACGAAGATCAGGGTATCCAGTGAGGAGACTTTTTGCTGATTTTATGTTTCGATATGATGTCTTGGGGCGGAGTTTGGGTTTGGAAGGGAAGGGAGAGATAGAGGCATGTAGATTAATAATGGCGTCACAAGACAGTTCTAAGAAAGACTGGCAGATTGGTAAAACAAAGGTACAGTGTATGCTAACAATGCAATGTATTGGTGCTATCTATGAGTGCATGTACATGTACGTGCCATACCACTACTTGATGTACAACGTATCATTAGTCATACACTCACAAATATTACTATTATACTAACTAACTACATGTACAGTAACTACACACACACACTATCTATCAAACTGTTTATCAGTATATTCTCATCATTTGACGTACAACTCATAAAAACTAACAGGAACATCTTCATCAGGTTCATCTCCACACACCCTCAGCTCAAGGTAGTCAGTAGTGGTAGTGTTTAGTACCTTATTGAACCATGGAAGACTAGGACGAGATGTACAACAATTACCTTCAAGACTACCACATCCTTTACCATCCCACAATGGATCAGATGTATAGAGTACAGGAAGCCATCCACCAGTAGCAGGATTACCAGATTCACAGAAGTAGTCATTACCAATGAAAGACTGAAGAGTTGAGTTTTGAATACTACCTTGAGAACAAGGACAATTGTAATAACCATGAAAACCAATACTAGCTTCAAGTAGTCCAGCCATTAGTGTCCAGACATGTTGACGAGGAGACCCACGAGTGATACTAACACCATCAACATAATAAGAATTAATATCATTGTGATGTTCATGGCCACCAATGGTATGTTCAACTGCATCAGGTGAAGTATACTGATATCCCACTACTCTACCACACACTTGAGAATAACTGATACCATTAGATGGGAACTGAACTGATACACAACTGCCTTTAGTTGAATTGGCTCTACCACAAGCTCTAACTCCTCCTGACTGGTACAGTCTAAACCCAGAAGGACAGTTCACTGTAGCATCAGTCATATCCAGATATGCTAGTCTTGTCCATCCTACTGAACCACAGTACAACTCCTCCATATTACAGTAAATATATGTTGTTCCTTCTTTAGTTACAATGCTGTAATTCTTTGAAGGACTATCTGGCCAGTACTTCTTTATGTCATCACATGATACAGCATTAGGCTTGCAGGAATATGATTGTTGAGCTAACGTAGCACTACTGGTTGAACTGATAATGAACACAATAGCACAGAGTAGCATCATAGTGGACTGTCGACTGTGTATGAGAATTTCTGTATGCAAGCATGCAGCACAAATTATTTAATTATATAGAATAGCTTGAGTAATGATGATGTAGATATAATGACAAGTATTTAAAACTGTATCCTATATAGACTAGAAGCTCATCCATCGATGTGAGCAGCAACACAACAAACACACACACACTATGTATATAAAGTAACAATAACAAAAGGTTTGATTACCATGCAAATAGCATGACTAGTGGTGATTTACTGCTAGATTAGACAAACAATGATTCACTAAGCAATGGTGAAGTGTATTATGAGCATAGTAGCATGCTATGACTTTTGGCTAACAAGTAAGCTTATAACTACAAAGTCATTAAGAAATAAACTATAAAACAACAAGCAATGTTATGCAGCAAAATTTTTGTCAGTCTCAACTTTTAACATGTAACTCATAACATCTTCAACTAATGTCATGAGACACATGACATCAGTTCCATGTGTGCAGAAGTAGATTCTAGAAAATTGAATCGACACAATTATATAAACTATTGTTATTTAATTATATAGAATAGCTTGAGTAATGATGATGTAGATATGATAACAAACATTTAGAAAATCTACCCTATATAGACTAGAGGCTCATCCATTGATATGAGCAGCAACACAACAAAAACAACACGTGCACACACTATGTATCAAACTGTTCATCAGTATATATTCTCATCATTTGACGTACAACTCATAAAAACTAACAGGAACATCTTGATTACCTGTAGATTCATCTCCACACACCCTCAGCTCAAGGTAGTCAGTAGTGGTAGTGTTTAGTACCTTATTGAACCATGGAAGACTAGGACGAGATGTACAACAATTACCTTCAAGACTACCACATCCTTTACCATCCCACAATGGATCAGATGTATAGAGTATGTATTGAAATGTACGATCAGTAGCAGAATTACCAGATTCACAGAAGTAGTCATTACCAATGAAAGACTGAAGAGTTGAGTTTTGAGGACTACCTTGAGAACAAGGACAATTGTAGCGATGGTCATTAGTAAGCACATAATCACTGGACTCAAGTAGTCCAGCTATTAGTGTCCAGACATGTTGACGAGGAAACCCACGAGTGATACTAACACCATCAACATAATAAGAATTAATATCATTGTGATTTGGTTCAATGATGCTACCATATGCTTCATGAGCATAGTTTCCTGGATAAACTGCATCAGGTGAAGCATACTGATATCCCACTACTCTACCACACACTTGAGAGTAACTGATACCATTAGATGGGAACTGAACTGATACACAACTGCCTCCACTTGATGTTGCTCTACCACAAGCTCTAACTCCTCCTGACTGGTACAGTCTAAACCCAGAAGGACAGTTCTCTGTAGCATCAGTCATATTCAGATATGCTAGTCTTGTCCATCCTACTGAACCACAGTACAGCTCTTCCATATTACAGTAAATATATGTTGTTCCTTCTTTAGTTACAATGCTGTAATTCTTTGAAGGACTATCTGGCCAGTACTTCTTTATGTCATCACATGATACAGCATTAGGCTTGCAGGAATATGATTGTTGAGCTAACGTAGGACTACTGGTTGAACTGATAATGAACACAATAGCACAGAGTAGCATCATAGTGGACTCTGATGAGAATTTCTGTATGAACGAATGCAACACAATTTATTTAATTATATAGAATAGCTTGATGTAGATGTGATGACAAACATTTAGAAAATCTACCCTATATAGACTAGAGACTCATCCATTGATGTGAGCAGCAACACAACAAAAACAACACACACAATATATAAAGTAACAATAACAAAAGATTTATTTACCAAATAGCATGACTAGTGGTGATTTACTGATCACAATAGCACAGAGTAGCATCATAGTGGACTCTGATGTGATTTCTTGCTTGTTACAACTACCTTAATGCAGGCTAATGACATCAAAAATGTAGAAAATTCCCACTCCTTGAATGCTTCTATAAACGCCCTAAAAAATTGAAGTGATTTTGACAATCAGCATTGACATGCCAGAACCAAAATTCAATTTTTATTCTGTTTCCATAAAAATTAACTCATACATAGAATAGAATTATGAAATAATTATTTATCATCCAACTCTAAATGTTCTCAACGTGTTATCAGCCCCTCCAGTTGCTATTAACTATAGAATGGATCACGTGACAGTCATGTGACCTAATATCGTGTACATACTTGTCGATATGACCAGTCCAAACACAATAACTTTCCATTATGAGCTGCCATTGTATACAAGGGGACTTTAGGACTATCAGAAAAAAATTAATCAAAAAATAAAGCTCTTTGGTATTGAAAAATTTCATTTCTTACCTTCTCGTGTCCCACATTCGAGCTGTGTTGTCATAGCAACCTGATACGATCTGATACTCTGAAAGAGGCGACCACCTTACCCTCTTGACCCAGCCGTGGTGAGAGGAGAGGGTACAGCTAATCACTGATGGAGCTAGAGCAGGAAAAACAACACTACCATTCCCATCAATACAGCAATAATAATAATTATACACATCTTTATAGTGAGGTATGGTAACGTACAGTCAGTTCTATTGTCCCAGATCCTAATGTGTTTATCAGTATGACTCGTAACTAGTAGAGGGGACCCAGGTCTCTTGTCAATATCTAAGAACACCTTAGAGCCATTCTGTAGAAGATAGTCCATACTAATAATAGTGAGAGTGTATTTGCACATGTAGTACCTGTATGCCAGTATTGACTCCAGTCGTCATGTCCCATTCTCTGATACAATGATCATAGCCACAGGAATACAACACTCCATCGTCCGCCCACGTCATACACATTATTGGGTGGGTGTGGCCAGCAAGGGTTGCCACGGGAGCCTACGAAAGTGAGCGCCAGTCATAGATTAATGGTCTTACTCTGCTGGAAGGTTTAGAGGAGAGATTAATATTGGATCTTTTAGCTTGTTTATCTTCATCATCATCATTAACGTCAGCTCCTCCAATCTCTTTACAAAGACATTACATGTACATGTACATCACTTCTTTATTATTATCATACCTCCGGACCATATCTTGAGCATCTTGTCCCAGCTGCAACTAACAAACTAAAACCAAACGATAAATCACAAACAAGTCTACCTCATCCATGCTCCCCTACCTTACAATTCTCCTTATAAGGGCTGACAGCAATGGCCTCCACAGACCGACTGTGACCTTTACAAATAACCTTTAGCCGGACACTCTCTTCATCTTCATTTGGATCAAATGTCCACATGTGTATGTGCTGGTCGTGTGACGAACTCAAAAAAGTCATGTGACCCTCTGGTGACGGTTGCCGTGGTAACCAGGCAACGTCGGTAATTTTGCTGTCATGGCCGAGACACTTTGTAATCAATTTACCTAATAAGGAGAAAGGTATCACGTGGAGTTTCTTAAATCGTACCAGAATGACTCCATATCCTAACATTATGATCATAGCTACCACTAAGAATACTAGAGGGGTGGAGCATATAAAAATTAATTGATTAATGCTCCGCCCACTAACTAATTATCATTGCAGTGTACAGCAGAGACCCAGTCATTGTGGGGCAGTTCGTTCTCAAGTGAAGGAGGAGGATTACGCTCAATGTATTCTATTTGGACCACATTCTCCTACAATAAATATAAAAGAGAGAGAGCAGCACAATACGTACATACCAATGTTAGCGACAGACTGCTCGTTAAGTCTCCTAAGGTTTTTCGAAGGAGCGTGCCATTAATTAGAAAATCAAAATCTATGCTTCGAGTTATTTTATCGTCACTGTTTTCTAAGTGACTACATGAAATATAATGAAGTTTACAAATAATAATTGTACCAGACAAAAGCTGATTGAGAAGCTGGTTAAGATCTTTCCGTGTTGAAGAGACTGGAAGAGAGAATGGAGTGTCTTCTATGGCATACCTATTCAAACATGAAGCAATAATCCTCACATTCTCTCATTTACCTTTTCTCTTTCGTGAAGAAACTAGTTTGAATGTAGACTCCCTCTTCTCCATTGTGAGTGGCCATGTTGTCACCACGTGGGTGCCCGTTTAAAATTTAAACGAGAAATCAATTCAAATTTTGAATCACTTGAGCCTCTGCGCATGCGCAGAACTACTGTCTCCTTGACATTCCGCCAGATAATATGAAATATGGCGGACAGTGAGAGCAGGAGCTCGATGGCCAGTTGCCGGCTTCTCTTTGATATGGACGAAGGTAAGCCTCGTACCGGCCTAGTAGAGAAGGACCCTGAGAGGGAGAGTGGTTATCATAGTTGCTTTTAGCTTGGAGGTGTTAGAAAAAGGCTATTTTGTCTTGTATGAAGTGTAAATGGGTGGCGACCATTCAGTATTGGTTTGGTTGTTGGTACAGCCAGATCATAGATGAGATAGCAGCGATTCAAATACTCTATCAACAACGCTTTCCTTTCCTCACTGTAGATACTCCTCTACCAGCAGCTGAAGCTCTTGTCGGGCTGAAAGGTACATACATATATAATATAATACAGTCTGTTTTATTTTATGTTCCCCTCTCCCTTTGTCTTTCTCCTCTTTCTCTCTCTCTCTCTTGATAGATTCTGTCAGACAGAGAAATAGCAACAGCATTTCACAGTTGTCGCCACGAAAGCGAAAAACCTACAACACCCGGTCTAATGATAATAGCGTGAGTACTTACAAATCTTCAAGTACTGTAATATAAAATAATAATTATCATGGTATATTAGTTATAATGATATACTGTATTTATGGGAGAACATACCATGTACTTGTGTAAATTTAGTTAATGTAATTTGTGAAAATAATGGATGTATAATGATATTTATTATTATTATTATTATTATTATTATTATTATTATTATTATTATTATTATTATTATTATTATTATTATTTTTATTATTATTATTATTTTTATTATTATTTTTACTAGTTGAAGTCACATGACGGGAAGCTCCCCTGGGCCAGTGATCCAAGTGACATTGAAGAGGTAAGTCACTAATGAGACAAATCATGTCAACATGTCAAGTGTATTCACGTCTTGTCTTTGTTATGTGTGTGACATGTGAGGATTGATTTGTGTGACATGTGAGGATTGATTTGTGTGACATGTGAGGAGTAATTTGTGTGACATTTGAGGAGTGATTTGTGTGACATGTGAGGAGTGATTTGTGTGACATGTGAGGAGTGATTTGTGTGACATGTGAGGATTGATTTGTGTGACATGTGAGGAGTAATTTGTGTGACATGTGAGGAGTGATTTGTGTGACATGTGAGGAGTGATTTGTGTGACATGTGAGGAGTAATTTGTGTGACATGTGAGGAGTGATTTGTGTGACATGTGAGGAGTAATTTGTGTGACATGTGAGGAGTGATTTGTGTGACATGTGAGGAGTGATTTGTGTGACATGTGAGGAGTAATTTGTGTGACATGTGAGGAGTGATTTGTGTGACATGTGAGGATTGAGTTATGTTCTGATTTGTGTGATTGGGTACGTGTGTGTGTGTGTGTGCGTGTGCGTGCGTGTGTGTGTGCGTGTGTGTGTGTGTGTGCGTGCGTGCGTGTGTGCGCCTAGTAATTTGATAATTAATGTGACTTGTGTCATGTGTTTTAGGATACTAATGGTCCAATGGATGAAAATGACAAGAATTACTATGCACACCTAAAGTATGACCTTAAGGAGCAAGTACGCACTTTAAATCTCTTCTCTCTCCCTCTCTCTCTCCCCCTCTCTCTCTTTCTCTTTTTTAAAGAGCTCCTATTACACCTGCTACCAAGAAACCACATGTAGAGGTTAGCTTTTATTTGTCGTCATCATCCATTATTATTATTATTATTATCATTATTATTATTATTATTATTATTATTATTATTATTAATAGCCTGATGCTTTAAACCAGCAGCCGTGGATCAAGCACATAAAGACGTTCCTAAGGTTACCCAAGGCTCTGACCTGGTCACGTTACGAGTGGTTCTGCTCTGACATTGACAAGTAAGTGATATCTTTTATAAATAAAATATACTAATATGTACATGTATGTGTATTTATTTATTTATTTATTTATTTATTTATTTATTTATTTATTTATTTATTTATTTATTTATTTACACAATAATTATGTATCTAATTGTTATTCCATTGTCTTTTTGTCTCTCTTTGTTTTGACTGCTGTCATTTTCCACAGACCATTCTTTGAAGGTAGCAATGACTTTATCCAGTGTCTTGACGAGTCCTTTCCTGATCTTAAAGTGAGCCAGAACCATGAGCTTACTCAGGCCCAGTGGCGTCTTGTTCGTCGGATGATCGGAAAACCCAGGAGGTGCTCATCGACGTTTTTTGCTGAAGAGCGGCACCTCTTGGAGGAAAGGAGGAAGCAAGTGAGGGAACTACAGAAGAAGATTCACAAAGGAACAGTAAGTGATTGGAGATTTGTAGAATTGTAACTTTAGCATCAGTATATATACATTATATACATAATTATACATGTAGCTTAATTATAAATAATAATAACACCATATGTAGTATTATTATTATTATTATTATTATTATTATTATTATTATTATTATTATTATTATTATTATTATTATTATTCTTTTTTTCTTTTATAGCACTTGTCAACTGTTGATTTTAGTAGCTATCTGAGAGAGTTACCAGATGCTATTCCTCCAATATTAACACTAGGGACTAGAGTCACAGGTACAATTTACATCTGTATGTTATGTATTGTGATTTAATGCACTGTGCTATAATAGCTAGTACATGGCCTTTGTAGTTGGGACGATTTATTTAGCAACTTTTAAAATTCATAAAAAATCTAATTTTGATCAGAATTGACTGAAACTTTCTACACAACATAAGAACATGTATATGTATCAGAAAATGTTATAAAAATGAAGAATTCTCTCCTTTTAATTTTTGACGAAATACAATTTACTGTTATGCCTCTCTCTCTCTCTCTTTCCTCTAGCTTGGCTGAATACTGAGACGGAGAAAGGTTTTTACATCGGTACTGTAGAAGCTGTTGATCTGGAGAAGCACCAATACTGGGTCACTTTTGATAAGCCAGGCAAGCCTCTCTCCCTCTTGTAATATAATACTTCATTTGACCTGAATAGGTGTGGGGAAACACTCTATTGCTGACTCTGACATAAAAGTATATATACTGATAATATTGAGCTTTATTTATATTTTATTTATATTTTATTTTTATTATTTCATTTGTATTTTATTTATTTTTATTGTAAAAATATCTTCCTTCATTACAGAGCATGTATCCAGTTGAGTCAATAAGCATTAGCTCATTGGAGGCTGCACACTCAAGTCAACATGTCCTCTCGTCTATATCGTGAGCATACATTTATTAATTTATTTATTTATTTATTTATTTATTTATTATTATTATTCATTTCAGCTCTCATTCCACCTCCACCAATCAACCTACTGTAACAAGTCCTGAGGTATGATAAACTCAATTCTCTATTGGAGCATAAGGCTCATTCATAAACTAATTCATGATCCAGTTATAATGTTCTTTTTATTTCTCTACTAGATTTTATCATCCGATCCATTACTTGCGTCCCTCCCGTTGTCAAGGAGAACCGATTTTCAGCAGCAGTCAGTGAGTCTTGGGGGATTCCCCACTGACTTCCTTCGACAAGTGGTGAGTCCTCTTTTTGGTACTATCTCAATATTTATTCTCCGCCCCCTCTCTCTCTCTTTCTCTACCAGGTTCAAATGTCAAAGCTTTTGAGTCTCAAACAAGAGAGGCTGAAGAGACTATCTTCTATGAACACAGACGCAGAGAAAATGGTACAGCAATCAAGACACATGAGCAGTGCAAATACTATTAATCATACTTTCTTTTACATTCCTAGCATGCTCGACATTCCTCTCTGCCATCCGATTTCCTAAAGAATTACGCTACATTAGTCATTGACTTGGACGATATTAACAGAGTATGATCTGATGAATACAATTATTATAATATCATTCTCTCTCTCTCTCTCTCTCTTTAGCAACTCAATTTAAGATCTGAAGCAATCAAGAGGTACACAAGCGAGGTTAGTCTTTATTATCTCCATTCTCGTTCCATCGAGTCTCATTCCTATACTGTAGCTTGGGTATCAGGATAATCCCAGACCCATGTCCAGTGTACAGGAGTGCATGGATCAGGCAGTGACAATGACGGAGCATTCAAACGTTAAACTCACTGCGACCGGAAGGTATGGACCATAGCAGCTGCTCTCTGTGTGTTTAGTAAGCATTGTTTGTTTTTGTAGCGAAGTGACCGACGAGAATATATTGAAATTGATTGCTAAATTGAGTTGTATTTTATTACAAGTAGAGGTAAGATTTTAATTACTATTATTATTATTATTATTTTTATTATTACTTTTTGTTGTTGAAATGTATATTTAATGTATTTCTGTTTCTCTTTTAAGATGTTATCTCAGGAAGGATGCTCTCATGATCTCTCGGGCCTTCAGGCAACCATTACTGAAGCTGCTTCTTCCATCAATCCTGGCAACCAGAGGTATGGTATGGTAGGCATAATAAATTCAATTGTACATTATAATACATGTCATTATACATAAACCTAATAATAATTTTAATCTTGTATGCTTAATTAGAATTATTAGATTCACTAAAGTGTCCAGACTCCATTGTCTTCTCTGTCTTTTAGAATATTCATGAAATACATTGAGAAACCCCTCGCTCTCATTCAATCTGGCATGGACCCAGCAGAAACCCTTCACCCCTTCTCGGTCTCCTCCCTCAGCAAGAGACCACACAGAACAACCACTACCACTACGGCTAGCAGTGCCAATATGTCCTTCACTGCCAGCAGCGGGAGGACCTGAGCCATTAGTATACTAATAGCAGATACTACTCCAACGAGTTCATCAGTTTAGCATTCCACTCACTCTCACATGAAATATGTTAAATGAATAAAGAAATGTGACGTCGTCGTATATTATATATATTTATCTGTACCCCTTCTTATTGTACTTTTAGTTTATCATTCCTCTCCAAACCCTTCTTATTACTATTATTATTATTATTATTTTATGCTATCATCACTTCTGGAGTGTTTTATAAAGTTGCTACACTACGTTATAGAGCATCTCTTAATGGACGCTCTCTATAGCGTACGCCTCCATTTAATGGACAGCACCTAGTGTACCAATTACATTCCTTACTGTATAAAGTAACCTCCACATAAAGGACACCTCAAAAGTGTCCATTATAGTACATTTTTGTAATCTAATCTTTCAAATCCCTCAGTGTATATAAGGGAAGCCTAACATGATTGTGGCTGAGACACCTGTGGAACCTCAGAGTGGGTGTAGGGTACGTAGGAGGGCCTTAGATTTGCATTGTCATAACAATACTTTTAAAATTTAAATTTAAAAACGATTCAAAAATCAACATAATAATAATAATAATAATAATGATCTCCAAAAGTTAAAAGACTAGTGTTAGGATCATAGCATAAACAGTGAAACTATAAACAAACCAAATTAACTGCACAGCCCAAACTGAATGATAAACTGGAAAAGTACAGTGATAAAGCTAACATTGAAATGAAAGGGTACTATAAGGGAGAGTTCACTTTATCTGCTACTGAGACCAATTATGACTAGCAACAATATTTACTAGAGCCCTTGCAACTGCCTTGGGTTCAGCTTCCAAATCCGAGAGAACTGACCAATCGGATTCACTCGCATAATTTGGTTTGTAAAATATCCCTGGAGGTGCATTAAACTTTCCGCCAGCAGCCCCACCAGTGGATACTACCGGTATAACAGTGTGACCACTCCACGAGAACTGGTGTGCTTCAAAAGCTGCTGAAGGTCCACCCTCAATAAGAATACAAAGATCAATGACTTTAGGAGTTAGCATTTCTCTCTGCCTCACGCTCTCACAGTAGAACAGGTTGTCCCCGTACGGTAGAGGCTGGAACGTACCATCAGTATTCTGTCTAGCCTGAACAGTGTGATCCTGGGGATCTCTCTTTGCTTGAATGTGTATCACATACCCGCCACTCTCTCCCTTTCTCTTTTGGATTTCTTTGTAAAAGCTCTCTCCGATGGCATTCCCAACTCCATAAAACCCACCCGTCACCAGGTAATAGTCGTGTTTTTCTGATGCCAACAGCTGACCAAATTCACGACAGATCGCTAGACCATTCTTCGATGCTATCTTGCTGCTGCCTGTAACGTATACTAGTCTACCTTTTGGTAATCTCTTCTTGAGGTCAGTGCACAACTTGTGCAGCTGAGTTTTCTGTTCTACCAACTTACGGAGCCTTTCCTCTGCTTTTGCTGGGACCGTAGCACTTTCTATTTCCTCGCGAAAAGCATCTTGAAAGTTTGGAGACCGTGAGTCCAGAAACGAATCCGGCCCAACTAGAGTTGTCATCCATCCGGGGATTTGAAACGAATCAACCATTATTGGTATTATCCTTTTACGTCCCTCAACATAGTACATTTCCTGTTCGCAGGAAGAACTCTTTACATATTCGGCCGAAAGTATGAAGACTACGACACTGGAAACGTTGACCTTTTTCTTGAAGGTCTCTCGTTTTCGGAGGTCCTCGCCTGCCATGCTCGCCCAAACCTCGTGACCTCTTGATTCCAGGTCGTGCCTGAGTCCCTCCAGAAACTCAAGCTGTGTTGGATGATAACTTACGACAATGAGAGGCGTGGCCTTGCTTGGGTCTTGCTTGAATATTGACTTGCGTATCATTTCTGGGAGAGAGCGTGGAAATGATTTTGATTTCCTTGAAGCGGTCGACAAAGGAGGGCTAAGCTCTTTCTTATTATTAGTATCATTGATTTCGTCTCTTTTTCCATCATCTTGTGTCTCCTCATCTTCTTTGCTTGTCTCTGCCGCTTCTGCCTCAGATTTCATAGCACTATACTGATCAGCGATATTAACTGCTACAGTATTTATGATTGTATTGAGCTCAAAATGAGACCCGCTAGAAGGCACATTCCACTTTATAAACTGCGTTGTTGCAAACTGTATAGCGAGACACATGGGTGGCCATGTGGAGAGGAAGGTGACCGGTATTATCATTTTCCCGAGAGTATCTGCTAGTTTCACTTCCCTGTTTGTCCATTCTGTTAGTCCATACAGAGGAGTCACTAAAGGTATGAAGAGACGACAGTTACATACAGCTTCATTGAGGACATCTTGCCAATCATCCCCTGGTTTAATGGCTGTCTTATCAAGGAAGACCGTATAGCCAAGCTTGCTTAGTTCCTCACTCAGTCTTGCAGCTGGCCCTGAGGCTTCTTTGTGTACATAGCTGAGCATTATCTCAAGGGACTCTATTGATTTGCGTGGAAAGGAGGGACTCCGCCTACCTACTATGTCCGTGTTTGAGGAGGTTTGGTTAAGTGGGAGTCCTTCGGCCTGAGGTAGAGCAATGCTTGTTCGTTTTTTTGAAGGCACGAGAGCAATGGACGGATGAGACGAGGGAACTGAGAATGAAGTTAAAGAAATTGTGTTTTTTAAGACAATGGAGGATAACGGAAGCTCGTGTTCTTGCGTCTGAGAGACAGGACAACCGTTTATATCTAAAAACCTAACTCCTCCTCCTGCTCCACCTTCTCCTTTTGTCAGGAGGTAGCCGTACAGGCCTGGATGCTGGATTTCTATGGCTTCCTTGACATCAAGGAGCGAGACACCCTTCCTCACTTCCAAGGACACGGAGCAGAAAGGTTTGTCGTCATAATGTATCCACACCCGATCCTGTCTCGCTCTAATCCTCGCTATATATTTATCACAGATCAACCACTGTAGTGGGAATTCTCCCTCCAGGATTTCCTCCAGCTCCCATCCCTGCGGGGTTATAAAGGAGTATGATTTGGGTAGCAGCAAAGAGCTTATTTCTTGATTTATCGACTCTCTCAAAGTCAAAGCCACTGCCTGTGGCCCTGGAGCTTTTATAAGAAGACAACCTAGCTGCTGTGCCAGCTCTGGGCTGGTATCCTTCGTGAGATAAACTGCTACAAAAGAGAGAGAAGAACTCATCACGGACTGATGCTGCAGAGCGGTCATCTTGTTCGCAATTCGAGCGGTTTACGAGGTGTGGCTCATAATCTAATTAAGTGGGTGAGGCTTGGAATTTATACAACCCACACCTTTTTAATTAGTAAGGACACGTGTAGATCAACAAAATGGAGAGCCATCCTTTAGTGAATCTTGGCATGAAGGGCTCTGCCACCTCTTCGAAAGTAAATACGGTTAATTGGAATAGTCTATGGTATTTTCACAGGAGTCTGATGAGTCCTGGTCAATGACGGACTATGGTAAAAGAGCTGAAGCAAAGATATCAGTTCATCCATTTGATCTTGACAGCTGGGAGGTACTATTAAGGGAAGCACAGGTATGAACATGTGGGGTGATGGTACGCAATACTAGTCTAATAATGATATATTGTAAATTGCTCCAAAATCAGGCCAAAGTCCCTGTACTGTAGTACAGGGTCACAAGCCAAATTTTGCCAAAAATGAAAAGTAGAGAATTCTTCATTTTTATAATTTTTTCTGATGCATATACATGTTCTTATGTTGTGTAGAAAGTTTGAGCTGATTCCAATCACATTTGGATTTTTTACGAATTTTTAAAGTTTCTTTTCCTTGTTTTCCTCTAGACAGCAACCATAGTTCGGTCAAGAGCGTTTTATGAACATTTAGTTACTCAGTTTCCAACTTCGGCTCGTTACTGGAGGATGTACATAGAACAGGAGGTATTATATTAATTATTATTATTAATTATTATTATTTATTAATTATTGATGATTATTGTTATTAATTTGCATTATGTCTTTCTTATAGCTGCCATAATACATCGAAGAGTCTTATTTTTAACCCTTTATTCACTGTCTTTTATTTCATTTGCTTTGTGTGAAGTATAGTTGACCACACCCTTGATCTAATCACGAAATATAATAATAATAATAATGTATTATTATTAATTTGGCGTGCAACTGCGTTAATCTTAATATCCGAAATACAACAGAGAATGAGTAGAGTGTGTGAATAGTGTAAGATTATAGAATTGTAACGTTAATTTTCGTCTTCAATCTCCTGTATTAAATGTAGATGAGACATCGCTGCTATGAGGAAGTAGAGAAGGTAATTATAAAAAACAACTCTGCATGCCCTTTACACAGCGATGGCTTCTCTCAACCACATAGTTGTTTCAGAGATGTCTAATGGACATTCTTCACATTGACCTTTGGAAGCTATACATTACTTATATCCGTGAGACAAAATCTGGTCTTCCAAACTACAGGTTCCTTTGGATGCAATCTTGAATTGTATTAATACATTCTTTTGTTGTGTAGAGAGAAGTTGAAAAATGCATATGATTTTACTCTAGAGCACATGGGCATAGATTTTTATTCTACGCCGATTTGGATGGAGTACTTGGATTTCCTTAATTCAGAGTGTGTTTTGAGTGATTGTGTGTGGGTGGGTTTCACTATTAGTTGCCATAGAAACTCTCAAGGATCTTATGGGGAGAATCTCAAGCTACAGTCGATGAGGAAGACTTTCCAACTGGCAGTTGCATCTCCAAAGGTCTCCATTGAGCAAGTTTGGAAGGACTACTCAGCTTTTGAAAATGTTTGTGTGCATGTTTATTACATTAGTGGGTGATTATTAGTTGTGAATTGCAGATGGCCAATAAATCTCTTGCAAAGAAAGTCCTTGAGGTCCAGAACAAGCTTTATTCAAATGCTAAACGTGCTTCATACGAGTATGAGAATGTAACCAGAGGGTTGGTGAGGGGCAGCACTTCAGTACCACCTCAAGGAGCAATACAGGAAGCACAGCAGGTGTGTGTGTGTACATGAGATTAAATTGTGATCATGCCATTGAGTAGTAGTGTTATTTTGATTACAATGGTCTTTGTTTCCTGTTACTGGGGACAATTTTGTTCAGAGCTATGTAGAAAGTTTGAGCTGATTTCGAGTGTAACTTTTTGATTTATAACTTGATAAAATCCATACAACCTGTCTCTAATGCTCCCTTGATTAATGTTTCCATTTCCTTGTAGCTTCAGATATGGCGTCGTTATTTGGCATGGGAGAAGCAGAACCCACTCAGAACAGAAGATGTAAAATTAATAATTAAGAGAGGTGAATTAGAGCACGTTTTAAACTATACTGCATTACTGCAGCTGCCCTTTCTTTTATAAATCCCTCCATCCAGTTGTCTATGCTTACAATCAATGTCTGCTCTGCTTTGGTCATTGCTCTGATATCTGGTATGAGCTAACACTTTACTTGCAAAGAGCAGGAGAATCAGTACGCAATGCATTGTGCATGCAGCATAAACAGAATTATCTTAATATTACTGTGCATGTAGGATCCCCCTCGGTCCCATCAATGGATAGAGGAAGCAGGGACAGTGTACACACGTGCTGTCTCAGGCCCTCTGGCTAATAATTTACTCATGAACTTTGCTTTTGCTGACTTTGAAGAGGTGCAACAGCATAACGATAAAGCAGAGTCCATTTATAATCGTCTCCTCTCTACCATTGAAGATGAGAGCAAGACATTGGTGAGAAGGCAGCCACTCTCTCTAAATTTACTAACGTTTAGGTCTATATACAGTATATGAACTTCAAAAGGAGGACAGCTGGTATTAAAGGAGCTCGTACTGTCTTCAAGAAAGCAAGAGAGGACACAAAGTGCAATTATCATGTTAGTAGTACTTGAAATGAATTTGCATATTTATAATCATTTTATGCTGCATAGGCTTATGTAGCTGCAGCTCTGATGGAATACTACATAACAAAGGTTCTTAGTTCTCAGATATATGCATGCATTGGATAAAATGATAATTATTTTCTAGGACAAGGACATTGCTTTCAGGATATTTGAGTTGGGTATGAAGAAGTTTGGAACTAATGTTGGCTTCCTGTTAGCATATGTTGACTACCTTTCTCATTTAAATGGTAGCATTCAAATACTTAGAACTATTTATGCTTAGTTTTTTTTATCAATTAAAGATGATAATAACACAAGAGTGTTGTTTGAGAAGGCAGTCAGTACAGTCCCACCTGATGAATCAAGGTTGTCATTGTTATCTTAGCTATTTATTGTTACTTTATATTGTACAGCAAACTATGGGAGCAGTTTTCAAGATTTGAATTGGCTGTTGGTGACCTTTCAAGCTTATTAAAAGTTGAAAGAAGACGTGCAAACATGCTCCAGAGATCTCAAGTTAGTCTACACCTCATCACATCTCATTATCAACTGCCCCATTACCTGAGTCACTGTATTTTTTATGTAGGAGGCTGAAGTGTCTGAAACATCTCTACTTATTGATAGATATACTTACTTGGATCTCTTCCCATGCTCTGAACTGGAGCTTAGAGTTATTGGTCATCATGTTAGCAGATCTATCCATTAAAATATTACAATCTCTTGATTGTTTTTTATGTAGTCTGTGGCTAATCCTATTGATACTGCAACTGCTCCAGTATTTCTCAAAGCTCCTGTATCTAATAATGAATCATCAAAGGCTGATTCGCATTACTCAAAACCTGATCTCAAGCAAATGATATCATTCAAGCCTAGCACTACACATGGTTTGATATTGATCTTTTTGTGATTAATCAACACGTATATAACAACAGGTGTAGGTATGAATGCTGTTCCTGGCGGTCATTTTCCTCTTCCTTCAAGTTTAGCTAATTTGCTCTCCCTCTTACCCCCTCCTCATTGCTTTCAGGTTAATATCCAGTTAATGAATAAACATCATGCTGCACTGTAATGCAATGACATTATAACCATTTCTTTGTTTGCTCTTGATTTGAATTTTGAAAGTATCTGTGGCTTGTGCAGATAAATCATCTATTCTGTCTTTTTTATATATAGGGTCCTTTTGTACAAGTGGATCAATTGATAGACATGATCATTCACAGTTCAATACCAGAGATATCCAGTTCCCAGCCAGGACTCAGCTCTACGAGAGTCATTAATCAGAAAAGACGAAGAGATGATGGGGAGGATTTCGATGAGGAGACTGCCCCACCTTCTAACGACCTTTACATCTCAAGACAACAGAAAAGGGCACAAACGACATAATCTATTTTCTTTCTTTCATCTCTCATAATTCTTTTTGTAAATTATTTTAAATTAATATTCTCATACAATTTCACCCTGAAAAGTCTACATGATGAAGCAGTATAAATTAGTGTATGATTGTGTGTGTATTGATCATGAAAGAACTTGCTCAATCAGTAAAAATAACTAACAGTGTTAAGCATACAGTGTACACATGTATAAGTATTCTGACAAGGCAGTTAGGCATGTGTTTAAAGGGCTGGGCTGCACTTGTGTAGAGCACACAATTCACTATACTCAGTCATCTATTTGGCAAGTGTTCAATTTCAATTTTTTTCTATAGGAAGCTTATTTCAATCATAAGATTCTGGGGAAGTCTGACAGTTCATTAGCTTATCGAGAAGAATATGACTTCTCTCTCTGTCTTTGGCATTTTCATTCTCACTGCCCTCATTTTCACTGTTAGAGATGGAGAGACTAATGATGATATGGCTACACTAGTAAACCAGTTCCTCTCATGCAGAAAGGAAGAGAACAATGGAGGCATTCAAAGATGCAACAAGTGCTTTGATCAAGTAGTGGCTGGCTCAATGCGACTTCTGGGGACCTGCAATGACAATTTTGCTAAATTCCAAGGTTCATGTCAAAATACAGAAGCTCTATTGGGTATTAATAATGCATTGCTCTACTCACTGAAGAGCTATCATGAAGCAATCCTGTCAATGTATCAATGCAGGGATGAGGCAGAACACTGCAAATGTAAGGAACACTTGACAGATATGCTGATTGGCTCTCTCAGCTCCTGCAACGAGGCAATTGCTAAAAGCTACAAGTGTAAGATTTATCCTGTGAATGAGAACGAACCATACTGCACACAACTGAAGAGAATGGAGCCTAACGCTCAGTCAGGCTTGTACACATTTAAAACCAATAGGAAGAAAGAAGTAAAGGCACACTGTCTAATGAATGAAAATATCCACCAATGCAACGAGAGCAGGATCTGGACTTCAGTGACACACTTTGAAACTGAATGTCCGAAAGGTTTTAGCATTTATGAAAATGCTATAAAGGGCTGTGGCAGGCCACGGAACACCAGCACTGGAAGCTGCTCATCAGTACAGTACAAGGCCCACAATATGACCTACAGTCATGTTTGTGGCATAGTGAATGGGTATCAGTATGGATCACCTGATGCTCTGTCAGGCTTCAACAGATCATTGAGTATTGATGATCCTTATGTTGATGGAATCAGTATCACTCATGGTACCTCACCGCGTCAACACATTTGGACATACATGGCAGCATATTCAGAGAGACAAAGAGTATGTCCTTGTTTTGGGACTAATAGGACAGTGCCAAATTTCATTGGTGATTATTATAGTTGTGAATCAGGGAATAGTAACCTGGTGGCAGATATCAATATGTTGTACACTGAGGACACTCTCTGGGACGCTTGCCTGTGCAGGTATGATGAAGTCCCTTGCTGTAAGAAGGGAAGTTTTAATGTAGCTCTTCCTAAGACTACAAGTGATGACATTGAATTAAGAGTTTGTGCTGATGAAGGAACTGACAATGAAGATGTGCCATTCACTTCAGTTGGAATATTTATAAGCTAATTCTTAATATACCATTACAATATGATACTGTAAACCTGTTATCAACAAATGACATCTATAATAACTATAATTAATAATAACTAAAAAGTCTAAGTTAAAAAAAACCAGAATTAAATGGTGTCATAATTTTTTTCTCTAAAGACCCATGGCTACTTGCAGGAACTACAAAAAGGAGAGGAACAGATGCTGAAAAGAAGAGAGGGAGAGAGTGTGTGTAACTTACATCATCAAAACGGAAAGTGGCCGAGCCATTTCTCATAGTATCCCTGGCTTGAAAATGAGCTGGAAATGAAAAAATTTCAGAATTAAATAAGTTTAGTATGTACCACTCTCTCCATCTTTATTCACTCATGCTCTTCTTCTTACCAGTCAGTGCCCTCAGTTTAATGCAACAAGACACAAAATCATCAAATCCAATCCTTCCGTCATTGGAGAAACGCCTGACAAGAACAGCAATAGTGTTGGGCTGAAGGTTGTAGCCAAAAGCCGTCACGGCTTGCTGAAACTCGTGGGTCTCCACAGTACCACTCTGATCAGTGTCAAACCTTTGGAAGGTTGTCTGTAGAATTTATAATAACAAAAACATACCATGGGTACATAGTAACGGCAATATAGCATAGATATACAACAGTTGTATATCTATGAACATGGACATGACAATATACATGTATATAGTACATGTAAAATATTAATTCATTCTCATTCAGCTATGATTAGGATTCTACAGAATACATGGAAGCGTGTGGATATTTCTTTTCAAACAAACACGTTGATAAAATTTTTAACTGGCTACGTGATAGGGTATGTGCCATGAACTGACCTTCCATTGGTTGAGGGCGGCCCATAGTTCCTTAAACTCGTTAAAACCCATTTTACCACTTCTGTCTCTGTCCAGCATAGCAATCATGATGCGACAAGTTTCCTTGCTGAAAGCTAAGAAGAAGAGGAAAGAGTAAAGAATGCACTAGAGTCCCTTACGCTGGTATGATCCAGAGATACCACTGGAAGAGAGACACCTCTGCAACTCATTGGCATCAATCTGACCGTCCTGTCCAGCAACGGCGCTGAAATAACCCCACAATGGATCCACAGGAGGCTACACAGACAAGGGGGGGCATATTAACAGTGAGGGCTGCTCGTTCTCACCTGTCCATAGCCGGGGTACCCACCGGGAGCCGGTTGACCGGGGTACCCACCGGGAGCCGGTTGTCCAGGGTACCCACCGGGTGGAGGCTGCTGCCAGCCCCCAGGAGGTCCTGGTTGTTGTGGATAGCCGCCTGGATAAGACATAATTTATAGCTTGCTGTGTTTTCGCCTTCTTCCTTTGCTTGTGCTAAATGGGTGTGGCTAAGTTGCACCGCGCCCGTAGCCACGCCTACCATTAACAAAGAGTTCAAGAGACAATGTGGTGAGATGGCAGAATCTGTTTCTTCTTCATCTCATGGTGGACAGCATCAGCTACCAGTTAAACTGAATCAAGAGTACAGAGTTAAACTAGGACGGACCTTTACTTTCCCCAAAGAGAACGCCTTTCATACAATAAAATGTAAGAATTAAGAGAGTTTTGAAAATCTTTTCATTCATTGTGAGATGCACATTAATAAACAATATTATTTTTTGTCGAATATACACGTCAATATGTATCAGAAAATGTTATAAAATAAAGTTTTCTCTTTTTCAATTTTGGTGAAATTTGGCCTGGGACCATTTTTACTTCCAAATTGAGCCAAAATCCCTGTACTATAGTACAGGGACTTTCGCCCGATTTTGGAGTAACTTTAAAGGTTTGTAAAAACTCCAAACTTGATCGGAATCAGCTCAAACTTTCTGCACAACATAAGAACATCTATGTGTATCAGGAAATGTAATAAAAATGAAGAATTCTCTCCTTTTCAATTTTGGCAAAATTTGGCCAAAATCCCTGTACTATAGTACAGGGACTTTCGCCCAATTTTGGAGCAACTTTAAAGATTCGTAAAAAGTCCAAACTTGATCAGAATCAGCTTAATCTTTTCTCAGTATTGTTTATTAATGTATTGAATGTTACTTATTAGATGACTTTAAACCAAAATCAGTTGACGAATCCAAGCCTGGAAGGATGAAAGTCAGTGGAGATGAAGTCTCAGTCTCTTTACCGGTTACCCAGGTAACAAACGGCTAACAATTAGACGATAAGTTCTTGCTATTTACAGGCGGAGTCAGAAAGTGACGTAGTTCTCTTTAAAGGTGCTAAGAGAACCTGTACAAAGGAGTGTATCCTCATTATCAACACAATAACTGGGGTATGAACCGCCGCCGCCAATGTTTGTGTGTTGCAGCTGTGTTTGTGTTCTTGTATGTCTTCCTGTTGTGTTAAAAATGTGTTTTTATTATTCTGTTATTACTCATCCTCCCCCCTCATCTCTTTCTTTCTTTGTAACAGGAGGCTATCCTTGAGAAGATCAGTAACACTGTCCAGTTAAAAGGCGTAAGGTATGTATTCGGACTCATTTACATGACAGCTGCTATCAATAAACATCACCTACTCCTCCTGACATTCTTTTTTTATCTTAGGGATCTTAAAAAGAAGAAACATCCCCGCTCTGTGTCTCCGATACCGTCTCAAATAAAAGCACTCAAAGTCCCTTCGGCCAAGCAAACCGAGACCTCTAGTCCCAGTAGTGGCAAGAAACCAAAGAGACCCAAAAAGTCCTCCCCTCCATCTGCTACTGCTCCTCCTCCTCTTTCTTCTACTGCTCCTCCGGTTTCTAGTAAATCACAAAACATCAGCAGCAGCAACACTAGCTCAAAATCTTTCAACCCTCTTCCTCCATCTTCCTCCTCCTCCTCTTTGCTAGCCTTGCCAGACTCCATTTCTCCTTTACGCTCCAACAATCCAACCCCTGAGCCTCCTCCCCTCTTCTCCTCTCAGCCAAAGAGGAAAAAGGGCCTTCCCTCGTCTAATAGCAGTTCTAGTTCGAGTAGCTCGGACTCCAGCAGCAGTTCTGGCTCTGATAGCGAAACTGAATTTGTTACCGTTCCAACTTTAAGCTCAGCACCTCCACCCCAAGCGTCTTTATCTTCAATGCCGCAATTTACTACTTCATCTGTTATCCAACAGCCGATTCCGTCTGCAGTAGGAGGGGGAGGGGGTCCTATGGGTTATCAGGTCCTACCCCCTCAGCATGGGAGTGGTTTGAGTCAAGGTAGCAATAATAACGGAGCTCTTCAAATGGCTGGTGGAGGGACTCTCTCTGACTCTAGCTCCAGCTCCAGTAGCGATGGAGAAGATGACAGCTCTTCCTCTGATTCTGAAAAGGTTACTATTATTATTATTATTATTATTATTATTATTATTATTATTATTATTATTATTATTATTATTATTATTATTATTATTATTATAAATTTTTATTTTCATGTTACTACCAAAGTTTTGCCTTTGATGAAGGAGTATTTGCATTTATGTTTGAGAGAATATTATATCCTATGCATTATTTATTGTTTTTATTTTATTGCTATAGGATGGACCTGTTCCCTCTCACCATCAAACTGTCACTAATCCAACTGCAGGTGTTGACGTCAGACAGAGATCAATGTCCGTGTTAAAACGTGATCTGGAAATGAGTGAAAGTGATTCAGACTGATTTCAAATCATGAGCTATGATCTGAAGTCCTCTGTTCCTCTTAGAGCAGGATAAAATAATAACTACACATCAATTTATCATTTAAAGTTAACCATTAATGATAGTCACGTGAACGCACGTGTATTTAATTAACAAGCCACGCCTCTACACCACGCCCGGAGGTGTGTTCTCAGTAGTGGTTTGTGTGGATTACTGCTTATTTCTGCTTCTTTTTCTCTTCTCCTCTTGTAATGGCTCGTGTCCCAGAGCCAGTGGTGGAAGACAAGGACCCTCCATCTCCCCCCAAACCTGTTTCCAAAACCTGGTCCAACAAGAAAGAGGACTATGAGCTAAAAGATGTCATAGGTATGTATATGAGAACCCATCACGTGACAGTCACGTGATCTATAGGTAGTGGAGCAACAGCTGTAGTCCAGGTTGCAGTTTATGTGCCACGAAATGAGAAGGTCGCCATTAAACGCATTGACCTTGAACAGTACAAGTCATCGATGGAGGAGCTACAAGTTTGTGACATATTATTTTAATTATTTTTAAAAATTATTTTAAATATATAGAAAGAGATTAATCTGATGAGTAATTGTAATCATCCAAACGTCATCAATTATTATACTTCTTTTGTCGTCAGGCACGAGCTCTGGCTTGTGATGAAGTTAATGTCTGGAGGTATGAACACACACACACACACACGCACACACACACACACACACATAGGATACCTTAACATGTAATAGTCTTAGCATGTACTTAATCATGTAATAGTCACTGTTAGATAGAGAGGGAGTTTATGAGACTTTAATGTCTCATATCCTAAAAAGAATATCTCTCTTAATGGACACTCTCTATAGCATACACCTCCATTTAACGGACAGTACCTAGTGTACCAATTACATTCCTTACTGTATAAAATGACCTCCACATAAAGGACACCTCTGTATAACAGAGACACTTTCTTGTCCTAAAGTGTCCATTATATTGTAGAGGCTACATTATTGCATCAGGCGCAACAGTCCCTAATGTGTATGTACATGAACATACTTGCCACACAGTCTCTATTGTAATTATGGGAGTAAATTGTCTTAGGGTCGTTACTGGACATTATAAAGCATGTGATGACAAAAGGGAACAAGGGAGGGGTACTGGACGAACCCGTCATCACGACTATACTGTATCACGTGCTCCAAGGCTTGGAGTACTTCCATACAAATGGACAGATCCATAGGTCTGCGAGAGGAAAAGAGAGAGAGAGAAGAGAAGAGAGAGAGAAGACTTGCCATGATACATATGTCCTTATATGTTTACAGAGACCTAAAAGCAGGAAATATCTTAATAGGAGAAGATGGAGCTGTTCAATTAGCAGGTGGATTGGAATTACAATAACCATCTGCTGACTGTCTCTCCTCTTTAGATTTTGGTGTTAGTAACTGGTTATATGGGGAGGCAGGAGGGGGAAAGAAGAGAAACCCTCGCTATACGTTCGTAGGTACTCCATGCTGGATGGCCCCAGAGGTCATGGACCAATCCGTTGGATATGACAGTAAAGCTGACATATGGAGCTTTGGTATAACGGCCTTGGAAATGGCTACTGGTACTGCTCCTTATGCAAAGTTCCCACCAATGAAGGTAATGCCATGTGTATACACAGTAGCAATTTACATGCACTTTTATGACCCACAATTTTCATGGATTTGTCCTAATTTTTTATTTGTGTTTATCTGTTGTTAGGTCCTAATGTTGACGCTTGAGAATCCCCCGCCCACACTCGACACGTGTTGTGAACTGAACGGTGAAGACTATCGTAAGAACTACTCCAAAGCATTCCAGAAGATGGTCGAGAAATGTCTCCAAAAAGATCCTTCGAAAAGGTAAGGTTTTGTGTAGCAAGAAACATTTTTAAAATAAAATATTTTTACACGCAGACCCTCAGCAACAGAACTCCTCAAGAATCCTTTATTCAAGAAGGCAAAGGTCAGTTTATTTTAACCCTTTGATCACACCCTGTTACTACGACAACAGGGAAAGGAGTTTATAAAGGAAGTTGTGTTGGGCAATGCCCCCTCTCTCTCCTCTCGAGCTACCAAGGTATACCGCTATCACTTTTACTCTGACGACACGCCTTTAGGTCAAACGGGTTCCTGGTACCAGCGGGCGTCTACACAAGACAGAGGAGGGAGGGTGGGTGTGGTCAGATGAGGAAATGACTGAAGAATATGAAGTGGAAGACGACAACAAAAAAGTGCATGTTCTTTTTTGATTTATTTTAAACATTCAATGTTGTTGTTCTCAGACGAAATTGGCTAACAAATCAACTCCTTCGTCATCTTCTGGTGTCACTACCTTGCAGGCCTCACCTAGTTCAAGCCCCGCCCCTTCCTCCGCCCCTTCCTCTACATCAGCACCTACCCAGTCACAGGACCCTGGAGCGTCCCTCACTGGAGAGCTTCAGGTATTGATGCTGAAAATGAAAGAGCTACAGGACCAGATAACAGACATAAGAGGACAGGAACAGGAACTGATGACTCAGCAGATTCAGAACCCAAGTATGCTTGCGTGTGTGTATGGTGGAATATGATTGATCTTCCTGTCTCTCTCTCTCTCTCTCTCTCTCTCTCTCTCTCTCTCTCTCTCTCTCTCCTCTTTCAGCATTACTGACAACACAAAGTCACCAATCCAAGGCAGTTCAGTTACTCAATCAAGTACTTATGTTGTTGTTGTGGTTTTTATTTATTTATTTATTTATATTTCTATTTTTAGCGTCAAGAGAAGGAGCGAGAGCAGCAACAGTTAATATTCCAGCAGCAGCAAATTGCAGTCAAACTTCAGCAGCTGCAAATATCTTTGCAAAACGTACGTCAAAGTATTAGTATACCTCTCTCATCTTTATCCTTTTAAATGCTTTTAGGATCCTCAACAAAAACAAGATCCGAGTGCCGCTAAGAAAGTCCTAAAGATTGCTTTGAGGAAAAGGTATGTACACATGTACATGAAAATAAGAATGTTAATTTTGATTGAATTTTTTCTTTATTTTAGAACGGAACAAAATCAACTCAAAGACATCAAATTTGATTACATAATTGGGACAGGTACTACACGCACATAGCTGAACCTTTAAAAATTTTTTTAAATTTGCCTTTAATTTTAATTTTATTTTAAATAGATACAGCTGATGCTATTGCGAAGGATTTACTGGCAGCTGGTCTTCTGGAGGGAAGAGAGCTAGTAGTAGGTACGGACTGTTTATTTAACAATGGCTGAGTTATTTTAGAAACCAGAACTTTAGCTGGAGGATGTATAATAAAGTTCCCCCCTCTGAAATGTGCTCTATTTGTTTTTTCTGATACATGTTCTGATGTTACATGTATCTAGAAAGTTTGAAATGATTCCGATCAAAATTGTATTTTTTTCAAGTTACTCCAAAATTGGGTCAAAGTCCCTGTACTATAGTACATGGCTTCTGACCAAATTTCACCAAAAATGAAAAGGAGAGAATTCTACATTTTAATAATGTTTCCTGATGCATATAAATGTTCTTATGTTGTGTTTCAAGTTTGGGCTGATTCTGATTAGATTTAGATTTTTTATGAATTTTTTAATTTTCTCCAGAATCGTGCCAAAGTCCTTGTATTACAGTACAGAGTATTTCGTGAAAAAATATTATTTTCATAATTTCTTAAATATTATAGTTGCTGCCAATATAAGTAAACTGATTGAGAACCCATCACAAAAAGTGACCTTTCAAGTGGTAAGGGAGAGATCATTTTGATTTTTTTTTTAATCTTATTATTTTTTAAAAATTACTCTCTTGCAGGGAAACGTACCACAGGAGCAACTAGACGATAAGAAACTAATAGGATATGCTCAGTTGTATGTGGTCAACACAGACAAATGAAAAAAAGAAATACTACTACTACTGCTAATTATACTGTTGCATCAAGATGATATTTTTGTTTGTGCTTAGTGCGTGTTTGCATGTTTCTTCTTAATACATGTTGTGAATTGTATTGGATTTTTTGTTGTATTTATATTTCTTATTCTTATTATTATTATTATTATTATTATAGTTTATGTCTTATTATCATTATCATAATATGAGAATAATTCTTAGCAATATCTGGCCACGGATTGTTGGCGAATAATAATTATTAATTTTAAAATACCAAAATGACAAATAATGAAAACAAGATGACTGACTGAAAAAATACACAATGATAATAATAATAATAATAATAATCATATGAAACATGCCATAAAAATTAAATTACATGATTGCAAGATTACAAAATAAAAAGAACACCAGTTGGTCAACAATGGTGAAAAGTACAATTTTATTATCTCAAGTCTAACGAGAGACCAGCCCAAAACAAGTTCACGATTATAATACTTAACAAGAACAGGCCAGAGACAGGGGCCAGGCTGCTACTGCCGCTGATTCCTGCAGAGCCAGTGCTTGGCTCTTGAGTACTCAAGGGTCTCTCAACTTTTCCAGCTGGAGAGCTCCTAGCAGCTGTAAGGAAAGAGAGGTAAGGATCCATTGCTATTAGCGGACTCCTCCTGTTGATTAGGGTTGACAAACGAGTGCTCACAGCATTGCAGGCTTCAATCTAATAAAAATAATAATAAAATAATTATAATTATAATTAATAAAAAAAGGAATGTAATTGGTACATTAGGTGCTGTCTGTTAAATGGAGGTGTACACTATAAAGAGATGCCATGCTGTACTTACATTGAGCCATGAAGTCATATTTGATGGAAGGAGTAACACAACGATTGATCCATCAACTGCTTGATGTCCATACAACTGACACTGCAACTAATAAAATAATAAATAAATAAATAAATAAATAAATAATAATAATAATAATGATAATAATAATATAAGAATCCCTTTTCTCCTTACTATATCAACAAAGGCTTTTAATCTGTTGATGATACGAGTTGAGTCAATGCTATCGACATTCATAGCTTGACTGCTACGAGATAGCTGAACTTTATTGACTAGTATATTTATCAAACTCCCTAAAAATGAACAAAAATAACACGAAATTAATCAAAGTGTCCCTGCCTATGCGTAGTGCTGCAAGGATAATAATAATAATAATAATAATAATGATATAGTTGTATTTTAGAAATAGATTTTTATGTTTTATTGTAATTATTGAGAAGCTTTATAAGACACATGCCCACACTTAGATACATCTCTCTTATAAAGCCTCAGTTAGTGTTGACAGATTATGTACTAGTCTTTCATCCATTGAAACTTTAAAAATGAATATTTAAAATGGTGTAAACTTTGTCGCCAACTATAAAGGCTGTACGGATTATATCATGACTGTCAGTGAATGATGTTATACACCACAAAACAGCTGAGAGTAATTCAATATGTCATTGTGGAATTAAATAACAATTATACACGTACACGTACATGTACATGTACATGTACACGTACTACATGTACGTGTACATGTACGTTGTGTGGTAGAATTTGCTTACCACATTGCTGACAGCAGGCTCCTGGTGGAGTAGGGCCGGTACATTGTTCAGTTGTATTCATAAATGGCATGTCAGGACACTTCACCTTCTCGCATTTACCTGCAGGTCAATAATAAAAGAATTAAATTATTTTTAAAATGCCAGTTTTCAAAAAAAAAAAACACTTTTACAAGATAGTTAATTGACACCTTGAGGTGCAAACAAGGTTATAGAATGAAGTGTGAACATATTTTTTTGAGGTGAAAACAAGCTTGTGAAAATAACACACAACATCATAATAACTGATAAAAATAGCCTCTATATAATGGACACTTGTGGACAAGAAAGTGTCTCTGTTATACAGAGGTGTCCTTTATGTGGAGGCTATTTTATACAGTAAGGAATGTAATTGGTACACTAGGTGCTGTCCGTTAAATGGAGGTGTACGCTATAGAGAGTGTCCATTAAGAGAGACTATACTGTATTATTAATAAATATTCACCAGTTTCAATTCTTGGTACATCATTGCATTCGCTATAATAGTCAATAGCCACACCCATTCCTCTAGCATGACAAACACTGGGGTATGTATCACCATTGACACTGCAGACTGGCCTTCGTCTATTTATAGAACACTGAATCTAAAAATAGAATTAAAAGATGAAGACAATTATTTTTTTGTTACCTTGCAATGTCCATAGTAATCGACTTTCTCGTTTGTGTTAGTAAAATCACACATTGATTCGTGTTCACTTCCACTTTGATCACAGATCACACTCCCTTGATACTGATCGCAGTTATTACTACTAACTATAATAGTGAATGAAAAGAAGAGGTATTTAAAGATCTAGCTTTGATCTAAATTAGCTGAAACATTCTGTGCAATAGAGTTCTAGCAAATTATGACAAAATCCCTATACTGTATAGCACAGGGACTTTCTGCTCAATTTTGGAGCAACTTTAAAAATTTGTAAAAAATCCAAATGTGATCGGAATTAGCTCAAACTTCAAACACAACATATAAACATGTATATGTATCAGAAAAAAGTATAAAAATGGAGAATTCTCTCCTTTTCATTTTTGGTAAAATTTGGCGAAAGACCCTGTACTATAGTACAGTGACTTTGACCCAATTTTGGAGTAACTTTTAAAAATTGTAAAAAATCTAAATATGATCGGAATCATTTCAAAATTGAAACACAACATAAAAACCTGTATATGTATCAGGAAAAAATATAAAAATAGAGAATTCTCTCCTTTTAATTTTTGACAGAAATATCCAGCACTTATTGGTATTACATTCTTCCTTCTCTTACTCACCACAGTAATATTGAGGGCAGTCCTGGAGAGCTGATCCATTAGCCGACATGCAGGTGTGTCTAGCTGGGATACATTTAGATCCTGAGGGACAGAGAGAAGCTGAACTGCTGCAAGGATTGTTTTGATAACAAGACTGACCAATAGCTCCACCATCAGTGTAGCCATGACAACTAGATGATGAAAGGAATGCAGTTATGAGGCTTCTGGAGTGAAATTGGAATAATGTTGACACTCTCTTTGATGTGTGATGAAAGCCATAGCAACATTTGTACACAGCTATGCCCATTATGGGGACATGTGCTGGTACACCCGTATGTAATATGCCAAATTCATCAATAATAAACAATAACGATTACTGTAGTTGGAAGGCAATTTCATATTTTAATAATTAACTTATCGGACTCCAATGGAAACTGATTAATAAAAGAATTCTGTATTTACTTTAAATGAAACAAGTTAGGCAGTGTGAGCCCATTTGAGGAACATATCGGCTGATACAATGAAGGGCAGGAGCAATATGGCGGAGAACAGGTCTTTGAAGCTATTGAAGCACTTCCTTGAGGTACTGGACAGTCATGATGTGTACAGTTAATGTAACTAGAAATGCACTGACAGATGTTGCAATCGTCAGAAAAGATGTCATGATGACCTGTATCAAGGAAGATAAAGTCATTCTCTTATTACATCTCATTGTCATAGTAGTATCAATCACTAATAGTATCAATCACTAATAGTATCAATCACTAGGTGTGTATCAACTTACTGTAGTTCTTCCCCTTGTAGCTGCAGGAAGCCTCTTCAATACAATACCGCCCACTCACGTTACTTAGTTTCCCCCCAAAAACACATTCCCCGTTCGAATCAAGCGTGCAATTGACGTAACCGTGGCAACTCTCCTCTCTGTTGCCCGGCAACAAGGAAGCCTGGACGAGATTGACCTTTTCCAAACTCATCTTTGGACTGTGTCCAACTTGTGCCTCCTCCACACAATGATAAGGCAAGCAACTGGCTTCGTTTGTACTGCACGCTTGATTAACGATGCACTTTCCTGTAGTACAGGGACTAGAAGAGCAGGGTGTAGTCAGGAAGGATGCATCCTCTTTGTAATACGAGTCGTCTAATGAGTAAAATTTATTGGGGGTTAATTTGGGTGGTGTCAATTAGTGCATAGCAGTGGTAATTAGGCGAGTAATTTGTTTTGTGTCAGTAAGGTATCAACTTACTTAGGAAGTCGTCTATCCTTATGCAGCCCTCCTGGAGGTAGCTAGGTGAAAGGATCTCGCATATCTCCTCTTCGCTTTGGAGCAGGTTGCTCTTGCACTCTCTCATCAAATGGAGACAGTCAGATCTAGAGTGGTCAATAGAAGTGATAGCAGGTGTCTGATATGGTTTCTACTCTACAGGGGATGGGTGTATCAAAGGGATCAAGCTCCAGTTTACATAGCCCAGACCATGAGTGGGAGATTAAAGATGGCATGAGCCAGACTTACTTGCCTTAAGGTTATAGGCATTCATATTATAAATTGAATTAGGAAAGAATAAAAAATGTACTATGCATACTTAATGAGTGCTAGTGATTTGATTTGACACTTGTGTGTCCATAGCTACTAACGCAGCTAGAAAGTTATGCATGCAACTATCAAACAATGAACCAAATCACGCCATATCGTGCAATCACGCCATAATATCGTCAACTCACTTGCATATCAGAGACGTGTCTGTCTTTGGCTGACATGGCATCATTTGAAAGGCACAAGCAAGCACTTTCCATCTCTCGGGAAAGCAAGTGGTGAGTGGCCTTGTATTAATGGTAACAAGAGGATGACGGATGACGCCTTGAGATACCCAATTATCATACTCCGCCTTTGCATTAGTATCAGCTTCTGCATCACATTTCCTGAATGAAGTCAGTGGCCTACAAGCAAGGGAAGGAAGTGGTGTTTAGACATAAAAATGTTCATTGATAATGCTAAGGGATAGCATGCAGTCTTATAAAGCTTTGCAGCCATACAAGAGAGTATCCTTAATTCATATGATGCCAGCAGTTTTGGTGGCTTCTATGCATATACTTACTTGTTATTGAAATTGCTGCAAAACTGCAACCCACTGCAACCTGATCTGCACCTTGTTGATACTGGAGGGGAAAGAAAGAGGAATGAGGAATGCAATTTAACATATGTGTACTATATCTCTACAAAGGAGAGTGCTGATTGATTGTTGCTGGTCAGGAATTAAACCAACAGACAACACAGAGTGACATTAGTAGGGATTTCATGAGTGGTAATATATTGCATAGCAAACTTATAACATTGTGCATTGTTGCATGTCTGCTATGTATTGAGTTACTTACCATCTTGAAGGCAGCTAACCAGACGGCCCTAATAATAAAGATAAAGGAGAGTCATTGGCGTGTCAGGAATGTTTGTAAACATGGACTGCAGGCTTCAAAGGAGACATCAATTAGAGGGTCACACACGAAGCTTGTACCCATGCATGCATGCAGCACACATTAAGTGGAAACAAAAAATGATATTTTGCATTCTCTTTGATGCATATTGAAGCACAAACAAGACAATACCTCTGTAGCCCTGAAGACACAATCAAGGTTGAGTTTTTCCCAGGACTGGGTGGTTCTGCTCCCTGTGTATTCCTGCAAGAAAATGAATTTTTATAAGATGAAAGGATCATAATAAAAGGGTCTTTTACATAATGGCAAGCATCCAAGCAGGAGGAGTCGTTTGCCATTGAGCAACACTGTAGCCTTGGCCAATCTGCATCTGAGAAATAAAGAAGACGCAACATATCATGTGTGTGCATACATTATTTATTATGATATGAAACAATCACACTGCCTCTTCTGTTACAAAGTGAATGCATTGCATTGACACGTGTGCGTACAGTTGAATGTGGGAGGTAGTGCTGTTGGAGCAACAGTAGGTCCTGTGGCTGGTGTGGGAGTATTAGGGCATGAACTGTTTCCTCCTGAATTAGGCTCTGTTTGACCTGAAATAGAACAATGAAAATGAATAACAATGTTTTCTGCTAATGTTTAGGTTATACCTTCATTATATAGAATAAAACAATCCCACATTGGATCAGTGGGTCCCCCCTAAAACAAAATAAAACCAACAATTCCTGTAAACCAGCACAAGACTAAACTTACTTGTAAATCATAAGGAGAGCCGCAAGCTGCAATCACAATTTGAATGGAAGCATCATCAAATATACCAATAGTCACTTGCTACAAGGAAAATGGACTGACTTTTCTTTGTCTAAATAGTCTTACCTCTCTACAGACTTGTCTACAGCCCTGATTCTCTGACCTGTTGCAGCACTCAAGCACTGTGTATGCAATAAAGGAATGGCAATTAAACATAGTCAAAGTATATAACACTACAAAGGAGTGCATAGTCATGTATAATGGAGGAGAGAGAGAGAGAGAAAGGGCCAACAAACAAACAAACACTTAAATTACGTTGAGGCGATGGAGTTGGTGTTGCTGGTGTGTCTGTAAGGTGGTGACGGGGGAGGCAAGAGGTACATAAAAAATGACGTTAATGCGGTGAGAGTGTGCATGAGTTTCGTCTTACTTGATGTAGTTACGTTGTCAAAACAATCTTGGAGTGTGGACTACAAAGAATGAAAATACAAGCAAAAGAGAATGAGAGCTGTTATTATCATAGAGTATGCAGGGATGAAACTGCATGGGAAATGTGTGACATAGAAAGAAACTATTGGCTCAATAATTATTAAGATATAGCCACCATAATAACTCATTTTTGCCTTCTTTATCAATTAACTACTAATTGCTGTACATGCGACTAATTGCCAAAACTTCCTATAAGAGGTTCCATTTTTGGTCTACTCTACAATTTGTTAGCTTGGTTGCTATACAAGCAGACTCATGATTGCATTATGTTGCTTTGGCACTTCAAAGTTGGAAATTATTGTTTGAAATTGGGCCACAAACACTGTAGTTCACTTCATTACTTCACTTAGCTACAGAGTGACTTGCCTTACAATCAGACTGTTCTGTGTAGCATACACTCAATCACTCTGTTAGAGTACAGCTTTGTGGGTGAGTGTTTTTGTGTGCAGTATTAATTATTAATAGAGAAAAAATTGATTTTTTGATCAGAGGGATGCAGCTACTGGAAAAACTCTCAAATGAAATTGAGCATAAATAAGGCTGTGATTATTTCAGTAATGATACTAGTGCATGTATAAAAATATAAAAATTACCGGAACAGTTGGACAGTATGAGCTCAAGTATTCTGTCTTGTTTTCAACATTAGGAGGACAAGAGGACCCAAACTGCAGTTTGTGTATGCAAAACAGAAGAAACAATCAAATATATAGAGCAGAGACTATACACCAAAATGTCTAGTCTATGACTTTAAAGATTGGAATACATGGAAATCTAACAGCACAAAACAACTTAAGCATATATATACATGTGTAATAAAAATACATCATAGTATGCAAGCAAGGAAAGTAAATGATGACAAATATTTTAACAATTATAATTCAATGTAACATGATAAGTAGTGCAGTATCCAATAGCAACCTCCCAACTGCAGAATGCATGCCATTTGCAAAGAAAAGTGAGTAAAACATGTCAGTATTTACTCACTTGCAAACAAGTAGAGAGGCACTGCGTCCAGTTTCCAGGTACGTGTTCATTACAGCAAGATCGTAACAGTTGTTTTTGACCTGTGAGAATGTTGTTATTAAAGCATGCACTGTTTAATGATGCCATCAATCATATCTTACTTGCAGTGGACTCGCACTGTGCAGCGAAGAATGTGAGCAAAACGAAGGAGAAAGAGAGTGAAAGCTTGTTCATCATCTTTAATCTAAAAGTTTGTCTCCTGGATCTGATCTTGTGGAACATCTCTTAACTTTTTATAGAGCTTTAGACTGACCAGCCCCGCCCTCTCATCATAATGATATTCATAGCTAGAGCTAATAATTACACCAAAAATAAATTAATGGTACAACTAGAATTTGAACAATAGGACAGTGTTCTGGTAGACCTGCTTGGCCAGAGAGGCGGGCTCCACACCTCTGACACCTGCAACAACTTCTAAAACTTGTCTATATAATAATGAGAAAACAAAGTATAATGATAAACACAGCCAGTCCTGTGTAATGGACAACGAATATGTGAACTATTACCCCCTATCTGGCCACTAGGGGGATTATAAATAAATTCATTATATTCCTGTTTACTGATAAGTATAATAAATGCACATTATGCATGTGAGCAATACCATATATTGAAAATCAAAGGTTTGAATCACTTAATTAATCTCCCTCTCTCTCTCCCTCTCTCCTCTTCCCTTCTCCCTCTCTCTCTCTCTCTTCTTACATGATGTTTCTCGGTTCATTCCTACTCTTCACGCTCTCTCCTTCTTCCCAGCGTTCTTTCTTTTTTGATGGAAAGTGAGTCTTTACAAACTGATGGCTTGAATGACTAGGACGTATCTCACACCATGGTGCATCTGGAAATGAAACAAGAAAACAAAATACAACATTTGCTGTACTCTCTCTCTCTTTTTCTCTCTCTCATGACTGACCGGTCTCAAGGAGAAGACGATCTGCTGGGATTTCCTTAACAACCTCAAGGTTTTTACTAGTCTTTAAAGAGCTATGAAGTAATTAATAGAAAACGAGAACGCATTGAAACAAACAAAATTAAAACTTCAAAGAACAACTTGAACTAATTGGAACCCACAGGTCACAATCAAAGACATAACTCTTCAGCTAGTTTAGGGAGAGACTTGAGAAAATAATAACAACCAGCCAGCCACTAAAAGGTGGAGTGTACAGACTAGCTTATATATAATGGACACTTTGAGTACAAGAAAGTGACTCAGTTATACAGAGGTGTCCTTTATGTGGAGGTTATTTTATACAGTAAGGAATGTAATTGGTACACTAGGCGCTGTTCGTTAAATGGAGGTGTACGCTATAAAGAGTGTCCATTAAGAGAGGCTATACTGTATAATAACCAATCAAAAGATAAGAGGATGTATGTAGCCAATAATAGTACTGGCACAATGGGGCCTAGGGGGAGGCTCTACCTATGACTAACTCTTAGCAAACAAACCGTAAAAGCAGCAAACCAGCAATGCTTTGTTATCAAAGACTGCCATCAATTCTTTCTTTATTCCACATATTCGAAAAGAGTGTGCATGGAATACTACAGCTCCAATGAGCCATAGCAAGAGTTATAGTGAAATTCAGTGAATAAATATACTACACTACATTGGGATATGAAGGGAGAGCTGGCACGCTGCAGTAGCAGTACATACTTGACCACAACACTCACCATCCATTTACTCCGACGTGAAGCCCAAATTCCACTGCCTCCCTCATCTCCTCTTCAGTGCCATCAAACGAATGTATCTGAAACCACAAGTACATTATTGGTCACATAATACATGTACACATGTAAGTATGTGTAGAAGGATGTACATGTACATAAACATGTGTGTGTATGGTTTGGCTATAAGGCATTAGGTAACATGAATGTGTGTGTGTGTGTGTGTGTGTGTGTCATACTAGCCCTTTCAAAGACATTAGATATTTCAGCCTAGGCCTAAAGCTATGCTTTGATTAATTCCTATCAAATAAACACCTAGAACATGTCCTCTTTAAATTACAATGTCCTCTTAAAAATATCTCATCAAAAGTCCGCTATTTAACAATTAAACTGTAATTAATAAATCCTGTTGCAGCACAGGTATCCTTCATTGCTGAATATACTGCAGACGAATGAAGGAATTCTTTTTGGCAGCTGCTATGTTTCATTCAAAAAAACTAAAGCTACAAATATGCAGCTGTGTAGTAATTGAGGGCATGAGCAATAGCAAACTAACCGAGACCACATGTATCTAATACATTCCATTGGACACACATTATTTGTAGCAAAACAATTAAAGGTATAGTATGAATTGGTAAAAAGAGCCAAATAATAATAATACTATTTTATAGTGAATAAGTATTGTAGCCAAGCTACACTATAGTATTTACATTCTATAGGAATAATGTCATTAATTTTGAATTAGTAAGACTCCTCACGACCACACCCCTGTAAAAGCAGCTGCCTTTAAAAATCAATTTTTTACAAGCGTAAGGCATGCACACACAATTAAAATAACAATAACAATAACAATAACAATAACAATAACAATAACAATAACAATAACAATAATTGTTACCTAATTGCCACAATATCAACTACTAACAAACCATGTATAATTCTCAAAGTGAATTATAATTGAACAAGTCAAGCCCTTCCTCTCTCCACATTATAACATTATAAGCTTCAGTAACAACACTAACAATACTTGTGTGTCAATATTACATTGACAGTAAAGGCAGTTTAAAATGGCATCACTACCAATTAAGCCATTAAGCTCAAGACTGTTTTGAACACATTGGCAACTTGCTGTGATACAAGCAGTGGCAATTATCATACCAATTGTGAAACAAAACGTAGTGCCTTCATTGGAATTCATATTTCAACAGAGAGAGTGATGCATATAAGTGTGATTAATAATAGTGATAGTGATGACGTATTGTACATGCATGCATATCTGTCCAGTGTAGTCAAGAATGCTACGTAAGAGTTAGTTCTAATATAATTAGAAACTTCTTACCACACCACCAGAACGAATCTTGTTCCTGTTCCGCTTTAATATACCTGAGAGAGAGAGAGAGAGAGAGAGAGGGAGGGAGAAGGAGAGAAGAGATTCAAGGCATATTTAATAATTAAAAGACAGCCACAGCCTGTAATGATGGCCATTATAGAAGCCAATAAGTGTATATACACACACAATCAATATAGCTACAGGTATTTCATTGAGATCAAAGGGAGAGATAATGGTAGGCTAAAGGCATAAAGAAAAGGTATGTGCAATTAGGTATGTGAACTCTTGTCTCGGAGAGACACAAGGTCTGTGAAATAATTACTGACTGGTAATTGTTTACAAGACAAAGAACGGCTTTAATGTTCGTACAGAAAAAGAGAGAGGAGACATTGAGGCGTGAAGAAAGAAAGAAGCCAAAGACAATGAAGAGAGAGAGAGAGAGAGAGGGGGGAAGGAGGGAGAGGAATTATAATGGAAGGAAACAGAATTAAGACAAGGAAATAAAAAGGAAGAGAAAGGAAAAGGATGTAACCATGCAACCATATTCCTGAGACTATGGGTTTAGGGTGAGGGCTGACTGTGGCTGCATTAAAAAAACTATACAGGTGTCAGGATAGCCATAAAGTCTAGCTACCATAAAACACAGTCCATACCAATGTACAGTACATATGTGTGTATGGATATGGATACAGGTTAGCAAGATAAATAATGCTTATGATTAAAATTCATTTACACACTATTTTCATCTGCTAATCCTAAGTGTGTACACACACATCCACACACACAGTAAGACAAAGGCAAGCATTAGTATTTAGGCGGCATACGTGTATTTATATCTTGCTAGGTGTACAGTACGTGGCACTTTTAAAACCTTAGTTTAAGAAACAAAGTATCTGAGCCTGTGGTTGCACTAACAGAGCCCAGGGATCAAGTACTAGTGGATGAAGATCCTTGGATTATAATTCCACACTCCAGTGGTCATAGCAACGAAAATTAAAAATAAACATATGATACGTTCGCTTAAAGTTTTGCTACTCATAGATAGTTACAGGGTGGGCTTTTTTGCTTAGAATAACTAAAAAAAGAAATAAAATTTTGGTAAGTTTTGAGTTTTTTTTTAGCGAATGCAAATACTAATAGTCTATGGCTTGGTACTGGTGCTTGGGTGAAAGGTAAAAATGAATTTTATTTGTCTTCAAGAGAAAGCATATGCATACAATGGTGCCAGGAGTACATACATTATAGTGAAAAAACAACACTACCAATACAGTTCATTAGAGGCCTAATTCTTACTTAAAATTCACCCAAACAGCTCAGAAATATGAAGATTAAAGGAAATTAGCTGAAGGGGAAAATTGAATTTCAAGAAATTGTAATTTTTTGCTTGTACACATGCTCCATGGAAATTCTTAAGAATTTGTAACATCACTGTTTACAAATAATGGCAGACAAAGTACAAGTATACATACATTGGTCATTACATACATGACTAGTTTATAATAACTCAGCGTTGCTATGTTAGCTAGCACAGTTCTAAAATCGTTAAGGAGGACAAAACATGGCTACTTCTCATCAGAAAGTCCTCTTTAATTTAAGACAACAAGAGATACACAGCAACGCACATTATTAAAGAAGCGAGATATAGTCTTGTCAAAGCCATAAAAGCTCTTCTCTCTACTACACATTAATGATATAGCCTATAGTGATAGTAGGGCCCATAAATGTCACTGGAATCCAGTTGGTTGGAATTGATAGTGAAAAGACACATAGTGGGGAATGCCTCCGTATAAAGGACACAAACACACGCTTCACATAGATTTGTAAATTCATGAATTCATGAACTCCCACAGAAAAAGAATTAAAATGATAATAGCCAATAGCTTGTACTCTCTTTTCTCTTTTACAATTGGTACAAAGGGGTCCACACCCTGTGCTTGTATGCAGCAGCAATTGGCTACAAGTGACACTAAATACTCTTTACAAATTGGTGTTACTATAGCTACAGGATCAATGGAATAGTACACTACTAACTCATGAAGTCTGAAAAGGAATTCCGACAATGAAGGAATAAAGGGAGGGATGTTTCTTCCGCCAATGACAGCTGCTCTTCAAAATATTTGAGTTGAGTTGACTTATCACAAAAATGAAGACGATCGTAATCTAAGAGAGAGAGAGAAGAAAGAAAATAAGAAAAAATATTTAATAAAAAGAGATAAATATTTGCTAACGAGTTCCCATTAATATCATTACAACTCGGTAAGAGTGAAAAAGGAAGTTTGATCGTCTACAAACATGAATTACATGATACGGTTGAGGACTTACATGTACATATTTAAGAGGAATTGGGTGTGTGGAATGACAATTGCTTCATTGCGTATTGTATATCCCTTCCTTTCCACTTCATGTATAAAGCAATTAGTGATAATCAGATCAAGAATTAGGAGTAACATAATAACAACAGTCACCACTCAATCACTTCTTTCCTTTTTCCATCCTCGACCTCGCTCCCTCCCTCCCTCTCCCCTCTCTCTCCCTCCTCCCCTCTCTCTCCCTCCCTCCCTCCCCCCTCTCCCTCTCTCCCTCACTCTCTCTCCCTCTCCTTCTCTCTCTCTCCCTCTTTCTCTACCTAATCCACATTCTCCTATTGCTACGACCTTTTTCCTGTTCTCCTTTGCTAAATTCAAAAGCTCGGACAAATGCTTCTGAGGTTCAGTCTCAAAGTCTCCACAGCGGGTTGGGTGTACGCCTACCGTGGTATACAAGTGATCTAATGGGATAGGATGAAAGAAGATACAAAAGATGTAATGCCTTGAAATGGAGGAGAGCATAGGGCGTACAAATAGAAGCAGTCTAACCTTCATTCAGTGATAATTGCAAAGCATCTTTACAATCGCTTAAACTCCCTCCGGTCACAATAATCTGACGACATGTTGAGATATAGAGTACAAGAGGTAGAGGGAAAGGAATGTAATTGAATGAATCAACAGAGAATGAGTGCAAATAAAGAATTAGTGAGTATCAACAAAGGTGTGTGCTGGTTTGTTATCCAGGCATTCTGATCTATTGTTCTTATCAAAGGGCAACTGTTACAAGTTGGAAAAAATGTTCAATACACACACAGAGACAGACAGACAGACACACACACACAGAGACTTAAAAGGTTTCAACTTTTGATCGATAAACAGAGAGAGCCTAAGTGTCTGGTGGTACTATTAAATAACTAGCTAATGAAGTAACAATGGACACTCGTCTGTGAGAGAATCCCAAGGCTAATTATTATTGTACTAATTTCAATATAATAGCTCAATAATTATTAATGATAGTAATTCGATATACACCCACACTCAAATGAATGGCTCAATCCAATAACCACAACATGACAAAATGACATGGTGGACCATTAAAACCAATGACTAATGTCTTCTACTATGAGCACTAGCTATTATGCATCATAAGACTTTGGAGCAACTTTAAAAAATTTGTAAAAAATCCAAACGTGATTTGAATCAACTCAAACTTGAAATACAACATAAGAACATGTATATGTAATAGATAAAATTATAAAAATGAAGAATTCTCTCCTAGCCATTTTTGACAAAATTTGTCAAAATTCTCTGTACTATAGTACAGGGACTTTGGCCTGATTTTGAAGCAACTTTAAAAATTCGTAAAAAATCCAAATGCGATCGGAATCAGCTCAAACTTGAAACACAACATAAGAACATGTAAATGCATCAAATAAAATTATAAAAATGGAGAATTCTCTCATAGTCATTTTTGGCAAAATTTGTCAAAATTCCCTGTACTATAGTACAGGGACTTTGGCCTGATTTTGAAAAATTCGTAAAAAATCTAAATGTGATCGGAATCAGCTCAAACTTGAAACACAACATAAGAACATGTATATGCATCAGATAAAATAATAATAAAAATCGAGACTTCTCTCATAGCCATTTTTGACAAAATTTGGTTACAAAGTCCCTGTACTATACAAGCCAACTTTGACCAGAATCGCTTAAACAACAACAACAATAATAATATTAATTAAATTAAACAACCTTTTCCACTCCGGTCTCGTAGCTTCGTTTGAGTACAGAGTCCAAATCAGGAGGATGACAATTCTTGCCATAATAAACCCCCTGATACATTGGATCTAACAAATCATTAAAAACAGTTCGGGCAAAACCTAGACTTTTGTTTACAGAAAATTCATAAAATTTTAGTTAAAAATTTTGGCCAACAACACAAGTGAATATTAACACTCGACAAAAATTTCCCGCTATACGGTAATTTTTAAAAAGGAGTCTTTTACAAATTGAAAATAATTTCCAATTTTTCTTAAATTTTTGTTTGTCCGGTTATTGCATTTACCTGTCAAATTAGCTCCTATGTCTACAAAAAAATGAAATTAAAAAAAAAGAATAAAAAATTTGAATTGACCTATAAAACTATAGCTCTCTCCAGTTGCCATGATTGAGAATAGTCTTCTTTTTTTAATAATATTTTTAAAGAAAAACCTAATAAAAAGCATTAAATTTATTGTCACCACGTGGGAAAAAAGGCGTGTCTTAAGTTCAAAGTCAGCCACACCCTCCACCCACGTGATCAAAGATGGCATCAGTCTTACAACTCATCATTTTTGTTCTCACTTTATCACTCTTGGCTCAGATCAGCCACAGCTTGCAATACGTCCCACGAACACTCCTCTCCCCTCAAGAAGGTGATGACCCCGGGGACCCTCTCATATTGACCCCCTATGTTGTCAGTGGAGATGTTGACAAAGGTAAAAAGGCATAGAGTCTAGCTCCTTCCATAATAATTTTAATTTTTGATTTTTATACAGCTAAGAGTTTGAGTCAAGTGAATGGAATAGGCTCCTTTCCCAGCTATTCAGGTACTCCTGTTCAGTAAGACCACTCCCATTTGATTCATACTGGTCGGTAGTAGTTTTTATTTTATGGGCGGGGCTAATTTGAGCAGACAGCCTCATTAATATTCATAATTACTGCAAGATTAATTGATGCGTATAAAATAGAATTCCCAGTTTGGGCGGGAAAGGAGAAACAATGCTATATAAATCTCTTTGTGCTTGTATAGGGTACTTCACTGTTGACGATAAAAACAATGGAAACATGTTTTTCTGGTTCTTTCCCTCTCAAGTGGGCTAGGCCTATATCCTACTCATTACGAGTGTCCTTTCTTTCCTTAGGATGGAGCAGCTGATGCACCTGTTGCTCTCTGGCTCCAGGGGGGGCCAGGGGGGTCCTCAATGTTCGGACTTTTTGTTGAAAATGGTCCCCTAGCTGTTGACGCTAATGGAAAGAGTAGGTTTTTAAATGAGGCCCTTATATGGGGGATTTGTATTGGTATTTTGACATAATCATTGTATATGTTTTAGTATTGAAGTATGAGACTATGAAATATTATTAATTATCTTTTTTTTGCAGTGTATGAGCGTAAAGTAACGTGGAATCAGCATTACCACATGCTTTATATCGACAATCCAGTTGGAACTGGTTTCAGTTTTACCAATTCATCTGCTGGTTTATCTACCAACGAGGAACAAGTGGCAGATAATCTCTACAAGTACGTAAGGAGAGGTGTCCTTTAATTATTTTTCTTTCCTTCTCTCATTCAAGTGCTCTTGTCCAGTTTTTCCTGATATTTTCAGAGTATCTGAAAAACCCATTCTACATTACTGGCGAAGTGAGTCCATCCATTGCATGTATTGATACATTGCACTTTCTATATAATAATTATTTTACATGTTTTTGTGATTTATTGTTGCAGTCCTATGCTGGTAAATACATACCTGCCCTTGGTTACAAGATACACATCAGCAACCCAGGCGCTCTTGTACAGATTAATTTGGTTGGACTGGCACTGGGTGACGCACTGATAGATCCAGAACATGTAAAGAATAGAAACCTTTTGTCTCACTTCTGTTCTCTCTCTCTCCCCCCTCTCTCTCCCTCTCTCTCCCTCTCTCTCTCTCTCTCTCTCTATGATCAGATTGTTCCCGGATATGCTGATCTACTCTATAATATAGGGATGGCTGATATCAACGAGTCTACCTTTATCAAGTCTTGTACTGACAAGGCTGTTGGTTATATTCAAAACAAGCAATTCAAAGATGCCTTTGATGTGAGTGGTGAGATTTTATTTGCATTTAAAATACACGCTTTCAGTTTCATTTTGAAATTTAAATTCTGATGCTCGTAATGCAAAAATTATGCTCTGAAGTCTGAATCAGCTCAAAATTTCTACATAGCATAAGGAAATTGATTAAATTGTAATGAAAATGATTTACCAATGTTTAACGAGATGTTTGTTGTCTCAAAATATTTGACCATAGTAACTATAACTTGATCTTGTTTATGTAGTATCCCTTTCTTCATGTACTGTGCATTCTATTTTATGTAATAAATTATTATTTTTGTATTTTAGGTTTTTGACACATTGCTTAATGGTGATATATATCCTTATCCTACTTACTTCTATAATGTGACTGGAACCACAAACTATTTCAATTATCTTCTACTAAAAGTGAATGAATTGCATCTGTATAATGTGTATTATTGCTATTATGACATGTACAAGTACACATGTATTTCAAACTATGTATTTCTATATTTTAAGCTACTCTGTTTTCTATCTTGTAGGCTCCTGCAGATTTTAATTATTTCTACCAGTTTCTCAATGCGGAGTCGACAAGAAAAGCTATTCATGTCGGGAACACAAAGTTCAATGATGGAGGAACTGATGTGGAGATTGCATTGATCAATGTAAGCAGGGGAGGGCTCATTTAAAAAAAATATTTTAAAAATCCAAATGTGATCGGAATCGGCTCAAACTTTCTACACAATATAAGAACATGTATATGTATCAGGAAAATTATAAAAATTGAGAATTCTCTCCTTTTCGTTTTTGGTGAAATTTGGCCAACGACCCTGTACTATAGTACAGGGACTTTGGCCCGATTTTGGAGCAACTTTAAAAATTCATAAAAAATTCAAACGTGATCGGAATCGGCTCAAACTTTCTACACAATATAAGAACATGTATATGTATCAGGAAAATTATAAAAATTGAGAATTCTCTCCTTTTCATTTTTGGTGAAATTTGGCCAACGACCCTGTACTATAGTATAGGGACTTTGGCCCAATTTTGGAGCAACTTTAAAAATTCATGAAAAATTTAAACGTCATCAGAATCGGCTCAAACTTTCTACACAATATAAGAACATGTATATGTATCAGGAAAATTATAAAAATTGAGAATTCTCTCCTTTTCGTTTTTGGTGAAATTTGGCCAACGACCCTGTACTATAGTATAGGGACTTTGGCCCAATTTTGGAGCAACTTTAAAAATTCATGAAAAATTTAAACGTCATCAGAATCGGCTCAAACTTTCTACACAATATAAGAACATGTATATGTATCAGGAAAATTATAAAAATTGAGAATTCTCTCCTTTGATGAAAGGTCCCTCTGTACTATGGTACTCATAGTCACCACCAAATATGAACCTCATTTTACACTCTTGTATATTTTTAGGATATTATGGACACTCAAGTGGATAATTTTGTCACTCTGCTTGAAAATTACAAAGTAATTTTATTTATTTATAATTAACGTTTATTCTCTAATTCCTCTACATCAGATATTGCTGTACAATGGTCAGCTTGATATAATAGTTGGTGCTCCTTTGACTGAAAACTTCATGCAGCAGCTGAAATGGTCCGGCCAGTCTGATTATTTGAATTCCGCAAAGACGGTTTGGCGACTGAACGGAACGACAGTCGGCTATGTGAGACAAGTGGGAGGAACTTTCCAACAAGTTAGTGAGAAATAGAGCAAGATGATGAATAAATCTTTCTTTCTCTCTCTCTCTCTGGTAAGGTTGTGATAAGAAATGCCGGTCATATTCTTCCTTACGATCAGCCCGAGGTCGCTCTAGCCATGCTGCAGAATTTCGTTAATCTACAGCCGAATAATTGATAGAGCTATAGAAGACTTATAGTAATACATGATACATGTACATATATTATAATACATATAAACATGGTAGCTGCCCTGTAAATAAATATAAGCTGAATTGCTGGGATGTTGTTGATTGTTATTATTTTTGTTATTTATTATTATTATTATTATTATTATTATTATTATTATTAGTACAATGTATAAAAATAGGAGAGACTGTTATAGTGGGTTTGATATAAGAATATAGCCACCACTAGAAAAGGAGGTAGGAGCGTATGAAACAGACAAAATATAAAAATGGCAATAATGAATACGGGTCGATCTGTATGCATGCTTGGAAAAGAGAGAGAAAGAAATTAACACAAAAATGTAATTGGCACACAAAACGTTTAAGTCATTTGTATCAAGAGGAATATTAGGAGAGAGAGAGAGAGAGGACACAAATAATTAAAATCATTATTAAAAGAGGGAGAGTTGTGTGTGATATAAATATATCTTAATAATAGCGTAAAATTTAAAACTTTTTTGAATTAAAGTGATCCTGGAGTAAGGGAGGGAGGGAGAAGAGCTAGCAAACACCACATTACGAGTGCCAATTTAAAAAAAAAAGACGAAAAGAGAGAGAGAGAACAAAACAGAACACAATCACAAAGAATGAAACAATATATAATGAATACTGCCCTTTCAAAAGGGGAGGAAGAACTAGTGATTGTTTGAGAAGAATAATAATTGACTGTAACATCTGAAGACACCTTGAAAACACTGTCCATGCACTATCTGTTTCATGATGTGTTACTGGATACAATAATGGATGGATGGATGGTGGTCTATCAGGTATCATAAACCAGTTTTACTGCCGAGAGGAGCGATTCTGGTGTAGCTATTAACAAGTACGTGAACAAGAGTCGACTGTCAATGTCACTGTTGAGATACGAATGAGGCTGTCCCTTTAATGATGGCCGTAGGTAAAAGGAACATATTTCTGATACGAGCCATTCCTGGCAGTCAGTGATTGTCGTACATTCTCCCTCTGGCGGCCCAAATAGCAACAGGAAGCAACAGAGTGCCGACTGTAGGGACGTGGGTCTCTCCTCCTGACCCAAAGTAAGTACCTTCTTCACTAGGGTTCTAAGTCTCGGCGAGAAACAGTTCAACTCTGGGATATTCTCAGCTGTCGTTAGCAGAGGCTCCGGGCTTTCGTTAAAAACCTCTGTGAAGAACCTTGCGACTGTAAAAGCATTGGAGCTCTTTAGAAACAGGGAGAGAGGCGGGACTTCGGAAAGCAGGAGTGACGAGCAGTCCCTAAGGTATGCAAGCTCTGGTGAAAACCCTAACAAGGTTTTAGGCGAGTACTCACAAAAGAGATCCTGGAGGTGACTCGAGTCCTTACCATTGATACTCAAGGAATGGCTCAACCCAATCAACACTAAATGATGACGGGCATCAAATAGAATATCACTTGGAGACAAGTGTGTCACAATGATGCCATATTGGTCCAAATGGGAGAGGGTAAGAAACAACTGAGTCAGTAGCAATACTGCCGTCCGTTCCTTGAAACCATAAGGTGCTACAGGCTGTAACTGTTGTTTAGTGGAGAGATAAGACTGAAACGAAGAATAACTATCTGCAAGAAACAACAGGTGGACTTCGGGCGCCATCTTGAGCGATATGTGGCTCTCGTCCGGACAAAAGTTTCTCGTGAATCGTTCAAAGGGTCTTGAGTGTGCGGGACAGTAGTGTAGTAGACGAGGTATGTTTGGGTGTGGCGGTAGTGAGGTAAGGATTGAAGGCTCAGTGCAGTCTGTCTTCATGTAGGATCGCGAGTGGTAGAGTTCTGACACGTCTTTATCCCCGAGGTCAAATATTTTAGTAATTACCTGCAAGCATAAATAAATTAATGACAGGTTACAGCTGGTAATTTTGTACAGGGGCGTAATTTGACAAATAATTATTGCTACTTTTTGGTGATTTTTGATTTCGCAGGTTTGCGTTCATATACCAGTAATGGCTTAATTTTGTTAAATGACTATACAACAACAAGTTTACCAAAATTTTCCTGCTCCAAAATTACCAGCTAACTATGGTATATACATGTACATGTACACACCACAATGTATTGGTAACACCATATCAATGAATGAGCAATGTTGGGAGTATCAGTGGTTAGAGTAACAAGGAGGATAAAGGAGACAGAACAAAGGCTACAACAAATTGAATGCATGTATACACTTTGGCACACACACACACACACACACACACACAAATAAATAGGTTGACACAAATTCTTCACACTACACAGAGCATGTAATAAGAAGTGGTATTTCATACTTATTGATTCACTCCATGCTATAGCATGCTCTGGATACTATATTCATACTATGAGTAGTCTCCACCCAAGGTAGACAACCGACCACATGAAATAATGCATGATCTTATGTTGTTTATTTTGGTACAGGAAGAGATGCCTGTTCTTTCCAAATATGGTCATAAGGGAGACCACCTTCTCAACAAATATTTGACAACTAAGAGCTAAAGCATTCTGGTAGTACATAGTGCAGGAATAATGCAACCACATAACTTATAAATGCTACATGTATACAGTATTGCAGTACATGCATGATGAGTATAGATGAGTTTACTATTATACACAATTATAGAGTGGATGTATAATGTCTGTATTATATTGGAGTGTCTCTTGCAAGGGTATAATAGCAGAGTTTAGATTAATAATTACACATACAACTCACTCTTAGTAAAACTGCTCTATTTTGTAATGACTTCTCGCTGGAGGCTTGAGGATGAAGTTTGACTTTAAAAACCATCTCGGCGTAATTTGGAGTTGGGCTGCCATGAGCTACGCTAATAGGACTACCAGCTGTCGTCTCGTTTGAAAGTATTTCATAATCACAGCCCCAGACGTACTCAATGGCTGAATCAAGATGTCTGCTAGTTTCCTTCAACCTTTTGCTACAAAACTCCCCGGTGAGACTGCAAAGTGATTCATATTCTTTAGTATCGAAGCCAAGGTCATTATGAACTGAGCTCAATAGCGAGGCAACATGAACAGAGTCTAATCCACCGCCATATTGAACAGAGACCGTCTCGTTTAGATGATGGATCATGTTTTGGACGCGGAGTTTTGGAGCCGAGAGACGAGAAGCAGGAGGAAGGGAGAGGGCAGAGGTGGAGTCACATTCAATCTCATTAGGAGAGTGGTGAATCAAGGAGTGCAAGTGGAGGGGGTCTTCCGAGAAAGGGAGGGAAGCTCCGAAATCATGATACGTCTGGGTCCTACGAGGATCTGATATGAGCGTTTGAGTTGGTAGTATGAGTTGAGAGTCGTGCGACATGTTGGCAAGGCTTGATCTCTGAGGAGAGGTCCTGGTCTGTGCTTGTAACAAGAGAGACGTGGGTGAAGGAGACTTACCCCTCCCGTTGCTGCTCCCATACGTAATCGGTTGCTCCCTCAGGTTGGCATAGCAACGAGAAGGCTCCGCCCCAGAGAAACTATAAGTTCTGGAAACATCTGTTTTTCGTTTTGGACCATAGCTGGCTCCGCCCACAGAGCTGTCATCACGACTACCGTTAGCGTAGGGATAGAGGAGTTGTCTTGGCGGTGTTAGACGTGTGTTGGTTGTCTCTGTTGAGGAGGAGCGTATCCTCGAGGAAGAAGATAGGCCAGACACTCTCTGATGTACATGTACGTGTCCTAAATAAAGAAAAGGTTTAGTTATAGGCAAAAATGACAGGACAATAGAATAAATAAAAATACATGTAACAAAATAGAGAAGGAGAGAGAGAGAGAGAGAGAGAGAGAGAGAGAGGAGGAAGAGAAAGCATGTACATATACATATAAGTGAAGTCAAACTATCATATTTCAGGGTAGTTTATGCATGCGAGCAGTTTACCATTACCGTTCAACAATATTCATTATAATACCCGAGATAGAGAGGTCTATAGTCCTCTATCTATTAGTACATGCATTGTGTACCTATCTGTATGTAAACTTTCTTTGGTGAGGCCACCTATTGGATATACAAGGGGAAATTTCCTTTCTGCCCTGATAAGGTATCTTGTGTTAAGCTACATAGGAATTTATTGATAGACATATACACAGTCCAATACAGTATAGTACATACAAACACGCCTTTGTACTATAACACACGCAATGTACATGAAAGAGAGAAAGAAGAGGAAGGGAGAGAGAGGGGGAAGGAGAGAGAGAGAGAGAGAGAGAGAGAGAGAGGGGGAAGGAGAGAGAGAGAGAGAGAGGGAGGGAGAGAGAAGGAATGAGAGAAGACAGAACAAATGTGTAATTACTATGATGTAAGTTTGCCCCAATAAGTCACCAATAATTAATAATGTATGTGAACCAATCTCTCATAAATGGATATGGTGTAGGCTGTAGTTCAAAGCATAATGATTCTTTGATCCACCCTGACATATAATGATATACACACACTCATTACTGTACGCACATATGCACAATACAATATGTCACAGATTCACTTTTAGTTCTTGTTTTATGTCTCCCAAGACAAACTGTGTACAGTGACTGAGTAGCTCTTACATGCACCAGCAGTAAGTAGCAGCTACATAATGTCTTTTAATTCTGAGAAAGACGCATAATACTACCTTTATCTTTATAACCAATGCAGAGACTACAGATTTTATATAATCCATGCACAAATGCTGTAAGGTGAAGGAATGCTTCCATGTATGAAGGATTGCATGTATTGCAGACTGTCTGGCAGTGATATCTTAAACTTACTATATCTATCAAATTGACCATGGAATTGACTAATTGTATAATAATTTGGCAGCCTTGCATAAAAAGCATCATATATACATTGCACAATAAATACTGTGTTAGTTGCAACTAAGAGTTTAATGCAATTAAGTACTGAGAGGCTACAAAAGGGAGTTACCAAGGGACATAGCACCAGGTCTAATTATATGTCCACCAATAAATGATTTGGTTTATGATATTAAGAGTGATGTACGTACTTGTTTACAGAAAAAGCGAGCGAGAGAGAGTGCGTGAGCGAAAGAGACAGAGAAGGGTTAGTCCTGATAATGCTCAGCCAATACTTGTTTGTTTGTATATATAATGTTAAACAACACTGGTGAACTTTCAGTGTCCATTGAAAAGAAGAGAATGAGAGGGGCAAAGCTCCACGAATGGTAGAGCCCAATTCATAAAAGTATCATTATTTGAGCAAGCTTTGAATGAGTTCTCTCCCTCTCTCTCTCTCTCTTTAAGAATAACTTGTAGATATTTCAGCACAGTAAGAACATTAGTGTTGATCTTATAAAGGTACATGCATATGTATGTCATCATTATGTGCTTCTTCCCTGTGTCTTAAGTATTAAAGCAGTTCGCAGACACGTAACACTCAAACTAGCTGTAGGCCAGTGATGTTACACAAAACCTACACTTTCACATAACTCAAAATGCAGCAAGTCATTTTTTCTTTTATTACTCCCTTCCTTCTTAAACAGTATATGCTGGACTGTTAATATTATATAAATAGATTGGATTAACTGGTTGTATGGGCTCTATAAATGTAATCAGACTCATCTTAAACCACATTGAAGCATGAGACCATGCAGTCAAAAAAACCATAACACAAATAGACAAGCCTCCATTCTCATTGATGAGCGCTTTGAGCTGTAACATACAAGTACATGTACATGTATGTACACAGGCCATACATGTACATGTACTTAAGATACATGTATAGCTGCTCCCTACTTGTGTCCTTTCTTTTTTTATTAATATTTCCATGGGAAGCTTATTGTTACAAGAGTGTAGTGGCAGAGATAAAAACCAGCGATAAGGTTACAAAATATGGTGGGCATATAGTGGCCTGTCTGTGAACTCATAGAAATTCATATACACACATACTCTGTATTGATTGAGCTAGTATTAGTCCCCGTTATAATAATTGTGTATAATGTTTAATATGTGGAGAGCAGGTGGCCCTATCTCTCCCTCTCGTGTGTTTATAGTGTGGAGATTGAGCGGTTATTTCCCTACCATAACCACACTCTCTCAATACATTGTACATACAAATGTATTATAAGTCTGTTTGGAATGGCGCTATTCGGTTATTGGCCATACATCAACCAAGTGGGAGCGCCGGAAATTTGAGAGAAAGAGAGAAAGAGGGGGAGGCAGTAACGATACTGATCAGGTGTAAATACCACCGCTAGTGAAGCAGCTGATAACATGAAAAAAATCCCCCACTCTCTACAGTACACTTGAACTCTCCTTGATGGCATACCAGATTACTGGTGTCACATAACCCTAGGGGACAGGGTCCTGCTAACACTTGATTATTAACAGTCTGAATGTCTATACTCCATGATACTTTCCCCTTGCACTGGGTGGAGTCATAGTCCCTTAATTACGTGTACCTGCCCACTATAACTGCACGTGCACATACTGAAACTAAAGGGGCTGTATCTTCCCCAGAAGAAGCCAGCCTCTTTTCTTATATCATATACCTCCAGCAACAGTACTAGAAAACACTACACAGTACAGTGGACATGTTAGGATTGGAATCTAGATCATCAAAGATATAGAAAAACTTTGAAAGAGAAGAGATCGCCACTAAACCAGGAAATAGAAAGCTCACACAGAGAGGAGAGGCTATAATCAAGCTTTTGTACAAACACAAATATATACACAACCACGCCCTCGTCCTTTTTGTATGTTTACTAGCTCCAATGGTCTCCATAAAATGGCGGCTACCTCTTCGTCATAAATAATAATTATTCGGTTGTGGGTTAAATTAAAACCCGAGACAGCTGCATGGTTATTAATACATTAATGAGAGGAGAAATGGTATGATAGTTGACCCCATTTTGAAAGCAGAATATAGCCACTGTGGTGGAGTAATCTATACACAGACAACTGATGCTCCCAACTGTACCATAATAGGCAAGAAATTCTAGCCCTTTCCCAAATTTTGGGACTCAAATAATATATTTTAGGATTATAATGAATGCATTAGGAAGGAGTGCCAAATACAAGCCGACACATAATATGTCATTATTACAATGAAATGAGTATCTCTTCAATGCACACGTGTACACATACATATCTCACTTCTCTTCCCTTTTATACAAGCGATACATAATGTATGCGTACTTTATATGTACATGTACATGTATATACTTTATAGCATACTAGTTGAATGCATTACTTTTATGTACTGTACATGTAATACATACAGTTTTTCAATGCCTAAGCAACCACACACACACACACACACACACACACATACACAATACTACACACCATATGGCCTTACTACTATTAGCTAACCTTTGTCAAAGACCTCAAATAACTTGTGCAAGTCCGTTTGGTTCGTATATCGTCCAGCTTCAAGTGGCGTCTCTCCTTTGCTGTTTCTTGCCTTGTAATTTGCTCCGGCGTTTAACAGGAGCTTAATGCACTCAACGTGTCCCCTCATGGAGGCAATGTGAAGAGGTGTGTCACCGTCACAGTTAGGCTGATCTAGATTACACCCTCCCCATATGAATTCTTGGACGATCTCCTTATTCCCACGGCTACAGGCCTCATGTAGGGGGTAATACTCGTATACCATGTGACGATAAGGGTCGGCCTTTTTGTGGAGCAGAAATCGACAGACGGAGGGCTGGCCAACCTTTACTGCCCAATACAGTGGGGTTATAATGTAGGGCTTGCCGTCCTCTGACTGATATGGAATCTCTGTATTGACTGAGTACTGGTTCGTACTTAGGAGGCGCTCTAGACTTGGGATGTCCGCGTCTCTTATTGCTTCAAGAAGCGGCTCGTATCCAGCCCGTAGGGTCATACTGAACGTTGATAAGTATAATAGTCACTTGTTGTAGTCTGGAGGCAGAGAGAGTGAGAAAACAGATGAAGAAATACAAAAACCAGCAGTATTGATGGGAAATGGCAAAGCGACAAGGATACCTTGTATTTTATGATAGCAGGCCTTTGTCGACTCGCTTACCTAGTTATTTTTGGTCAAGGAATTTAAACCAAGAGGCATAATGAACTTTAAATCAACCTTCGAACCAAGGGGAAGCTCTGGGCTATACACTCTCTTAAGACTACACACACACCGAGAGACGGCCGAGAGGGAGTTGTTTTATTAGTAAATGATATATTGCTTTGTGTGTTATATGTTTATGTACAAAAGGGTTATTACCCCCAATGGCCTTTAACTTATAGTTGCAGGGAGATCCCGGCCAGACATCAAGAAGGAGTCACGCGATTAAAATTTTATGGGTGCGTGACAGCGAATTTTGCGTGGGAGTATATTAGTGATATCCAAAAGCTTTTGTGGGGATATTCTGCTCCTTGATATTGCAAAATTTGGTAATTTTCACCTAGAAGTGTGACATTGCAAGAAAAAACTGAGAAAAAATATGAAAAATGAGAGAAATATCTGCAGCTACATGATAATAATAAAAAAACGAACTCCACCCCTTTTTCATTTTGACTTTTTGCTTTCAAAATACCATCTATGGTATGGACTGTAAGACAATAGTTCTTTTAAAAAAGTAGCTACTTCAAAATCATGGAAAATCATAGTTATATGGACGATTTCGGTAAATTAAAACACGTGTTAATTAATTGGTTAATTATTCATCCTAAGGGGGCGTGCACCCTATTAGGGCGTGGTCAGGACAATGCTGGCTGGTCTGTTTGATGAAGATGCAGCTCTAGCTGAAGAAGGAGGGGGAGGAGGACAAGGGGGACAACAGGGGATACCCAGGCCCCTCCCACCAAGGAACAGAACCAAGTTGTGTGGATTAAGCAATCTTGGTGCAACCTGCTACATGAACGCTCTCCTTCAAACTTTATTTTATACGCCAGAGCTGAGAGGTAGAGAGAGAGGGAGGGGGAGGATGAATATCGATTAATTTTTAGAGTCTTTGTTTTCACTGAGTCGAGAAGAGCTTGGTATTGAAGGAGAGGCTGGAATGGTACGTTAATTAAATATTAATATTATTTAATATTAATAATAATTATTATTATTGAAATGTTTAATTATCATAATTTTCATGCAAAATTTCAATTTTCCTCCCCCCGGCCCCTCAGATTAGGGATATCCCAGTTCAGTTGCAGCACCTGTTTGCTCGTATGCTGTTAGCTGATCAGGACACTGTGGGTGTGGAAGGACTTGTCTCAAGTTTTGGATGGACAAACAACGAAGTATTGGATTGAATTCTTTACTGTCTAGCTCCTACCTTTCTCCCTTCCTCTTTCTCCCTCTCTCTTTCTCTCTCCCCCGTCTCTCTCCAACAGCAAATGCAGCAGCATGACGTCCAGGAGCTAAACAGGATCTTGTTTGATGCCATTGAATCCTCACTAGTTGGTACATCAGGAGAGCAGCTCATTGCCCAGCTCTATCATGGGACCAGTGTACAACAAGTTTGTATATTCCTAATTGCTTAACTACGTGTAATTTGGACTTTTACCAATAAACTGAGTATTTAGTAGTATAGTCTCATAATGACATTATCCAACTGGTTATAATGATATTTAATCTACCTCCTCTCTCTCTCTCTCTCTCTCTCTCCCTCTCCCTCCCTCTCTCTCTCTCTCTCTCTCTCTCTCTCTCTCTCTCTCTCTCTCTCTCTCTCTCTCTCTCTCTCTCTCTCTCTCTCCCTCTCCCTCTCTCTCTCTCTCCCTCTCCCTCTCTCTCTCTCTCCAGGTGATTTGTGGAAGATGTGAGAATGTGAGTGAGAGAGAAGAAGACTTTCTTGATATTCCGGTCGCTCTGACTGGGAGAGGTGATCTTGAGTCTGCTCTTAAAGAAATGTTCTGTGACGTTGAGGTTCTTGAGGGTAGCAACCAGTATCGCTGTGGGACGTGTAATTGTCTTGTAGATGCTAAAAGAGTAAGTTTTTTGTATGTACAGTAAATGGTATATTATATTATATGAATCTCTTGAGCTTCTCTCCTTTTGGCAGCCCCCTTGAACTTGATTTATTTATTAGTTAAGTTAAATTTAGTCACATGCCCCGGCCCCCACAAGATTATATTATTATTGATTTGCCACTCCCTTTCATTGAAATCTTGATACAAAGCCATGAAATGTCAATATTTATTCTTTTATTTTGTTTCTCTCTTCCTTTCTACACTTTGTACATCTATCTTTATTGTTATGTCCTTCCTTCCTTTCTCATAGGCGGCTAAACTACGTAAACTCCCACCTGTACTCACCTTTAACCTGCTGAGGTTTCTTTATGACTTTGAGAAAGGAGAAAGATACAAGGTCACTATCATGTAGGAATTTTAGAGCAACTTTAAAAATTCATAAAAAATCCAAATGTGATTGGAATCAACTCAAACTTTCTACACAACATAAGAACATGTATATGTATCAGAAAAAATTATATAAATGGAGAATTCTCTACTTTTCATTTTTGGCGAAATTTGACCCAAGACCATGTACTATAGTACAGGGACTTTGACCCGATTTTAAAGCAACTTTAAAAATTTGTAAAAAAAATCCAAATGTGGTCGGAATTGGCTCAAACTTTCTACACAACATATAAACATGTATATGTATCAGGAAAAATTATTAAAATGGAGAATTCTCTCCTTTTTATTTTTGGCGAAATTCCCTGTCCATGGTCATTCCTTTTCTCTCTCTTTTCAGGATTTATCTAGTTTTAAGTTTCCACGTTCACTTATCATGAAACCTTATCTTGAGGCAGTGAGGCCAGGAAACCCTCAGAAAGGAGGAGGAGAAGATGAAGAGTTTATATATGATCTCTTCTCTGTTGTAATACACAGTGGGACCACACACTCGGGTCACTATGTGGCATTTATTAGAGATATAGACAGACTAGGAGTTTGGACACAACCTGTATGTGTGCCTGCATGTATTATAGCTTAAATTCACCTCTCTCTCTTTCCCTTCTCTCTCTCTCTCTCTTTCCCTTCTCTCTTTCTCTTTCTTCCTTTTTCTCTCAGGAGAAGGAGCCTGTTTCATTACAGAAGTCCCTCTCTGCTGATGTCTTAGAGTATAATTCTCCATTGGAGCTACTTCAAGCAATCATACCACAGTGCGGAGGAAAAGCAACCATCAACAAACTCTGCAAAGTAATGAATAATGATCAGCACACAGACCAGCCTCTGTATAATGGACACTTTGGGTACAAGAAAGTGTCTCTGTTATACAGAGGTGTCCTTTATGTGGAGGTTATTTTATACAGTAAGGAATGTAATTGGTACACTAGGTGCTGTCCGTTAAATGGAGGTGTACGCTATAGAGAGTGTCCATTAAGAGAGACTATATACAATTACCTGTATTGATGCTGCATGTACATATACATGTATTCGCATGCATTGGTTTAATTTTTTGTTTTGTCAATGTTCTTTATTAAAACTTCATTATTCAATAATGATTGAGACGTTATTTCTTTGCTAATCTAATCTCCGAGTCTGCTTCTGAGTCTCTTCCTTGCCAAATTACCAGCTGCTTGCCAATAAAATTCCCTCCAGTTATACTACAGTACATGTAGGTCAACCTTTTGTTTTGACTATCATTGGAATAATGTAATAAAAATAACGATGTACATGTACAGTATAGTCTCTCTTAATGGACACTCTCTATAGCGTACACCTCCATTTAACGGACAGCACCTAGTGTACCAATTACATTCCTTACTGTATAAAATAACCTCCACATAAAGGACACCTCTGTATAACAGAGACACTTTCTTGTACCAAAGTGTCCATTATATAGAGGCTGATTACAATATTAGTATCATTTATTTATTTATTACATATATTTGTATTTTTAGCTACTTCAAGATCAGACTGGTGTTACTTGGAACAAAAGGTTTAAACAGCAGTACGGTCCTATTAGCAAAGTATAACCACCTCTTATGTAGTGCTTTAAAATGATTCTCTTTCCTTTTCTGTACCCTTTCTCTCCTCTTAGTTCATAAGGCAGAACAGTGATGTATTCTCAATTGATTCTACTAATACGATCACATTAAAGAGTGAGGCCCCACCCACATCACCCAAAAAAGACTCGGAGGAAGCCATGCAAGTCTTATCTTCTAAAGAATGTACTCCTCACAAGCTTGAGGAGAATGAGGGGGAGGTATCCGATAAAGATGTCACACCTGTTAAGAATGAGTGAGTCTTCAATAATTAATATCACTTGTAATAGCTCTCTTCTCTCTCTCTCTCTCTCTCTCTCTCTCCCCTCCCTCTTATTCCCTTTCTCCCCCTCCCTCTCTCCCTCCCTTCCTCCCTCCCTCAATCAGTGTTCCTGTTAGTAATGGCCTTTGGTTTGAGTTCAATGATTCTCATGTTCTTTCCGTCAATCCTTCCGCCATTGATAAGATGTTCTCCGGCAGACAGAGTGCTTACATGTTGTTCTATCGTTTGAGATCTCTCAAAAGACCCAACGAAGGTACTTGCACATGTAGTGTACATGTACATGTATTTGTATATTATTTATTTACATGTAGCGGCTGGCAATCCTGTCTATGGCGTACCCCAATGGCTACAAGATGAAGTGGCTACTACCAATGCTGTTCTTGAAGCAGACAGGTACCACAGTAGATGTACATGTACATGTATGTGCATGCATATGTATAGTAGCATCTCTCTATAGCGTACACCTCCATTTAACGGACAGCACCTAGTGTACCAATTACATTCCTTACTGTATAAAATAACCTCCACATAAAGGACACCTCTGTATAACAGACACACTTTCTTGTACCCAAAGTGTCCATTATATAGAGGCTAGTCTGTATATGTACTTCATTCCTTATTCATTACAGGCAGCATTATGAAAAGGCAGTTAACACAGTTAATCTCAGCATACATCCATCAGTCTACTACGTGTATGCTAGTGGAGCTCTTCAAAACATTATGGTATTTATGAGAGTGTATAAGGGAAGGGAGAGGGAAGGAAGGAGGAAGAGAATAAGGGGGAGAGAGGGAGAGAGAGAGGGAGATGAGGGAGGTAGTGTTGTTTTATCTTCATTTATAGAATGATCTAATTCATGTGATAAGTTTTGACAGAAGGCAATCAGTATCACAGTTACAAGCCACCATAATACAAGTATAATGATGATGATGATCCTTCACTCAACTTAAATCAACTAAAACTCTCTCGTAGGAGATCAGTGATTTCTGTACCCTCCCTGATACAATGTGTATCAATGTAGCAAAAAAATTACCAGCTGGTCTCCATGTATATGAATGTATATCCAGTTAGTTTCATATTATTAATTAATTAATTAATTTATTTATTTATTACTTGTGTGTGTGTGTGTGTGTGTCTTTAGATGATGAAAATTCTTCATTGATTGACATTGGTATTTCAAATAATGCTGACCTGTTTGTGTGGAATGGAACCACTGTTGGTTATGTAAATATTTTATTTTATTTTATCGCCTCCCTCCCCCTTTCTTCCTCTTTCTCTTCTTCCCTCCCTTTTTTATTTTCAAGGTGAATGATGATGCCATTCCACTTGGAAAAGATCTTGAACCGATTCTACTTCATTTGAATTATCCAGCGGACTCTGATGGAACCCTCGCCACCATTTCTAACGGTTTCCCGAAATCTACCACAATCCTTGAATTAAGAGTAAATACTGTACAGTATAGTCTCTCTTAATGGACACTCTCTATAGCGTACACCTCCATTTAACGGACAGCACCTAGTGTACCAATTACATTCCTTACTGTATAAAATAACCTCCACATAAAGGACACCTCTGTATAACAGAGACACTTTCTTGTACCAAAGTGTCCATTATATAGAGGCTAGTCTGTATAATATCAATCTACATGTACATAATACATATTTTACAATTTCTTTCTTTTTTTTTCTTTTAGCAATATTTTGTTGAGTTGCTCAATTGTTCGTCTCCTCACGATATTCACTTGAATCAAGTTCAAAGATCAAGTAAGTTTGTATCATGTTATTGTCATGTGACCTCCTCCTCTCATCAATAGCTCGTTCTGGGGATGCGACTATTCAAACTATCCCAATACACAAAGTATGTACATGTATGCCTGTATAAAAGTACATGCACAGTATATACATGTAGTGGAAATTTTTACTATGTAACTTTGATTTTGCTAAATTAGAAATTTGCAAAAAATAGATTTTCACTGTTGCTTTAATAGATAGAAATGTACTTAGAAGTATTTTGAGATAAAACTATTGTAGATTAGGAAATTTTCAGATTTCTTTTTACTGTTAAGACAATTTCACTGGACAATACACATATTATAGAAATAATATAACTTTTTCCACTAATTATTTCTGTCACAAAATGTTTCTAATCTACAAGAGACTTGTGCATATATTTCTCTCCTGTTCCTCTTTCCAACAGGATAAGAATACTTTGGCTGATCTTTCGTTGTCAGACGGTGATCATTTGACAGCTGAACTAAAGACGAAGAAAGGATACAAATCCTTCGCTTATTCTGTAGCCGACAAGCAAAACAAGATGATCACGTTTCTAATAGAAAACAGATGTGTGGTGAGTGTCAATAATAATTATAACAATTGCGTGTAAATATTCTTTTTGCTAGGATTCTGGTGTAGAAGATTATCCAGTCTATCCTGTTGAAGTCTCGAAAACCGAAGTTCGAATATTATTGATAATTTTTATAATAATTATTAAAATTTCCTTGTAGCAACTGCATCAAGTTAAGCGTCACATTACGTCTCAACTACAATTGGACAATATTGAGGGTGAGTGAGCCATGGGCGGGTTGCTATGGTAACAAGCCCCTCCCCCACAGGCGGAGGTTGTTTGTGTATAGAGGATGATTTTGAAGGGCTTGGTCCGTCGCTGGCCGAGGAACAGTCAGTCTCTGAAGCTGGTATTGAGTCTGGAATGAGAGTTGTGCTGAAACCAGGTCTAGCTCCTTTAAGAAATCAAGTAATAATAATAATAACAATACTTGAACTTATTGTTTTTGCTCTCTTTCCCTCCCCCTCTCTCTCTCCCAGATTCCTTTAAAGTGTGCTGTTCCAGGTGGCAATTTTCAAGAGGTAATTGTTGATAGATCCTCCACAATAAAAGAAGTATGTCTAGTCATTTCTGCTGCTTCTAATTCCATTCTTTACACAGGTTTGCTCTGTGATGGTTGCTAAAGTTGGGCTGGAAGGTAATTCATTTAAATACAGACTAGCCTCTATATAATGGACACTTTGGTATAGCTCTGTTATACAGAGGTGTCCTTTATGTGGAGGTTATTTTATACAGTAAGGAATGTAATTGGTACACTAGGTGCTGTCTGTTAAATGGAGGTGTACGCTATAGAGAGTGTCCATTAAGAGAGACTATACTGTATACACATCTTTTATATTATACATGTACATGTACATACATGTACCTTTACCTGTATCAATGCCACACTCATGCAATGGCTGCAGTTTTGTGAAATTGAATGTGTGTGGTTGTAGTTATAATAAGTGGCCATTACCTCAGCCTAATGAAGCCAGAGGGTCACACTCTCCCAAACTGCTTCAATAGACCAACCTCATTCATTAAAGAATACTCATGAACCACATACACATGTGTACGTACATGTATGTATTACATGTACATGTAAGGACACCTGTTGCTATTTGCCCTTTGTATTTTCAATTTTAGTAAAAACCATTTTCTTGAGTAATCTAATATCATACTAGTAATGGTTTACTGATAACAATTAATGCTGTGTGAGATATAGTACATGTAGCATGTAGTTTGAAAATGAAGAATGAAGTGTTTGGTTTTCCAAGTATTAAATCATTTAATTATTTCTACCTATTACTCTGATGTGTTTGGATAACATGCATAGCTATAATGCATGTACATGTACATCCATGTATATGTACATCTGTATAATGACAGTTTTACATTGTGTAGGTGATGAGTGGCATCTTAGGAAGTGTAACTGGGCAGGAGAATCAGCGGAAACTGTTGATGACGAGGTAGGAATAATAATATTTTCTCTTGGAGGCATTTTTGACAATATACACCTTGCTGTACTATAGTACAGGGGAATTGGGACAGACTTTGTAGCAACTTTAAAAATTCGTATAAAATTCAAACGTGGTTGGAATCAATTCAAACTTAAAACAACATGTATATGCATCAAGGAAAATTATAAAAACAGAAAATTCTCTTTTTTTCATTTTTGGTGAAATTTGGCCAATGACCCTGTACTATAGTACAGGGACTTTGGCCCGATTTTGGAGCAACTTTAAAAATTCATAAAAAATCCAAATGTGATTGGAATCGGCTCAAACTTTCTACACAGCATAAGAACATGTATATGTATCAAATAAAGTTATAAAAATGGAGAATTCTCTCCTTTTCATTTTTGGTGAAATTTGGCCGATGACCCTGTACTATAGTACAGGGACTTTGGCCCGATTTTGGAGCAACTTTAAAAATTCATAAAAAATCCAAATGTGATCAGAATCAGCTCAAACTTTCTACACAACATAAGAACATGTATATGTATCAGGAAAATTTATGAAAATGAAGAATTCTCTACTTTTCATTTTTGCCAAAATTTGACCAGCTCCATAACAACATCTATTGACCACACCCCCTTTTAATTAGGCTGCAACTGTAAATGAGCTAAAGTTCAGAAGTGGAGAGTATTTTTTAATTGAGAGTGGGCGGCTTCCTCCAAAGGTAATGATATTCATTGATCGATCAATTAATTAATTGATTGATTAATTTGAAGGGATTCCTTCGTCTCTCCGTGCACCTCTACACTATGGACAATAGGAGGACTGGAGAGGATGTTCCTCTCTCAGTCCAAGACTGGTTCCAAGGACCCACTGAAGGTTATTAATTGGTGGGTGTGGTCACTGTTTAATTAATTATTCATTAGGAACTGGAGACGAGCAGATGGAAGTGACAGTGGAAGAGTCAGTAAGAAAAATATTTTTAATTTTTAAAGGTATTATTTTAATTTATTTTTAGTTGATTCCTCTTCACGAACAAATTCCGTCTCACTATTTCCCTCAGGTCTACGGGCAGTTGGATTTTATTGGAAATATTGAAATTAATAAAGAGTGTTCTGTTAAAGATTTAAAAGAACAAATAATGTGCCTATCAGAGGTAAGGTTTGGTAATTCACAGTTCCATTTATCCCATATATACGTATGACAGTAGCTCCAAATTTTCTTAGTCGGACATGTTTTATTAATGATATTTTAATCACAGAAATTAATTACCAATGTATTTTGGTTAATTCACAAAAATTTTACTGTTTATACAAAACTCGATCCTTTAGTTGTCTCTAATTGATATTCCTTCTTCCGATTTCCTTCGAGTGAGGGATCTACTTAACAAGCGTCCGGGAAGAGTTTTCAAAGATAAAACCCACTCGTTAAAGTGAGTCATATCCTCAAATAAAAGAGCCTGTCAGCTTTGGGGGCTACATCCATTAAGTAGATATAGTGCTATATAAAGTATAGGAGGTCCTTTTAATAGAGCTAGCACTGTATATAGGAATTAAAGATAGGGAATAGAGTAGCCTGGGGTTTTTATTCAAAGATTTACGGCACTATTGAAATCTCTGTCTTTCTCTTCACTTTCAGACGACTTAAGCTAGTGTCTGGTTCTTCGATATGTTGTCAAGTTCTTCCCGAGGAAGAGAACCTTCCGTACGTACATACACATATTTTATTATTATATATATTATGTATCATTAATTATAGTGCTACCAGCATACTTTTCAACTTATACATGAGACGGTTGCCTTCTCAATCGTACAGCAAACCCATTGAGGTATGCAAGGAAATCCTTTTCACTTTAATTTAAACTTTGATTTCCAGGTGGTTTATGACACGGCAGTATCAACCACACCCATAGGACTCTACAGCCACATCAGTCACATTCTGGCCATGCCCCTCGACAGGATCGTCCTGGCTAAGCATAAATTCGAATCTTTCCAGTGGATTAGGATAGAAGGACACACTGTGAGAGCTTGTGTTCTTTAGCTGTTTTTTTTATTTTTTTAATATTTTTAGTTAAACGGAGAAGATAAGGAGAAGAAAGGGAAGCGAAAGGGAAGAGGAGGAGGAGCTACAGGTGTTGCTAGAGCTAGTGGAAAGGGAGGGACTCACGTGAATATTAAGAACGCTCCAATATCACTCAGAGATGGGGACCATGTGGCAGTGAAGGTGAGAGAGAGGGAGGGAGAGGAGGAATTTAATAAGAAGGAGAGGGAGGGAGAAGAGAGAGGGGGGAGGGAGAGAGAAAGAGAGGGAGTTCCTATGACACTTAAACTATTTAAACAATGCCCTGTAATACCACATTACTGACACCCTATAAGTACCTGTCTTGCCCCAGGGGTCTAAGTCATTATGTGTACATATTTTGATGCTTATAATCTTATACCTCCTTTATCTTACCTGGCCTGTACATGCACATGTACTGTACTATCACTACATGTTCCTTCTGCCTTTAACTTGGTACATATCTAGTGCATGTACATGTCTACATAGTACATACATGTACATGTACATGTAATGTGTAATAGGCATCTACATGTATGTACATATATGTACATGGTAGATAAAATATAAAAGTATATGTTATGTGTGTTCTTATTCTTTTTTTATAAATCTCCTTTTCTTATAGCTAACAGGAAGACATATAATGTGTTCCTTTTAAAAATTGCTTAGGTAGTTTTTGCTGCATACCTTGCAAGATAGGGCAAGCCTCTGTCAAAATGATGCCCTGAGAGTAGTTTGTTCAAATGTTAATATACACCCTATGCTTCTCCTCCCCTAATCCATCCCTCTCTCCTCACTATGACAACCAAGGCATTACTATGGGCCTATAGAGTACACTGCCTCTCATAAGGTTTCTGTGTATACATGTACACTTGCTCTGAGAGCCAGGGACTGTTTGTTAATACTTTGAAAAGAGGCTTTGGGAGTTTCTAAGAGGTTCAAAAGTGGGCGAATTGGTTTTAAGAGCTTTGTATGGTCCTCCTTTTCCCTCCTTCTCTCCTCCTTCATTTCTTTTTGTGTTTGTTTAGGAGTGTTACTTTTTTATTTTATGTCTCTCCTTCTCCTCTCTCCCTCTTCTTTCTCATTATTAAATTCTCCCTCCCTCTCTCTCTCTCTCTCTCCCTTTTTTTAGGATCTTCAGTTTGATCCTGCAGATGAAGATGACTTCTTGACACCAGAGGACAAGAAAGGGAAGGCCATACTTGCTGCCATTCAAGAAGAAAAGAGAAGAAGGTAAGAATGGTAACATAAAGAGAGAGCTAGAGAGAGAGCTAGAGAGAGAGAGAGAGAGAGTGTGTGTGGTAGTTCTAGCTCCTGCACATGTGCATGTATTTAAAGCTACAAACAAGTAGATAAGTATTGGTAAGTGTTTTTAAATATACAATCACAGCTGGTGTTTTACACCTGATCTATAATCTCTATCTCCTTTCTCTTCTACACTCACTCACTCCACACATGATGTGTCCATCATCATACAAACCCGCAGCAATTTATTTAAGAGCCCCAGACTTAGTGTGGCCCGACCCTCTCTCTCTCTATGTATCGATCACACACATACTCAATAATACTATGATACTACATGTCTTTATCATAAACTCTTCCCCTTTTGTCAACTGATAGCAGACAGAAAGAGGTGTTTTGACCTTTCAGATTACAGTAGCTTACATACACTCTCTCTCTCTTTATTATAGCAATGGTAGAGATCGTGTGTGTGTGTGTGTGTGATCATTTTGTACCATTTATCTCACCTACATGTATGTGGTCTCTTTAATGCAAGGACATGTATCATTATAATTATCATTTGTATTTATATACTGTATATATATATATATGTGTGTGTGTGTGTGTGGTAATATCTACTAGGCAACTTGGTAACAGCAGCTTAGTAATGCCTTGAATAGGACACTGTTTTTGAAGCAGCAAAGTGACATGTATACATGTACATGTATGTACATGTATACATGTACAAGTGTTCATTATCAGACCTATAGCTTATGCTTTAGCTTTAAATCTGCTCATGCTGTCAGTTTATGACCTAAATGTATGTGTAATTAATGATACTGTAAGACATTGTTATTGTGTTCCTATTGTTATTGCATTCTGTAATGATATGCTCCTTCTACTGGACTCATTACATTCGTGACATAATTAATTGTTATTATTTCTATCACATGATCATCCCTGCTACCCTTTACTGTGGCTGCTCTAATTGAGCATATCTAAAATAATACAAAATATGAATCCATTTGTCCTCTGGTAACAGCCATTATTCATCTCCCCTCTTTATCATCTTTCATATCAAATACTCACTCCTGCTTTGTATCAACTGTGCCCAGCTGCACTTTCCCTCTATCAACTGCAGTAGATTGTATTATCCAACATTTAATATATTTTATATTAACGATTATAATAGAGATTACATTCCCTCTCTTTCTCTCTTTCATTTGCTTACCCTATCTGCAACCATCATTTCCCTCTGCCTGGATTTTCCCAATATGTTCCCACTTTCCTTGTACACATATCACATTCCCACTTTCCTTCTACATAATTATGCGTCAGTTGTTTTAGTTCTCTAATTATGAATGCTACAAACACATTCTAATGAAAGATACTGATGATAGTACAGAACAGATCAATTCACTATACCGTACAAGATGGTTTATTGGTGGGAGTAATATTTGCCGAATTTGACGCGTAAAGAAATTGGTGATTTCTTCATAGAACCGCCAATCACCAATATTAATTCCTCGCCAATAAATCATCTTGTATGGTATTTTAGTGCATCAATACAGTGATTATTGCCCCACAGTACAGTACCATCCATAGCATCATAAAACTATTCTTTCCTTGTACATCTGCATAGGAGGAAGGCTAAGTCTGAGGGCGATATTTTAAGTGGCGATACCTCAAGCAGGAACAAGAAACAGAGACGACCGGAGATTGGCATTAAAATTCATGTGCCGGACTTCTCTGCGTCTCTGTCTGAAAAACCTTCGTAAAGTTTGTATGTCACTCTCTCTCTTCTCCTTCCTTAATGTTTTTGTGCATGTACATATACATGTATGTAAACTGAACTGTGTGATGTAGAGTTTATACCATCTGTGATATTTATTTATACATGCATCTGATGTACATGTATACTATACTTGTATATATATACATGTGTGTGTTGTTAAGTGTGTTTATCATCTGTTTATTGTCATTTTGTGTTAATGTGTCCCCCATAGTGTGATGATGATGATTATTATTATCAATTTTTATATACCAAAAAAATCTGTAACATTTTGAAATAAATGTCACAAAAATTAATAAGTGAAAGAAAAGAAAGAGGAGAGAGAAAACCGTTCTAAATTTTGTTGATAATATAAGCAGCTAGTGAACACAGCTCAGCTATGAATTAATAATAAATGATATAGCAAAGAAAAATCAAAAGGAAATTGTCTTTATGAATGATACACTCTTTAATTGATACAATACCTGATTAAATGAGTCACAGCAAAATCACTTCTAATATAATAATTATAATAATAATATGGACAAAACGAGAAGGAGAGAGAGAGAGAAAGTGAGATTGTACTTAAGGGGGGGACTGTATGGTCAAGTATTTTCTGTGGTTTCTTGTCGTACCTGTAGTATGTAAAAACCAACAAACGAAAAGTGTTAAAAATGTTTGTAAGACGAGGGTTTGACTTGAACGAAGTGATGATATGGTAGATATGTAGGTGATGTGAGGGGGAGGAGTAACGACGTAACTAACAAACAAACGAATGACAATAGCTATAGCTTGACAGCTGTTTTGATGGTCAGCAGGAAAAGGGCGGGAGGGAGGGACAAGGACAGGAGATATACAAAAACAAAAGCTTAGCTAATAATAATAATAATAATAATAATAATAATATAAAACAATGACAGATTGACTATAGGAGAAGTGGAGAGAGCAAAGTATGAAAGATACTGAATAATGAGATCTAGTTGACTACAGAAATGAACAAAGACACACAAACGATAATAATAATGACAAAACTGAAGACTGCTATCTGACTGTAATGAATAATAATAATAATAATAATAATGAGAGGTGGTGCAGAGAGATTGGACAGAGGGTTATGCAGAAGGAGTTAAATGATTTTATAGCAATGCAGTTAGAGGAGGAACAGAGAGACAGAGTGAAAAATAGTACAAAATAATAATAATAATAATAATAATAATAATAATAATAATAATAATAATAATAATAATAATAATAATAATAGAGCCATAAGAGAAGACTAATGCATATAAACCAGATGAAAGACTATATGTAACACACACACATACACGCACTAGAGAGAGAGAGAGATTAAGAGAAGAGAGAGGAACGGGTAGTTGTCGATACTGATTCAAGTTGGACCAGTACGTAGAACCTGTTTTAACGTAGAGAGAGAGGGGGGAAGAGTTGTATATAGCGAGGTTTTGATTAATATGAGGTGGTGACGCATTGAATGGTGTTGAATGGTGGAGTTGGTGGAGTATAATGTGACTTTGTTTCTTTACCAACCAGTACCAGCACTGATTGTATTGGAAGTAGTGACCGTGTTGACCTATAAAGAGGAGAAGATACAATCAATTTACATATACTGTAGTCTTTATTAAGGACACCATTGGGCCCACACTACCTGTCCTTAATACATGTACAGTGTAGCCTCTTTATTAAGGACACCATTGGGCCCACACTACCTGTCCTTAATACATGTACAGTGTAGCCTCTTTATTAAGGACACCATTGGGCCCACACTACCTGTCCTTAATACATGTACAGTGTAGCCTCTTTATTAAGGACACCATTGGGCCCACACTACCTGTCCTTAATACATGTACAGTGTAGCCTCTTTATTAAGGACACCATTGGGCCCACACTACCTATCCTTAATACATGTACAGTGTAGCCTCTTTATTAAGGACACCATTGGGCCCACACTACCTATCCTTAATACATGTACAGTGTAGCCTCTTTATTAAGGACACCATTGGGTCCACACTACCTGTCCTTAATACATGTACAGTGTAGCCTCTTTATTAAGGACACCATTGGGCCCACACTACCTATCCTTAATACATGTACAGTGTAGCCTCTTTATTAAGGACACCATTGGGTCCACACTACCTGTCCTTAATACATGTACAGTGTAGCCTCTTTATTAAGGACACCATTGGGCCCACACTACCTGTCCTTAATACATGTACAGTGTAGCCTCTTTATTAAGGACACCATTGGGTCCACACTACCTGTCCTTAATACATGTACAGTGTAGCCTCTTTATTAAGGACACCATTGGGCCCACACTACCTGTCCTTAATACATGTACAGTGTAGCCTCTTTATTAAGGACACCATTGGGCCCACACTACCTGTCCTTAATACATGTACAGTGTAGCCTCTTTATTAAGGACACCATTGGGCCCACACTACCTGTCCTTAATACAGAGGTGTCCTTATTGTATATAAAGATTACACTGTATAGTCAATTTATATTAATTAGTATCAGAGTGGGGGTGAGTGTATTTCTATTTAATGCTCACAGAATCCTTTATCAATGAGTCAATGTAGCTCTCCCCTTCATCGTGAGGCTGGTAGGCTGGGGTAAGGGTCCCCTTGCTCTGGAGAAACAAATAAAACAGAAGAGGTCAGTAGTAGTACAAACAGTATTGGGTGGCTAAGTGGGTGAAGATACACACTTGATAAGTGGAGGCTAAGTGCTTGTGGCATGTTATAAGAAGAGGAGTACAAATGCTAGCCTAAGTAGCATGTAACTCTATCAACAAACCAGGCACTTGTCTCTGTAAACCATATTACAGGATCTCTCCATGGGTCACTAATTGCATTCCATTATTCATGATCATTAATAACTGTCCATGTACTTAATATTATTCATTGAATTGCTGGCCTACAGTCTCTACTTGTGAATAGGATTCCATTGAATGGAGAGGGGAGGGTAGACTGGTCATGTTTATCCCCTTAGTTTGACCTTTTCATGTAGCATTCACATGCATCTACACAGTACACATATATTACATGTACATACACATCCACAATGGGTGCATATAACCTAGTACAAACTTCTCTCATTAACAGGCACATATGCACATGTATCTTGCTCTGATTAGATACATGCACATACAGAGTCTTACAATTATAACACACACACAATTATAAATGATACATTATACATACTGTTAACTAGTCTCAAGCCATATATATATATATCAATACACCACTATATGTACACAGTATATAGTGACAGATACACAATATACTTTATATGTATCACTAATTACTGGCTGAGGGAGAGAGTGCTAAAGAGAAGGAGTGGGTATCAAGTGGATCGTAATGTACAGGGAGGGAACAGACAGGCACTACCCAGTCCTGTAGCCCAGCTAATGAAGACTGAGGTAGATCTCAAAGGAAGATTGGCACAGCCCAGGGGAGAGGAGTCAGCCCACTGTTTGGAAGAACTCCCCACCAAATCGTATCTTTCACATAATACCCAAGAATAGCTGATGAAATTCTATTGAGGCTTTGAGGTTTTTGTGGTTTAATGGCTTGCATTGTGGTTAGTAAGACAGACAAGTTTAAGCATAATTTATAGTTGAATGGCATTTTAAGTAATAGAAATAGATTCTGTGGGTTGTGGCTGGCGTGGGTTAATGGAGGGAAGAGTCACATTCCATGATATGTACAGAAGGTATAACTGAGGCTTTTTGATAAGAGGTTCATGCTTTTTATCTATAATTACAAAGCAAGGAAGAATAGACTTTAAAACACACACATTAAGGGCTGTCATTATTTGGAGTCACAAATATACATTGTAGTTTCAGAAGAGCAGAGATAAGAAAAGAGAATATAAATATTAAGGACAGCAGTTGAAGGAATACAAAGTTTTATGTACAAGTACATGTACCACCAATGACTAATCCTACATGTACTAACATACATGTGTACATTAACTGACTCACCATTATGCTGTTGTGTGTACCAGCTGAACTAGTGATAGCGTGAATGGATAGTCCGCCAGTCCTGCCATTACTGAGAAGGTTGGAATCAAATATCCCATTTGTCGTAACGGGGGAGTAGATAGGAGAGAACCCGTTGTTGGAGCTATCGGAGTCTTGATAATTACTAAGTTCGCTCTCCGGGCGGGAACCAAACGTCGGGGACCAGATGGAGCCTGGAGCTCCGCCCCCTTGAGACGACTGAGCACTTGTTGGGGGTTGAACCGGATTAGAAGACCACATTCCAAATAGTTTAGATGACGTAGGCCCTCCTCCTCCGATTGGAGGAACAAACGGTTCTTCCTCACTGATGCTGCTTGGCCAGTTTACCATCGGACCGCCCGATTGAGTTGGAGCACTACTTCGCCTAGCAGCGACGCCCATTGATGACATCATACTTGAAGTACGGCGGTATCCGATCCCAGGGGGGTCTTTGAGAGAAAGACCGTGGAATACATCAGTGAGATCGTCATCCTCGCCTTGGTAACCGGCAGAAAGGGGAGGGGTTGGATGGCTCATGTCACTACCGCTGTAGAGATAGTTCTTGGAGTACGAGTTGGAGGCGTGGCCTGTTCCGTTAATCATCGGGTCAATGCCGTATTGAACAGGAGGTCCACCACTCAAAGAATAGTGAGGTTTCTGTGTCTGTGGCTGAGGTTGATGGGAAGATGGTGGCGGTGGATAGAATCCTCCTAGCCCGTTGACCTCCAGTGCACCGGTTGATCCATGGAGGGTTGTAAGACGAGTGTGCTCTTGACTGTAGTCTTGAAAGGTCCTGATAGCAGTGGGTGTGGTCGGGAGAGACTGGGGATGAATGACGGAAGATTTGGTAAAGGTTTCGGCAGAGAAGGAAGATTGAGGAGGTGAGCTGGTTGGAGAATTATCCTAAGAAGAAAGAAAGTGTTTGTAATTGAAAACAGAGAGAGAGAGAGGGAGGAAGAGGGAAGGAATTGAATGAAATAGTTTAGCTTACAATTGATAGCATGAATTGGCTCATGTCACTTTCATAGGAGGCTCTCAGTTTAGCACTGATCAATGATTCAGCCTTCTTGCAATTATCGATAGTCCCCAATATAGTGATTGTCCTCTCCATATTGTAGGCTGTTAAATCTTTTAGTCTAAAAGAGAGAGAGAGGGGGGGGGAGAGAAGAAGGAATGAGAGAGAGGGGAGGGAAGGGGAGAGAGATCTAGTTAAAAAAGAAAACAATTTAGTAACCCAAACCCTAGTAATGACATAACAGGCTCAAGAAATGTACACCAGTCTGTTGCCAAGGGATGGGTGGATTGGTTGTGACAAGGAAAGCCTTACAGAGCTACACCTGTGTTCTATGACAACCCTCACCATCACATATGTACATGTACATACACCTCATACACATGTACATGTACACATCACATATAGATTGTAATTGCATTAAAAATTCAGCCAAAGAAGATAAAATAGATACATACATACACTATGATGCATGGCCTTTGCATGGCTATCAATGTGTGTGTGTGTGTGTGTGCACAGTGGAATGCAGAAACAGCATTTCTAAGGTCACAATCACAAGTTGTTATAAGATGATACCAACTTCCTTCGGCCAGCCTATCAGGAGTCTCATGACTATTGCAATGGGATGCAATCAGCCCCATAATCTCTGTACTATCATTTTAGTGCATTCCAACACTACCCTCATCTTCTTATTTGAGCATATGCAGTACTAATACATTAATGGGTCATGCAGTTTGGTGAATATCATCCATCAGACTGACTATGTATTCACAAGTACTAGTGAGTTAGGGCATTGTGTTACACAGTATTATTATATCATCATTTGACAATTCATTTTTAATATTCTAGAGTACATGCAAGACAGGTAAGTAACTATTGGATCTAGAGGGAGTTTAGGGACTCCCATTTGGTCTAAGTCTCCATAAATCTACCATTTTTTAACTTTTGGTCTCTCGTATTTAGCCTAGGGATCCTTAAGTCTCCAATTTTTAATGAGATTAGTCTCCCAAAATTTATTTCTTGATCTAACCATCAATATATACATAATGTACATGTACATATGCTGTCTCATTGTTTTTATTGGTATTAAAGACAATGAGAAAGTAGTCCCTTTACAAAGAGAGCACAATGACCTGGTACACATCTTACAAGTAAAAGCTGGTTTATCACAATCTCTTATCAGAGCTATATAATAGTTCAAGAGAAAACCATGCCCCCTTCTATTCAATACATCCATTGTGAATCTGGACACACATACACAAGCTTACATAAGCTTTTAATATTAGAGAAAGATTAAATGGAATAGATTAGCTATGTAATGTACAGGGTACATGTACATAAATCCGGCCTGTGTCACACATGTAATGTCATCTTACTTTGATATAGTGATCTTGGTACCAGATTCAGCCATTATTCGCTTCAATGTGTTACCTCCTTTGCCTGTATGAGGGGAGAGAGAGAGAGAGAGAGAGAGAGAGCACAAGTTAGCCTAAAATAACAACTCATATTGCACACATGAACATTTGCAACTGTTTCTTTTTTAAGTATCCCACATCAATCAGAAATTCACCCCCAGCTCAAATCATGACACTCATTAGCTATTGCTGGCACTAACGTGCACCATTATACTCAATGACTGTCTAGCTCCTTCCTTAGACAACCAATCCTCCCCATTGTAACTGGCATTACCTGTAAATCTTTGAATAAAAGCCCCAGGCTACTCTATTCCCTATCTTTAATTCCTATATACAGTAACTCTATTAAAAGGACCTCCTATACTTTATATAGGACTATATCTACTTAATGGATGTAGCCCCCAAAGCTTCTAACTGAGACAGGCTCTTTTATTTGAGGATATGCTGGATTTATATGTAGAGGTATTATGATTTAAACACTGTTGATTAAAGAAGCTAGGCCATATTGGCTGTTCTCTCAATTGCTACTTACCTATGACACGTCCAACTAGCTCATTGTGTGCAAGTACTTTCAAAGGAACAACAGGTAGAGGCTCAAAATGATGTTTACTACAAAAAAAAGGAGAGAGAATTACAACACATGACAAATTAAATCATGACCATGTAATAGCACAAGTATTGCTTCGGGCTCCTTTCATGTGTGACTTTCAAGCATTTTAGTATCATAATGTATTATCAATGTATTATTATTACCAATGCACAAGGAGTTACTCACCCATTTTCAAAGATACTGCCATTAGTCGTAAGGAGCTCATTCTGCATGATCCTCATTATCTGGTAACACGCCTCTGTGCAGGACTCAGGGCCGCCTATTATCGTTATGGCCTGCGAAATAAGATTTAAAATAAAATGAAATTAACGTGATATCTTTTTGTCTTCTCCCATGGCTTTGTTTCTTTTTCAATTACTACAAATTGTGGTATCAAGTTATGAGCTTGGTTCGCTCATATTTCTAAACTTGTGGCTCAAAACATGACCACTGACCCTGTTCTATCTCAAAGTATAATGTCCCCCTTTTATACCACAACTGAAACTAGCAGCCATTGACTCACTATTCCATTATACAGATAGCTGACACATTGGTTCCTTTTTTATTTTAAATACAGAGCTCTTCTCTTTCTAATCTCTCTCTCTCTCTCACCTTCTCCATGGATCCCAGATTTTCCCTTCTGTGAACGTCCACTCTGGCTTTGGTGAGCTGGGTAATGTGTCGTATGGTAGCACCATCTTTACCAATAATGGCTCCAACCATCTCTGAAGGCACAAGGATCCTATGTAGAAAGAAATATAAAATAATAATAATAATATTGATGATAATATCACAGTAATATTACAGTACTACCTCAAAGGGAGCATGTTAATATTAAATATTTAAAAAGAAGAGGATATAGGGTCAGATGATAGTGCACACAGACAGTCAAACAGTCTCTGAGGGCTGCTCTCACTACTTTGACTGGAAAAGGCAAATGTCAGCAGGTCACATGTGGACTGAATCCTTACATTTGACACCAATCCTCATTACAAAGGACTGTGTGGAGTCACTCGTTAACAGCTGGTAAGGATTTGATTTGAAAGAGGAAGAGGAGGAGGGAGGGGAGAGAAGCCAGGGGATATAGTAATGGAGGATGATCATGCAAGATGGGTGGATCAAAATTTCAAAAACATGTCTTGTGGCCTAATGTTGTACATCATGACACAAATACAACAGACATACTGACTATACATTCACATCACAGCTGCATGCTTTCCCTCCCTTTACCTTAATGGGAACTCATTGTTTCCTTTTGTAGGAGAGGCTGGTATGGATCTTCGCCCATTCTTCAATCCACCTGCTGAGTCTGGTCTGTAATATTCTCCCAGTACAGTACACTGGATTCAAAAAGAGATGGAGATAAGAAAGCTCAAGGCATGCCCTCTCAAGCCCCATAATGATATTGTGCAATAAAAACCACGAGTGTCCACTCAGCAGATTTGAAGGTGATTATTGCAGTCATGAATCATTTGCAAAATGTTTTTAAGAACACAAAAAGTTTGGACACATGCAAGTATTCTATACAGGCTGCATCTGATTGCGTCAGCCCTCACCTTTAGGATTGTATCTTCGCCTGAATACATTGCTGCTGCTCTGTTAAGAAGAAGAGGAATAGCGGGAAAGTAAAGTAATAGCTGGAAAAATTGCTGACTTACCTCTGTGCTATTTCCATCGACTCAAAACTGACTAGAACTCGTTTTGCACCAAAATCGGCTGAGAGAGAGAGGGGGGGAGGGAGAGAGAGAGAGAGAGAGAGGGATGAAAGGAAGGAGGAGGCGGGAGAAAAGTGCATTGAGGATTCAGCTAATAACATTAAGAGTTACCACAGCACACATGTTTAAGCAGTGTGTGTATGCGTGTTGTGTAGTAAATGCAAAATGGACAGCTATTGGAGATTATAAAGATAATTTACACCTACCGGGCTGGTTATCTTCAATTTCTAGCTTTATTACTTGACCGACTGTCTGATTAAAGTAGTTTTCTATAGCCTGTTACGATTATGTGTAAAAAAAGTGTTGGAGATAAAAATGATACCAAATGAAATGCAAGTATTTATTCACCTCTAGTGTCATGTGAGTTGGAATATTTGTCACTTCGACAACTCCAAGCTGTGATCGGCTAAGGAGAGAAGAAGGAGAGAGGATTATGATATGAATGTGGTAAAATGGTCAATTGGGTAATTTCTTTACATCTGCTGGCTTCAGGAGTACCACAAAATTCTTTTGCACACCACTAGCACAGGTTTTCCTCCTGTATCTCCCTCTCCCTCTCTCTTTCCCTTTCTCTTTGTACAGGGACTTACCGACTGCTCAATCTTTGCTGGTGAGAAGGCTCCACAATCATTGGGTGGCCTAGAATATCAGTTCCTGTAAGGCATACAGAAGCAATTAGTAAAAGAAAACAATAATAACGATTTTAAATTCACAATTAAGATGGCAGTGTGAATTACTCTTAAAGCTGTTGCTACCTGCAAGCCTTTAGCAGTAGGTTTTTTGTCTCGCTCTGCTTTGCAGGGTAGCAGCGTTTTTAAAGACTTTAAGTCTGCATGGTTCAGTGAGCTTGACACGTGTGATGGATCCATTTTAGCTGATGGAGTTTTTGAAACTATGCGCCTGGCCAATGTAAAGCTATTATAGTCTAAAATGTCTCACCGTTTAGCACTCTCATGACATGCTCTGCTTGCAAAGGGCTCTCCATCTCCACAAAAGCATATCCGTTCTTCATGAGCACTTCCCTCACTGTCCCATATTTACCAAAGAGACTCCTAATGCTCTTCTCGTCTCCTTCCTCGGAGAGATTCCCTACATAGAGTTGTGTCATGATGATGGCTGCAGTTTGGAAGGTTGCTATTTTTGATTTTCTTTTTTCCCTTTATCCTGAGCTCAGCAGCAAGCGGACTCTCTTGTCCTGTCCTACTCTGCTGCCTCTGTCTGTGGCCGCTTTTCCTTTCAATGGTCAGATATTGCTGCAGACCCTTTTGTATGACTGAGCATATTATGGCTTCCTTTCTGTTCCCCTCACTGGATTGTGTGGGCAATAGCAACCGAAGGGGCCGAGCTGGAGTACTGCAATGTAGGGCGTTCCCTCATTTTAAGTGGGTACAATTCCAACTCAAGTTTATTCATGGTCTTTCCTCTGTGCTTCAAGTGCTGATTGGATTCAATGGGAGTCCTGTATAGGGACTGGATATCTGGTAATGAAATACTTCAATTATAAATCATTAAACACATACAATGATGACACAATAATATAACACAAAGTAATAATAATAATAATAATAATAATAATAATAATAATAATTTTTTTGTGTGGTTCAATGTAGTGTAGTGTAGTACTACTATATGTGTGTGTTAAAAAAGAATTAAAAGTCTCCCAATGAAACTATTATTAAGAGATCATATTCTGTAGCTAGGTGGTGGTTTGTGAGTTGGGTAGAAGGCCTGCAATTTTCTCGAAGGTAATCCTTTCTTCTGCTTCATATTTATGACATTCCTCTTGGACTACTTTCAATTCTGGGAGATACTTCTCTGGCCTGTGTATCAACAAATAGAAAGATTATGAAAGAACAACAGGCAAAGAATGCAACAAATATGACCGTAATTTTGTATTAGCGATTAAAAACAAATAACAAAATTGTTTGGGAATTTCATGACAGCATAAAATCCACCCCCTTTGCTCAGACTGCAGTAGTAATAACACATACACTACTAGCTAATACAATTGAATTTTGAGATTGAAACAACAAAACTTTCAAGATATTTCATAATTGTATCAAAAAATCAATTGTATTTCAGTTTCTACAAGCATTGACCATAGACTTAATTACTAGTGTTAACTCATGCATGACTGAATGCTAAAAAAATTTCTGAGGAAAATCTTGCTCAATTTTAGCGTATGATTGACTTATTCATCCTTTCCATCTTATTGCAGTTAGAAATTAACTTTATAAAGTTAATCATCATGTAGCCAATAATGCTCAGAGATATTCATCTACAAACAGTTTTGACTGTCATATAGTGACCAGCTGACAGTTGAATTAAAAAGCAGGTCACATGAAATGATGGTTTACTTTCGCTCACCCCAATAAGGACGAGATGAGTACTACTGGCAAAACTGAGGGCCGAAGAATGCACCGAGTATCACAACAGCTGCTGCCGTTTGGTGCCACTTTGTCGAGTCATGAAGAGATGGCACCATTTTAAAGATAAGCTGTCACAGCTCATCACTCACTATTCCTCCATTCATAGTATACAAACTCATTGTCATGAAGCTTACATGCCTACGCAGTGTCAAACCAACTATCAGGTCATTATTATTATTGTAATTTAGCATAATGTGTGAAATTACTAATAGCACTGTATAATAAGATGTGGTAATGAGATCTGGTAGTTTCATGATTATAGTCTATATATAGCAATTAACAGTTGACTAAATGTTTGACAACAATCTTATATCAGTTTCTATCGATCTTGTACAACCCTCTTACCCTGTTCCTCCCTCCCTTTTGAACCCTTCAAAGAGCCAGTCAATCAACACCCTATATCTTTTACCCTCCTCTCTCTCTCTCCCCCTCTCTCTCTCTTTCTTCGTCCTTACCAAGTATGATAGAGCGTTTTGTTCTGAGCCATCTCCACTATCTCTTGAACGCTAGATGATTCTAATGGTACTGTGCCATAAGTCGCAATCTCCCAAAGCAATACTCCATACGACCTAATGTAGTGGAAATTAAAATGAAATTAAAATGTCGTGAGGTCAAATAAGTTCCACATTGCAGATAATGACTTCTTATTATTAATAAAATGCTTGACAATTTTTATAGGACAATCATTATAAAATTTTTGTATTTTTTTGCTCTAACCAGACATCAGACGAAGATGTGAAGTATCCATAGATGAGAGATTCTGGTGCCATCCACCTGACAGGCAGTACTGCCCTACCAGCGATCTTGTAGTATTCTTTCTCCTGTACCATGCGAGCCATTCCAAAATCAGCCACTTTCACCTCAAGGTTTGGTCCCACTGTGGAATAAAGGGGAAGAATAGGACTTTCACTTTCAAAATAGCACACGAATAAACAAACACACAAAAATTTGCTCCAAAATTGGCCAAAGACTCAAGTTACTCCAAAATTGAGCCAAAGTCCCTGTACTATAGTACAGGGACTTTAATCAAATTTCACCAAAAATGAAAAATAAAGAATTCTTTATTTTTATATTTTTTTTCTGATACACATACATATATTTATCTTGTGTAGAAAATTTGAGCTGATTCCAATCACATTTGGATTTTTACGAATTATTAAAGTTGCTCCAAAATTGATTGACTTTGGCCAAATTTTTTTTAATGAAAAGAAGAGAATTCTTTATTTTTATATTTTTTCTAATACATCTGATGTTGTGTAGAAGTTTTAAGCTGATTGATGATTTTAGAGTTATGTGTGTCCATGTGATGAGTACCTACCTAAGCAGTTCCTGGCTGCAATGTCCCTGTGTACATATTTGTTGCTCTCAAGGAAAGCCATTGCATTTGCAATCTATAGTATAATAATAATAATAATAATAATAATAATAATAATAGTAATAATAATAATAATAATAATAATAGTAATAATAATAATAATAATAATAATAATAATAATGTGTATGTGCTATAACTAACATCTCCAGCAAATCTTATTTGATGATAAATGCCAATAATAGCATGTTCCCCTGCCTTTGGTCTAAAACATAATAATAATGATAACAACAATAATAATAATAATGATTATATTGATGATGCATGATGATGTCGAATGATGTCATTTGACTCATGATATTCATATGATAAAAGGTCAAGATGTCAGTATATTATTTCATTCACAACCCATTGCTTTATTCATTAGTAAACTAACTTGTGCTTCAGTAGGAAGTTGTGGAGGTCCCCGTAAGGCATATACTCCAGTATCATTAACGGAGCACCTTCAGAACCTCCTGTACTAATCCCTGCATGAATATACGGCATATGGTAATCATTGTTTAATATAAAATAACTATTTTCTCTCTTACCTAATAAGCTGACAATATGAGGATTTGAGAATTTCTTCATTAGTTCTATCTCTTCTAAGAACTTTTGTACGTCTTCCTCTTCGATACTTGTCAAGGTTTTCACGGCAACTGGGAGCTTGCCTTTGTATCCAGCAATATTCTACAAGAAGGTATTGCAATCATATTCTTATAAAAAGTATAATGATATTAGTATTAAATTCAGTTTTAAAACATAGTATCACTATTACTGTTATAAAATAGAACCTCATAGTAATGTCTATTGTTAAAAGGAATATGCAGGCATGAAAATAAATATATACATAATTATATTAAATAAATAAATAAATAATTATACTGTTGTGTATGTTCATTGTATACTTTTGCTTTCATCAGTAACACTTTCCCAAACTGTCCTTCGCCAATGTCCCTTAAATACGTCAGCTGGGCTCTGTCATGTTCCCAATCCTATTATCAATAAATAAATGATTGTCATTATATGCTACAGTCTCTCTCTTACATCATCAGCCCTCTCTTTGTTGTATTCGTAAAAAGTGACGGAGGGTGACATCACACCAAACTTTGGTTTTAGAGTGAAGGTCTTTCGACGCGCTGAGCGGCTCCTAAGTCTGTAAGGCTGGGGTCTTTGCTCTATAGAAGTTTCAAAGCTACCCTAATACAGAGAAGAAGTGAATTAATGTGTGTGGAGTTTTTAGTTTTACAAAGTTAACTAACTTCTTCTGTTCCTCTCTCAAATGACATTGGGGTGTACCCATTTTCAATGTCTGATGAAGAAAGATCTTTAGGAGCTAGTTTAGCCTTTAAAAATAAAAAAAAAATTATTAAATAATAACTCTTGGGCTCTAAAGCAAAGAGAATCATATCGTAAGTGATATATTTCTTACTTTCCCACTATAATCTATTTCTTCTTCTCCAGAAAACCCTACCCCATAGTTAGGGTTCCTTTTAAGAGACGACAGTTTGAATCTCAACTTTTCCAGCTGGTGTTCTTCTGGAGTGATTGGCATTTTGCGATTTTTCATATCATCATCAGGACTGCTGTGAATCTGATATACTTTAAGAGAGCCTCTTCTAGTAAAAGTAAAGGAAAGAGCATGTTTTTTTTGTAAAAAAAACGACTCCAAAATCACCTATTATTTTTATTACATTCTCTGATGCATATTGATGTTCTAATGCTGTGTAGAAAGTTTGAGCTGATTTTGACTTAAATTTTTCAAGTTATGGTCATTTTTAAAAAAATAGGCCAATTTAAATATTTCCCTGTACTATAGCCCATGGTTTTTTCCAAAAAATGGCTCCGGAGTCACCCCTAATTTTTATTACATTTTCTGACACATATTGATGTACTTATGCTATGTAGAAAGTTTGAGGTGATTTCGACTTAAAATTTTTGAGTTATAGCCATTTTTAAAAATGAGCCAATTTCTGAAAAATTCCCTGTACTATAGCCCATGGTTTTTTCCAAAAAATGGGCTCCAAAATCACCCCCAATTTTTATTACATTTTCTGATACATATTGATGTCCTTATGCTGTGTAGAAAGTTTGAGATGATTCTGCCTAAAACTTTTTGAGTTATAGCCATTTTAAAAAATGAGCCAATTTCTGAAAAATTCCCTGTACTATAGCCCATGGTTTTTTCCAAAAAATGGGCTCCAAAATCACCCCCAATTTTTATTACATTTTCTGATACATATTGATGTCCTTATGCTGTGTAGAAAGTTTGAGCTGATTCCAAGCTCAAATTTTTGAGTTTCTAAGCATTATGACATGTAACCAGTTGGTACATGATACTTACCTTTTCACAACACAGATGATAATTACAACTACAATGATCACAACAAGAAACACGATGGCACCAGCAGCAGCTGCAATAGCTATAATGATATCCATTGTTAAGAGATCTCCTCCAGCTGGTTCCGTGATCATAGTGGGGGTCATTGATACTGTATTGAAGGAGGAAGAAGCTTGAGTGATGGTAGATAAAACCATGGAAGGAGATGGGAAGAGACTTGAGGAGGGTGGAGCTATTGTTTGAGGTAGGAGAACGTTCATGACAATCGATTGAAAGAAGTTGTTATAATTATTGATAACAGTCATTGGAACAATGTTAACTAAAAAAATAAGAAAAATACAATCATGAAAATAATAATATTTATTATTTCTCATTGTATTTTCAATTACCAGTTTCTCCAACGGTGGTACTAGAACTTAGTGTAATATTAGTAACTGTACAGTTTCCTATTAGTATCCCACCACTGACCATCAGACCATCACTGAATGTGTAGAGTGGATCTCCAACTGATCCGTTTGTTAAGTTAGTAATGACTCGTAAAGATCTAAAAATATAAAGTATTTTAAATAGCAAAAATTCTAAAAATAGCAAGAATTGTAAAAATAGCAAGAATTTTTAAAATAATAAGAATTTTAAAAATAGCAAGGATTCTAAAAATAGCAAGGATTCTACAAATAATTATGCTTGCAGTGTGATTTAATTCTTTAAACAAATTCTTACAAATATGCTTATAATGATTCTATTATATTAATGTCTATACCCATTAGCTGAATCACTGATAAGGACTGGGACGCGTGTATCACTCAGCCAGACTATTAAGCACATTGGTTCATCTCTCATTTCCCTTCTCCTTCTTCTCTCTTCCGTTTCTTTGCTCTCAAGAGTCACAGCTCCGCCATAAAGTGTGAGAACATTATTAAACTGAAGTAGAGAGTAAGGAAGATTAGTATTAGAAACAGTGAGCCTGTAATCAGTCCTTTCAGTTGTTATAAAATCGGAATAATTACCTACAAAAGTAGAGGATAGGCAAGAAATAATACTACAATCTATTGCTGTAGTGAAAGTTCTGGACAAGGTATGAAACTATAAAAATTACCCTCTTTAGCTAGAGTTAAAATTTGTATTCACTCATGGTATCCAATATTCAAAAGCCGATCATGTCTCATGTCTAATTGTGCTTGCATTAATTACTACACACACACTCTCTCTCTCCCACCACCATCAGCTTACACACCATCATCTAACACTACTTTATCTCACCCTCTCACCATCCAACAACCAAACAAACGCTTGTCTTAACATTACTCAGTCACACTTTAAGGAATGCTCCTACCACAACAGAGTGAGTCAGTCAGCCACAAACAAGTCTCTATATGTCACAGCACATCAGCAGTGACAACAGCATCATGATAAAGTCATATCTAATACTTGGTCTGGTACTAATTACATTTATTTTTGTTATTGTCTGCCAGATTTGTATACATACAAGTGGTGGATTGTATTCTGAAATGAAGAGGCTGTCTTTATAAGTGTGCAAACAAAATAAACCCACAAACAGGTGCATTACAATACAGGAAAAACATGTTTACAATTGTTCACTTACTAGTTGTTGATATACAGTCCAGCCCATTGTTAGCTAGTATAGTTGGATCAAGACAAATACACTGATAGAGTTCACCATTCACTCTACAGCCATTCATGCAACCACAGTCTCCTGGTATGATATTAACATATCCATCGCCATCGTTCATTCCACTGCTAGTACTGTCAACTCTCATATTGTTGATTGTTATCAGTGAGTACCCACCTCCACCTGGTATTTCTGGACTTGATTTTAATACTTCTCCTCCCCCAAAGCCACCTCCTCCTCCTCCAGAATCACAGCTGCCTCCACCGCCTCCAAATCCACCGTTGACCCTCTTAAAGGGCAGACCAGTGTTGTCATCCCCAAGACCCAAGACACAGTCTAAACCGCCTCTAGCAAAAACTAACCGTTGGCTTAAAAGTTGTCCATCAATGTCTTTCATGTTTGGAGGGGCAAGCCACCCACTGCCAGCTCCAGAGGAAAAGCTCATGCTTTCCCCTCCAACTCCTGGTCTCATTCCAGTACCACCAATATAGTCTACAAGACCGTCTGTATATGAAGGTCTTCCGTCAATAAATCTCTGATAAAGTTCTTCATTTGTTTCATTACCAACTCTCAGCTGCTCTACGTTTCCATTGACAGCAGTTAAAATGGCATCATAGTTGGTCTGTAATGAAGTGCCTCCTCCACCAGCTGCTACAATGAATGGAAGAAGAGACTGGGAGTAGTGATTGCTTGAGACGTTTCTAGGCCATATCATGCTTCCTCCTCCTCCTCCTCCTCCCCCTAATCTTGGCTTTAACGAAGGAAGAGACTCGGAATTCCACATTGAAGAACACTCATTGGCTTCAGTTAAATTAGTAGGAGGATCAGTACAGAGCTTGTATGAGGAGTTAGTATCGCAGGGTCCGATCCCTTTATGTCCCACCAGCACAAGTATAGACCCATTCGCTTGTGTGTCTATCAATAATTGAGTTTGTAATATGACGCCTCTAGAAGTCTTAATGTTGCACAAGCCCCGGCCCCCTGAAGCCCCAGCAATGGTTACATTGTAAGTCCCTGAGCGAGGGAATGTGAAGGTTTGTCCACCAAAGAACCCGAGGGTTTCTGAATCGTCCGTAAGGTGTTGCCGAATGGGAGAATTAATACTTTGATAGTACTGGAGGCAAGTTTGATATGATGTGCCATTCGCTCCAGTTCCATTGCATGTTGTGAAGTAATAGGAGACTTCGGAGAGATCTACAGCAAACAAAGAGAAAAGAGAGTTATTTATGAGAGACTGCTATTAATAATATTCTGCAAAAAATTGTAAATCCTTTCTACTATAATGAAATTAACCTCTGCAGTAAACATTTATGTAAACACAAGATGGAAATTATAACTACAGAAACCATAACACAACATAATTTAAAGGGTAAATTACATGTACATGTAGTCACTGTGCTGTTATAGCCATTAAAGGATGGATTGAGGAAATTGTTAGCAACTGAAGCTTTAAATGTGCTGCATTCCAGTGAGATTGACCAGTGAGTTTATACTGATTTGTTGACACTCAACCATACAAATTAAGGCCATATTTGTCAAGGTCCATTATGACATGAAGTGTGCTCCCTACATAAACTTGCATATTTTTCTCAAGGATATAAAATAAGCTCATTCATCAGACTATAGATACCATAGATACATACCATAAATGCGTAAATAAGGAATGCATATTAGTGTTTATGATCCAGCATAGTAAGCTAAAATACGGTTTATGAATGAATGAACAGAAAGCAAAACAGCCTTTATGTCCTTCCATTTCTCAATCGTTTTGTTTTATAAAATGCAGTGCAGGCAGAATGAATGAAGCTTTTATATTGTAAGAGACCATTGTACATATAAGAATAGAAACAGGACATGGATACATGCTCACTATCTCTCTTATCACTTCATTTACTATTGCTGCACCCGTACACAGCAAAGATAGAGTAACTCTAAATCTAGTACTTCAAGCCAGCCCAGGTTTCAATGCATGTAGCTACACTGTACAGGCCTGACTACTGCTCAGTGTGGAGTGATGAAGTTTTGTAAATAAAGGTACAGAAAAAAGCAATACAACGAAGCAATACAAACAAACTATATAATGATTAAATATATAATTGCCTTACTTCTCCATTGGGGCTCTCCTTCGCAGCAGTGTAATGCGATTATGAACAAAAGAGAGAAGATGGCGAGGGCCATTAGGAATCCTGAGCCTGTAGACTTAAAGATAATTCCACGAGCTCTTGGGATTCGAACCAAAGCAAGGTGGATCAGAGGAATGCTCTATTTTTGTCAACACACTGCTGTTTGTTACAAAGACAAGCTATCACAACTCGCGGAACTATTGGGAAGGATTTGCATATGCAGCAGGCTGTAGGTGTGGCTCAATATGTAAACTTATGGGCGTGCCTAGATCTAGTGATGAATATTTAATTAGGTGTTGCACAACATGGTGGACATAATGGGGAATTGCAACTTTTGCATAGCTCAGTGATTTCGGGATTATATAAAGCAACTCAAGCTCTTTCTCTTCAAAGCAGTAATGGCAGAGAAAGGAGAGAGCACTGAAGCTAAAGGAATGAGCGAAAGAAGAGAAGAAACGAGGAGTGACATTGTTGATCCTGATCACCGTGAAGACAGAAAGAAGAATAGAAGTAGCCAATCTCACTCTCACGGACAAAGAAGATACTATCACAGACACTACTACTCAAGATATGATAAGACGGTAGATGAGAGAGGAAGTGACATCAAACAAAATGAAGAGAGCATCAGTAATGATCATTATTATCATCATGGAGCATATCAAGGGAGAAATAGAGGGAGGAGGAGCAGGGGGAGGAGGAACAATGGAGGCAGAAATGAAACTGAAACAAAGACGGAGGAGACCAGAGGAAGCATGGAAGGAAAGAGAAGAGAAGAGAGAGACCATGATGAAAGAAAAGGAACAGAAACTGATAAAATAGAAGTTGGGAGAAGGAACCCAGAAAGAAGAATACGTGAGACTGGGGAGGAGGGGAGGAGAGGGGACAAGGAGAGGTGGAGGAGGAGGAGGAGGAGGAGGGGTGAGGAACGGAATGAGAGACAGGGGGAACATCAAACAGGACAAAGAACTGACCTGGATGCACATGAGAGCACCTGTGTTGATATTAGCGTCAAGGATCTTAGAACCAAAACCGACAAGGAAGCAAGTGATGAATCAAAAGAGACCAATGAAGACAAGAATAGAGAATATGAAAGAACGAAATTACCTGACACTAGTGAGACTAGTACTGCTGATAAAGAGAGTGTTAGGAGGAGAGAAAGAACTGATGAAAAAGAAGTTGTACAACATATCATTCATACTACTAGGAACAAAGGAAACAGGAAACATGGTGATCCAGATGAGGGACATGATAGAAGTAAGAGGAGTACGTCTAGATACTCTCGGGATAAAGAACAAAGAGGATATACTAGAGATAGTTATGGACATTATAGACACTGGCAAAACAATGACAGAGAAAGTACATTTATTGGTAGACAGAGTATTAAAATGGATGAAGCTACTGTGAAGACTGTTACAGTGGATTTTAAAATGGCTGACATTGATGATTTAAAGATGGCCGCCACTAGCGACCCTTGTATTTCTAAAAAGGATGTTTCCTCAACTCAAAGTCACGAGCTGAGTCAGCAGTTATTGGGCGGAGTTTACGACTGCAGCGTTTGCTGCGATCGGCTCAGGTACAACCAGGAGGTGTGGTCTTGTGGCACATGCTATAACATATTTCATCTGAAGTGCATTAGGAGGTGGGCTCACTCTTCAGCTGCAGCTGCTTCTGAAGGTAAATACAGTTTAGGAATAATTTCAATTTTAAATAAATGTTTTTGCTTGCTTGATTTAATTTGTTGCTATTTAAAAATATTTATAGGTAACCCAGAGAAAGGTTGGAGATGTCCATGTTGTCAAACTGTCTCTTTGATTATCCCGTCCGTATACAAGTGCTACTGTGGAAAGGTCAACAATCCTGGACAATCTAGAAAGAAGAGTGACCTTCTCGTTCCTCATTCTTGTGGCGAGAGGTGTGGGCGGAGACTTGCAAAGTCCTTGGAGACGACATGTCGTCACAAATGTCAGCAGCTGTGTCACCCTGGTCCCTGCCCACCTTGTCCTGTGATGGTGTATAGGACCTGCCCGTGTGGAAAAGAAAGGTAGTGAAATAGATTACAATCTTTTTTATACTGTCTTTTATAGCTCTTAATTTTGGTTTTTGGCAAACTTGGAATTTGATAGTCATTTTGTCGCAATAAAATCAACCATTATTATTTTCAAGACAAATTTCCCAAATCGAAGCCTGCTAATCACCGAAATTAATAATTTGTTTCCTCCAAAATTACGAGCTATACTGTACTGTGCATCTCCTTGTCAACATTACCTTTTATTTCTGTAGCTCTTATGTCCGCTGTAGTCGATATGATGTCCTTCCTTCTTGTGGTAATGTTTGCGACAAGATGCTCAACTGTTCCAAACACAGATGTGCTGATATCTGTCACACAGGTAGAGTCATTTGTATGGGTCATGTGACTGTCATGTGATGTAGGCCCGTGTCCCAAATGTGAAGTCTCAGTAGTTGAAGACTGTCACTGTAAGAGAGGTAGGAGGAGCCTGTCTTGTGGTGATGATTTGTGTGGTTATTCGTGTGGAAAACTGTGTAACAGGTGAGTGTAGACCTGCATCAAATGTGCGTTAAGTCTGTGTCAATTCTCGATTAATTTTGTACTGATTCTGTGTTAATACTCTGTTATGTGTGTGTTGTTCTTCTAGACCTCTTTCTTGTGGCAACCACACTTGTGAGCTGCCATGTCACCCTGGTGATTGCTCGCCCTGTTCTCTTCTTCCTTCAGCTGTTTCTCACTGTCCTTGTGGAGCCACGCCCATTTCAATGCTCCTCCCAGAGGGTGTGGTCAGGACGTCTTGTTTGGACAATGTTCCTGTTTGTGATAGAATGTGCTCCAAACCTTTGCCGTGTTCGTCGTATAGCGAAGAAAGTAAATAATTTTATAATATCTTTTATGATTTATCTTTGTTTATTGTTTGATTTCTTGTTTCCTCCTTTTATGTTCCTTTTATTAGTTATTTCTTATTGATTTTGCATGTGTCTTGTTTTTATAATTGTTCCCTCTCTCTCTCCCTCTCTCTCTCTCTCTTTCCTTAATCAAGACACTCATTTATGTCAGAGCAAGTGTCACTCTGGTCCTTGTCCTCCATGTTCCCTAATGTCTACTGCAATATGCAGCTGTGGTCGTTCACAGACCAAAGTCCCTTGTCATCAAATCAGCGAGAAAGAAGGTTTCATCTGCAAGAAAAATTGCGGAAAGAAACTCAACTGTGGTCGTCACCATTGCAACATTAAATGCTGTACAGTAAGCCACACCTCCTTTTGCTCGTGAATATTAATCATGCTCATGATATTTATTTTAATTTTGTAGTCCGATAGTCATATTTGTCAGCGGGTCTGTGGACGTAAGCATGACTGTGGGCGCCACACATGTAAAGATACCTGTCATCTGGGGATGTGTGGGCCTTGCTGGAACATTAGTAAGTTCTTGTAGATATAGTGGGATTGAATAAACATTTAATATAGGCTTGAAGTTTTTAAAATTCTCCATTTTTAATTTTTTTTAAATTTGAGCAGATTCCGATCACATTTGGATTTTTTATAAATTTTTAAAGTTGCTCCAAAATTGGGCCAAAGTCCCTGTACTACAGTACAGGATATTCCTTTTAAATGGCTAAAATCCCTTGATTACACAATATACCATATAAAGCAAAACTTTCAATTATAATAACACTTGTGTCATCATTATTATTATTTTTAATTTTCGATTAGGTTATGAAGAGTTGGCCTGTCACTGTGGTGGTGAGGTATTGCTCCCTCCTATACCTTGTGGGACTGAGCCGCCATCTTGTAACAGACCCTGTGCCAGGATCCACTCGTGTAACCATCCAGGTTAGCTCCACTGATGATAATAATAATAATAATAATTATTATTATTATTATTAGTAGTATTTTAAAAGCAATAATAATGAATAATAAATAACATTATTAAAATAAATAATAATAATAATACTCAATTTTTTTCAGTGACTCATACTTGTCATAATGATGAGTCCTGTCCTCCGTGTATATTCCTCACTGAGAGACCCTGCATGGGAGACCATACCGTAAGTCACATTACGCAATAACCTAACTCTGTTACCATGGTTACAGACGAGACAGAACATCCCCTGCTATTTGAAAGAGGTTTCTTGCGGCCGACCCTGTGGGCGGAGCCTCTCCTGTGGGATGCACACTTGTCGTAAAACCTGTCACAAAGGACCGTGTGAGGAAGATACGGAGAGATGTAAGCAACCTTGTACAAAGGTGAGAGAGTTCTGTGACCATCCTTGTGGTCAACCCTGTCATATTGGGAGCCATTGCCCTGAGACACCTTGCAAAGCAAAGGTAAGAAAAGAAAGCTTACATGTACATGTACAGCCACAACGTCATGAGGCAGTAGAATTTAAAATTCAAGCCACACACACAAAATTGCAACCTTTTTAAAGTGTACATACGAAGATGTATTAACAGTGTCCATTGAATTAGGTCAGTATTGAGTGTCACTGTGGAAGACTCAAAGCTCAAGTAATGTGTTTAGCCAGTGCCTCATCCACTACAAGTCAGGCATTCCACAAGTTAGTTTATACACTTGTACTTATTGCTTTAATTCATGTTCTTTCTCCCTCTTCCATCTCTCCTCTCACCTCCTCTCTCTCCCTCTTTATAGATTGTATGGTGGTAATATCGGTACCCTGATGAGGGAGATACAGAGTGGACAATGTGTAAAAGTTGATAGTATCACATTGAAAAACGTTCAAGAAAGAAAGTAAGAAATTATAATAAGTTAAGCTAACGATACAATTCTCTCTCTCTCTCCCCCTCTCCCCCTCCCTCTCTCTCATAGGTTGGATTGTGATGAAGAATGTGCTCAAATGGAAAGAAACCGTAAACTAGCTGAAGCTTTGGAGCTTGATGTTGACCACACCCCTCACACTCCTCCTCAGTACTCCTCCTTCCTGTTAGACCAAGCAAAGTCCGACCCATCCCTTGTGGTCCACATTGAGGAAACCTTTAAAAACCTAATAGAGTCCTTCAAAGGATCGACAGGACGAGCAGCTGTATCTCATCACTTTAAACCGATGAAGAGAGACCAGCGAAGACTAATACATGAACTAGCCGAAGTGTATCAACTATCCAGTCTCAGTTACGACTCGGAGCCAAAGAGAAACGTCGTCGTCATGGCAACAAAGTGGGTGGAGTTTAGCTGTCATGGGCGGAGCTTACCTTATACTTTATCATAGTCAAAAACTTGCATAAATTATTATTATTATTATTATTTTTATTATTTTTCTATAGGAAGTCAATGCTACCATATATGACGCTGAGTCAGATGACATCTCGTGTTAAGGTAATGCCTCCTCCACTGCCGCTGAAGCTAAGAAGAGAAGAAGATGATGAAGATACTACCGAAGCTATTGTACCTGATTACTTTAATGACTCAAATGTATGACGCCATCATTGAGATCTGTAAAATAATAATAATAATAATCTTTTATTTATGATTCATTATAAAGAAATATAGTGTATATACCTGCACGTCTGTAGCAGCTGCTGAAATATAATAAAGAACTAGTAATTTTCAAAAATAAAACTAAAATTGTTCATTTTTGGAATATTTTTTCAAACAGGAAGTAATTTACAAGTTGTTTTTGACACCTTGTTAACACCTAGGAGGTGCTAATTGAGGTGAGAACAAGCTCGTAAAAAATTTTTTAAATGAATTTTAAAAATTCTATTTAATAATTTTCATAACAGGCACAATTTACATTATAATTGAATTTCAAAAATTTACAAAAATATGGACCCCAAAATGGGAATTATAGCAACAACAACAATAATAACAACAACAACAATAATAATTAATGATAATAATATTAATAATTATTCTATCAGTAAATTCAGTATCATGTAAAATGAGAAGGCGTGGCAGTAGGGCGTGGCTGCTGATCTCTCTTCCTCAAATAAAACCAAATGAAGTGACTAGAAGTGCCCGACGTAGCGGCTTTCAGAGAAGCAATGATCTGCTCGATTGACTTTCCTTTCGTCTCGACCAAATAGCAATACATAAAAAGCCAAATTAAAGCAGATATGCCCATAAAAATTATGAAGGGATAAGGCTTTAAATGATTCTGGGTGATGGAGGAAAAATAAGAACAAAAATATTAATGATAAAATAAAAAATTAATAATAAGAAAATGTCATTTCAACTTACCAACATAAATGGGAAGGCAAAGCTGATAGCAAAGTTGCTTAGCCAGTTGACAATGGTTGCAATCGAGACAGCAAAAGGTCGTGCCTCTTGTTTGAATAATTCTGAGACCATCAGCCAAGGGATAGCACCTGGACCAAGAGCAAAGCTAAAGGTGACACCAAAAGCAAATACGACCAGTAGAACCCCAGGGGCAGTGGCCTATAAACAGGGATAAAATAATATTTAATAATGAATATTTTGTATATATATATAGTGTATAGCTGGTAATTTTACTGGTGAATTTGGTAATTTTTATAGCTCAAATTATTAGCCAAAATAAAATTTTACACCTCAAAAATTACTAGCTACATATAATTATATCTAGTAAGTCCAGGGTAACCTTTGTCTCGTCATCAGAATAGAAGGCAAATTGAAAACAAAAAGCAGTAGAAACAAGAGCAAAGAATATGGCCATCCCTCCTAATCCATAGAGCATTAGTGTCCGTCTACCAACTCTATCAATCAATATGATCTGTAATGAGAGACGTCATGTGACTTTATCCGACCAATGAGAGTACACTAACCGTTGCTATGGTACCCAAGACTAAAACCACACCCATGACAGAAGTGGCGACGTCTCCATCACTGACACCAGCATCTTTGAATATTTGTGAGCTGTAGTAGAGCAACTAAAAATTAGAATTAAAATTTAAAAATAAGAATAATAATAAAATAAATAAATAAATAATAATAATAATAATAATAATAATAATAATAATAATGATAATAATAATAATAATAATAATAATAATAATAATAATAATAATAATAATAATAATAATAATAATAATAATAGTTGGTATTCTTTCCATTTATTCAAGCTAAACAGGCCCCACAAATACGATATCATTTTAGGCTAATAAAAAAATTAATTTTGCGAAAAAGAATGCTATTTTTGCTCTCCCTCCCTCCCTCCCTCTCTCCCTCTTACACTTCCTATTCCAGTTATTTGTTGCGAAAGGTGCAACATGATGCTAATGGCTAATGCTCTCCTCAGGACTGGATTGGTAATGAAGTCAGTGATGACTAGTGAGTTAGCTCTCTGGTTTTGATTCCTTTCCTCCAATTCAACCTGAAAGAAACACATAAAGAAAGAGAGAGAGAGAGAAAGAAAGAAAGAGAGGATGGAAGATAAATACTGTATATAGTGAAAACTTTTTGTGGCTAAAAAATTTTCACAAAATTTGCTTAAAAATTCACAAAATTATATTATTTTAAAACAAAACACATGTCCATTATATACATGTAGATGTAGATATACCTCCATTTCTCTCATTTCTCTTAGAACACTGCCAGAACCACACAACCTTTTCAATGCTACAACAAAAAAACAGCAAAGAAGTAAAATACAATTATAATAACAATAATAATAATAATAATAATAATAACAACAACAATAATAATAACAACAACAACAATAATTTTAAAGACCTTTTTCTGCGGCCTCACACTTCCTCCGTCTGATGTAAAGAAACCTTGGGCTCTCGGGACACCAGGGAAGTATCAGGACTTGTACTATTACGAATAAAAGAGGAACAGCTAACAGGATCCTCCAGCCATACTGCCCAGTGCCTACAATCTGGAATGAAAGAATGAAACAAACAAACTTGTCAATAATATTATGCACACATATACAGTATTGTCCTATTTTGACTGATTTTTTTGAGCAACTTTAAAAATTCATAAAAAATCCAAACATGATCGGAATCAGCTCAAACTTGAAACACAACATAAGAACACGTATATGTATCAAATAAAGTTATAAAAATAGAGAATTCTCTCCTTTTCATTTTTGGTAAAATTTGGCCAAACACCATGTACTATAGTACAGGGACTTTGACCCGATTTTGGAGCAACTTTAAAAATTCATAAAAAATCCAAACGTGATTGGAATCAGCTCAAACTTGAAACACAACATAAGAACATGTATATGTATCAGGGAACATTATAAAAATGGAGAATTCTCTCCTTTTCATTTTTGGCAAAATTTGGCCAAAGTCCCTGTACTATAGTACAGGGACTTTGACCCGATTTTGGAGCAAGTTTTAAAATTCGTAAAAAATCCAAACATGATCAGAATCAGCTCAAACTTTCTACACAACATAAGAACATGTATATGCATCAGGGAACATTATAAAAATGGAGAATTCTCTCCTTTTCATTTTTGGAGAAATTTGGCCAAAGTCCCTGTACTATAGTACAGGGACTTTGACCCAATTTTAGAGCAACTTAAAAAATTCGTAAAAATCCCAAAATTTGCCCAGAATAACTGGGTTGATGTCTTACAGCGTTAATCCCAAATATTTGGGAAAGGAGTATGGTGGAAGTGATGGAGAGTTGAACAAAAGTTCCCATTGCCCCACGATACTTTATTGGAGATATCTCTGACACGTACAATGGACCAATAACAGTGTTTATACCTGCAAGGAGAGAGAGAGAGAGAAGGAGAAAGAAAGAGGGAGAGAGAGAGAGAGAGAGAGAGAGAGAGAGAGAGAGAGAGAGAGAGAGAGAGAGAGAGAGAGAGAGAGAGAGAGGAGAAAGAAAGAGGGAGAAGAATAATATGTTGAAGATGAAGGATTCTTTCTAACCTGCATTGATTCCAATCACGAATCTACCAGCTATCAACATGTACGGACTCACGGCAAGCGACTGTAGAAGTACTCCAGCAATAGCTACAACATTATTAGCCATCATAGACCACTTCCTCCCTATACAGTCGGCCATAGCTCCAGCTGGTAGAGCACCAAACATCCCGCCAATTGCAAATATGGACACAGTTGCTGCCCACTCTAGGTTAGTAAAGCCGTGGGATTTGTCCATTGTGTTGTTCATAGAGCCATTGAGAGCAGTACGAATAGGCTGCAGGGATAAAAAAAAGGTCTTTTGTAAAAGATATGCTTATAAGAGGACTATAATAATCTTGAATTTCATGTTTTAGCTCCAAGCAATCTCTAACTATTACTGTTTCTATTTCAAAGTAATTAGTAGCGATTGCTTATTGAAATTTCTGGCAACATCTGCTCTGACCCAATCCCATGGAATACTATGATACCCATGCACTGTACAGCTGGTATTTTTGGAGACGGTTACAATTTTGATTAATTACTATGATCGGCAGGTTTTAATTTGGCCATGTGCTACGAAGTATGTGCATATAATGGTTTTTAAATGATGATTTTTATTTGGAAAATTCACCAAATTCCCTCCTTCAAAAATCACTAGCTACAAACTGTACGTGTACATGTACATTGTACATGTACATCATATCACTGTATCTACTAATAGTAGATCACAATAGCATTCATGTACCTCTTGCATTATTATTATTATTATCATTATCATCATTATTATTATTATTATATTATTATTACCTCTTGTATGTTATTGATAACTCCAGTGTTGAAGCCAAACTGAGCGCTGGATCCAATGGTGGTTGCAATGACACAGAGGACAAGGACTGGCGTTATCCTGTTTCCACTTATAGAGTGGATAGTCTCCTAGTCAATTATATAACGGATAACAGAAGATATTCACACCATAATGTGTTCATAAAGGCAATTATAATAGAATGCCACGTGAATGGATGACTTGTTATTGTAGGCTTAATGCTATCATAATGCTAGTTTTCTCACAGCAAACTTCATTATATACTCGTGATAATAAAGTATGAGATATCTACATGTAGCACTGGAGCCAACAGACCAACCTTATTATTATTTAGAGTGATCATTCGCGGCCCCTCTTCGAGAATTTTGGTATCAACTTCCGCCATTTTTATTTTCTTGCAAACCACACCTAGCTAATTATTCAATTTAATAATTAATTAATTAGTGACGTCATATACGACAATAGTACTTTTATTGTGACTTAATCATTTTTAATTTAAATAAAGAATGAACAACAAGAAAACAAAAATACACATGAGATAACTACAATACATATTCACATTATTATATTCATTACATATCATCATCATCATCATCATTATTATTATTATTAGCACAATACATGAACAATGATAGTTTATAATTAACTGTATATACATAGTTTGAGAGAGAAAGGGAGGGAAAGAGAGTAAAATGCACAGCTGCTATTACTGCTTCTAAAATCTATTTCAATTTTTCTCTCGAAGATCGCTTGCTACGATTTGTCAGATTACTGAGAAGACTGGATCTAATCCCAGGAGATCGACTGATGCTGTTTTTACGAGAGGAGAACATTGAAGAACCTCCGCCCGTGACATAAGTATCCTCTTTCAATCCTTGACTCCGTTTAGAGTGCTTGCCAGAGCTAAGGATAGTGCTCAAGTCTGGAGTCGAGCGAGAGAGGGAGAGAGACGACTGGAGGGCAGAGAGGTGAGTTTTCTCTGGGCTTGTCATCACCGTCGCATCGGTCTGGCTGAGGCAGCCTGGGCTCTTCAAAGGACTCTGCATTATAGGCGGAGTCCGATCAGGAGATGAGGAACTCTCAAGGGACGTCTCAGGCCTTGTTGCTGAGACCATCATCACAACTCGACGTGGAGATTCACTCTTTGTCACCCTCTCCAGGTGAGGGTCCGAAAAGCAGCCTTTCTTTAAGATAGGCGTGGCTGTGGGTGACAGTGACACATGGGATTTGGTACCAGAAAGAACTACTGTCCCTGTCCTTCCTGCTAGAGGACTTTCATTACGAGGCTCTACTTCTTCTTTCATGGTCTCAAGCTTAGCCTCGCTGCTGGATTCATCATCGTCTATATCAAACTCTCCCCTTAACATGGCTTCTATTACATCAGGATCAATGTGCGGTGTGTTCCTCCATGACTTACGATCTTGTGTCTTCTTGGCTCGTCTTTTCACTTCAGTCATGGTAGTGCTGACAGGGGAACAGGACTTAATGGAGCGAGAAGGAGGAGGAGCAAAATCCTTAGAACTGACGATAGGAGATGAAGGCGTTTCTGACTTTGATCTTGGCTTCTCATCATCTTGTTTGGGAGTTTTACTCAATAATATGTCCCTTTTAAATGAAGACGGACTCCTCTTCTCAATACCACCTCCACTACCAGTGATGGATTGATCTGCTCCACCTTGTGAGAAAAATATAACCTTCTTATCAATGGCTGGCTTAACGTTGAGGACTTTAGGACTCCTTCTTGCTTCAACAAACTGACTATTAAGAGTGAAGCTTATCTTGTCAGCATAGTCTTTCTGTATCTTTGCATTCTTCGTACCTACAAGATGAACATTAAATATGCTGCAGTGATCCTATAGTGAACAACTTACTTGTAGGAGCAGTAGCTTCCAGTGCTTTTTCATTACTAGTCTTAGCAGTATCAGGAACACTACCCGTGACAGCTGATTCTTTAGTAGTACTAGTGGTAGCTGATTCCTTAGCCGTACTGCTGGCAGTCAATTCCTTAGCCGTACTGCTGGCAGTCGATTTCTTAGCAGTACTGCTGGCAGCTAATTCCTTAGCTGTACTACTGATCTCATTATTGTCTTTGGCCTTAGCATCAGCAGCAACATTAGGTACAGTAGGAGTGCTGCCAGTGTTTGTTGGACTGTTCGATGGCTTCTGTGTATCCTCTGCTCCTCTAGCTTCCTCTTCTTCAGCGAAGGATCCTTCTTGTGCCTTTATGCTCAATTTCTGATTCTTAATGGAGGCGGGGCTACTGATACGCCTGTCACTTCCACGAGGAGAAATGCAACTTTGTCCGGTAGAGAGTGTCTTAGTGAGTGCTTGACGGCCCTTTGGCTCCTCCCCCTGCTGTGCTTCGTCTTTCTTGCGTTTGAGTCTCTCGAGTTTTTTCATTTTCTCAATCGTATCTGGAGCGAGGGATATCAGTTCGTCAATGGGCGTGGTCAGTCGCGAGTTAGGCCGTTTACCGACCCCAGTATCATCTTCCATGGATGGTCTAGGAGAAGAGGACATCATTCTCGACTGCCGACTCAAATCAAACGATTGACTGGAGCCGGTTTGAGTGGGCGTGGCCAACTGAGAAGAAAAGGGCGGGGTCAATGACGGCTCTGGCTCAGAGGATGTACCCGTCATTTCCCTAGACTCTATCCCCCCGTCCTCCTCATCGACCCTCACTGTGGTGTTACTATCAGAGCTGCTTATTGAGCTAGCGGAGCCAATCATGTTCACTCTTAGAGCGCTATTGCTGCTGTCCACTTTCTGCATCTCGGTACAGAGCTTTGAGACCTTCTCTGTCAGCTGTTTCTTCATGTCTTCTTGTTCGTCGTCGTCTCCGCTACGACCGGACGGCCGGGGGGCAAAGGAAGAGGAGGCGCTAGAGCTGGGGGAGGGGTCAAGGGAGGAGTTATTACTGTCGAGACAAAGGGCGGAGTCGAGCGAGCTTGTTGAGCTGTGGAGACATTGGGACTGAGGGGCGGAGGAATGAGAGGAAGAAGAAACTGTGGATGAGGTGGGGAGGACAGTTGGGCTGTGGTTCTTCATCCAGGGATGACTCAAACACTTAGTGGCAGTAAGACGATCACTAGAAATTTAAAAAATATAAAAAATAACCACACACACACATGTACAGTAAGGGTAATACTAGTAGTTGTGTACAATATATACCATAACATTCACACTTACTACTACTCCACATTAATTGTACTAGTGGATTATTAGTTAAAAACATGATATCATTGCGTCATATAAAGGGACCAGAACATGAACAGAATAGCATGAACTGCTTTGAAGTTCACAGCATAAACAAGTACCAAATCTACCAAGTGATAATTGGACCATTTCTTATAATAACAAGTAGTTCTGACTCCAATACAGCATTCACTGAACTACATGTATATACATGTACATGTACATGTACATGTACATGTACATGTAATACCACTAGACTATGTGCATGTAACTGGTTCTTAGTACACAAAGGAGAACCTTACAGACATAAGCAGAGCTCATAGCAATAAATACCACACACACAAATAAAACTTATGTACCAATACATGTACACATACCTCGGCTTCTTTTGAAGGAGCTCTTCAATGAAATCCTTTGCCTCTTGACTGACCTCGTCAAAAACCTCATCCTCAAAATCATACTCGCACATGGAGACGTTACAGAAAGTGTCGGAGTGAGTCTCGCCCTGAAATGGTGAATAGCCAGTCAGCCTACACATTGTGTTCATGTTCGTGTGAGTGTGTGTGTGTGTATAAGGTAAGAAAAGGAGAAAGACATGATCACAACTTCCCACTAATTGGTATCATAATATGGTATGATTAATAGTTTAATAGCAGCAAATGAAATGAGAGATCAGACAGTGTGTGCATCAGACAAAACAGCAAATAATGATAATGAGAGATAAAATACTGTAACACTATCTGGACATATTGGTTATGAATAAAGGGTGAGGCAGAGATAACATGTGTGTATTAGAGGGGGAGAAGGGAGAGAGGGGAAGTTTAACTTACAAAGCATAAGTAAGAGCTCCAATACTCCTGTAGAGGAGAGAAAGAGAGAGGGGGAGAGAGAGAGAGAGAGAGAGAGAGAGAGAGAGAGAGAGAGAGAGAAAGGTCAAATAAAGATAAAAGAGAAGGGGAATAGGTGGTATGGCAGAAAGGAAGGAGAGAGAGAGCATATTGTCATTGGATGAGTAGTAAACATTTTCCCCACACAGGATGATTCTACCATACCACAGCACATTAACACAAACAGAAGAAGATATGCAGCTGGAGAAGACCAACTATCATATAACAACAAGATGGACATTACCCACTTCCTCCAATACCAAAGGCTGAGAGTACTAACACCTGTACATGCATAACATTCATTGTTCACCATTAGAGCTGTTGACATACATGTACATGCACGCACCGCACCATAATAAACATGCACATGCTTACAGTCTAGATAGTATTATTTCTATAATACTCAAATTTCTATTGATATAATAGGGTTATGCCTAATTCACATGAATTCCTTAGTATTGTTTAAAATGTCTTACTGTTGTGTCTGACATGTGATGTACATGTAATACAATATGAATATATAAACTCACCACATGTCTGCAGCAACACTGAGCGGCTCATAATTCAATATCTCTGGAGCTAAAAGATGGGGAGAGAGGAGGGGGAGAGAGGGGGAGGGAGAAGAGGAGAGAGAGAGAGAGGAGAAAGTAGAATAACGTGTACACAACAGTATGAGGTGATACAATGGCCCTAATATAATAAGATGTGGGCATTATATAATCTCCAAATTAGGACAAACAATATTACACGGGTGGTGTTTGATAATCTCCATGCCTTTTTAGGATACTTGGAGGATCTGTCAATTGAAGGCTGCCATGCAAAGGCTATTGTATTATGGGAAAACAATAGTAAACTACAGATATTACATGGTAAGAGAATGTGACACCATCCCCCACAGGGCAGGCAAACAAGCCATTATGTAAGTATTGTATTGCAAGAAGTTGGCATTTTAAAAAGTAAATAATTATTTGTACAAGGCTACAAATTATACTGATTTGTGCCCGTCAACACGGCAGGGTAGCCATAGATTGTCAAATGGCCTTTTGAAAGAAGGCTACCAAATTTGGAATGAAAGCTCATAAAGGCACCAAAGAACCACCGTTAGCAGCTGACACGTGTTTGTTGGTGCAGCTGAAAAGAAGGGCCCGGCGCCAATAGAATAAGAAATAAATTAAGGAGAGAGAGCTTACCAACATATTCTGCAGTACCAACAAGAGTTTTTACTTGTTCCCCAGGAGCTATTTGCAGTGCAAGTCCAAAATCAGCAATTCTAATGTCCAACTGTCCTTTACGATAAAGAAGAATATTCTCGGGCTACAGCAGATAGAGATGAATCAAATTAAAATCAAATAATTATATAAATCACAAGATACCTGTGTCAATCATGAAAGAAGGCCCACTGCTAAACAAAAATACTATAACTACAGGTGTCCCAGGTGTCCAGAGGCAAGATTATCCTTATTAGTGGTAAACCCAATAATATAATAAAAATATGCTTAGTATGTCAGCCCGGGCCATGTACCACACACAAACCAGCACATATACAAGAGAAGTATTTCATCTAGATGTACATGTACATGTAACGCTGTCTCTCAGTAAGAAAATACACCTACACAGGGATTGCTAGTCAATGCCATAAAGAGATACACCCACAGGTATAGGTAATGCTATCACTCCTCAGAAGGAATAGAATACATGTACCCCCCAAATTCATTACTGAATGAAATGTGTCTGTAATCAAAGGGTCTGTTGCAATATATCTGCACACACACACACACACACGTATAAATAATATTTTTATATAAATACTAATAGTTCACAAGTTTAAGTCACATAACGATAATCAAACTCTAATTACGCACCATCTGTTATGCATGCAAGCAATTCATAGCCTGCTACCGATTTTCAACAAATCATGCACATTCTTCCAATGCCATTAAAGTCCGTAAATATCAATATGTTAATCATTACCTACAGTAAACATGCACGTATGCGCCATTAAAGCACAAGCAAGTCAGTACACAAGACACACACAGTGTGGCATACACTACTAATAAATAACAATCTGTATGTCACCTTTAGGTCCAGGTGGACGATACTGAGGGAGTGAAGGTGTTCCACGCCCTCTAGTAGTTGGAGGACCACGCCTCTTGCTTTGTCTTCGGGTAAAGGGTCCACGGCAATCATGCGAAACAGTTCTCCTCCAGTGGCGCTATTTAGAGAGAGAGAGAGAGGGGGGGGATCAACAAGTTAAACATATGCAAATCAAAATGGAAAGGAATGAGAAGAATGCCTGGGATGTGACCACAAAAATCAAGACAATTAAAGCGATCGGCAGAAGGGCCAAGCGTGGAGGGAATAGCAATGCATTTCAAACAAAAACAACACAAAGAGAGACACTTTAAACAACAGCAATGTGTCTCTAGCTGGTTATTCTTTGCTATAAATATACTGCAAAGATTTGAGCAGAGGGTAATGTTAACACACAAATGTCAACACCCAATTCTACACGCCATCATTGAGCGTAATTGAGGCACCAACAAGCATAAAAGAAAAAAAGAGAGAGAGAGAGGGAGGAAGGAGAGGCTGGATTTTAAAGTATAATAACAACTCACAGTTCAATAATAATTATCATTTCTCTGGGTGATTCGAAAACCTCACGAAGTTTTATGATCCGGTGATGGCCCATGGACTGTCTCATTATATCCACCTCCACAATGATGTCATCCCTACAGGCCTTGCCACCACGACGTTTCCTCAGGAACTTGGCAGCGAACTGCTCCCCACTTGCCTTTTCAGTCACACGCTTGACTATAGCAAATTTTCCTCTGAATAATTAAAGGAAAAAGAGAGATGGATCGTGACATGGCTCTATCTGTTACTCACCTTCCCAGTTCAGCTCCAACGTCATATTTCTCTTCCAGTTTCTCCTTGCGGACAAGGCGCTCCACTTCTTCATAAGGCATAGTACTACAGCTGTCTTTCTCCAGTAGTATTGGGGGAATACAAACCCTGATATAACAGGCTAGAGGCTAAGACTGTCCTCTATGTCTCTACGATAAAATGATAGAGAGAAGAGAGAGTGTAATGTGGAGAAGTGAGATTTACCACTGCCTTAACACATACCACGAAACCACTTGTGCACATTAAATAAGTTTTAATAACCAAAGGGTAACGCCTATTTTTATGCGTGGGCAGAAACTCAACGGTAGGCGGGGCTTAAATTATAATATCCTAGAGTATCCCGAGGTATACTAGAAAATATAATTAGAAGCTATGACGTAATTGTGTTGATATTTTTAGAAAGAAGACGAAGGCAACAAAGAAGGCCGCCATTTACACTCCCTGTCCGTAAAGAAGACATTTCTGACTTTCCTACCTTGCGAATTGCTTCTTTGACTATGGAAAAAGGTAGTAAAAGTCTTTTAGAAAGTAATACTCGCGATTCGGTACGTTTTTCTAAGCCGGGTTGACCGTAAATGGTCTGCGACATAAGGACAGGTACACTTGTTAATTGACATCCTAACTCGGTGCGAATAAGTGTTAGATGTTTTTTGTTTTCATTATTAGATAATCCAGTGGCTGTTCTGTCTGAGCTCTGTACAGACGCTGACATCAGTCGGGCGCAGCGAGTTCTCCCGTCCAAGTATGCCAATCATTTTCAACTACTTGTTTTAAACTTCAATACATAGGTTTTTAAAACTTGGTGATATAGTGAGTGCATCTACATCAATTTCTTCAAATCTAAGCAAAGAGTTGATCTTTCCTTATGTTGATTGTTACCAGCCTGAAGGGTATCCTTTGAATCCTCTTCCCACCAAGAGCGTTGAGAAACTTCCTCCAATTGCACTCTCTGTTGACGGGAAAGCTGCCCCAGTTTACGGCAACAATAATCCATCTTTTGCCGATGTTAATTCTACCATCAATCGCAGCGTTTTTGCTGCATTCAGTGCCAATTTGCCCAACCAGGCAGTAATCACTCAAGAACAGAAACCTGTTCTTAATTTGGATCAATGGGGGAAGGAGGAAAGAGTTGCTGCTGCCAAGTTCTTTGAGGAGTTTCTTTGCAGCTCCAAATCCAACAACTACTTCCGCAGTTGTCCTGGAGGTCGTGGTCAGACTGGAGGGGGAGGTGCTTCAGGGGGTGCGTCCGGAGGTAATGGGACGACTGGTGACGTCCAATGGGTCACTGGTTCTTATGGAGGAGGAGGAGGTTCCTATTACGGAGGATCAGGTGGAGACGACGACGACGATCCATCAAAGCATTTGCGACAAATCAATAACACTCCAGGGCATTACTTGGATTTGGATTTGTTCCAAGCTAGCGAAGATTTGGATCCAGTTACTGCTGATCTGCTGCGTGAATTTGGGCTTTTTTCTGAGCTTGGTCTTGAGCCTGTTTTTAATCCACATCTTCAGAATCTTCCTGGCAGTTCATCTGGAGTTAACGTACGTCCTGACGATTATTCTGATCCTGCTCCACAGACTCCCCATACTCCTGCTCCCATGACACCACACACGCCTGCTCCAGCCACTCCTGCTTCCTACGGAATGATGTCGCCAATGCCTCAGTGTGGAGCCTCTGGAATGAACTATGGACCATCGTTGACTTACGGAAGTTTTGGCGGGGCGTATGAAAGCATGGGTGGAGCTTCAATGCAGTCTACATCTGGTGTTAATGTCAGTGATTTGTTGGAGATGAGCAAGCTAATGGCCACACCCGTTACTCCTCCCACTAATAACCCGGTTTGTGCTCCAATGGTTGTTCCTCAACAGCCTCGTAACGACCAGCGATTGACCGGCCAGCAGGTATTCAACTTGACCCATCCCTCTGCCTCAAATTCAGTGGCTAATGTTGGTCTTAATCCACCACCTAGTCCTTCTCCTCAGTCACAAACCAGCTTTGCTCTCTCTCAGCCTGTCACTCAGTTCTTTGGGGTCAGGCCTAGTTACATTAATGCAGCTCAGGGCAAGAAAGTCCTTAAGGTTTTTGTTAAGGATCATAATAACGCTCAGTCCTATGATGCTCTCAAGTTTTGCTTTGACATGTTCAAGAAGTATGACAGCCAGCTAGAGAAGCAGTGTACCCTCCCTATAGCTAACCAAGGGAGGGCAAAGCTCGCCACTATGACCACTGAGCCCGATTCAAGTTTGACTTTCAGCATGCCCTTTAACTGTAAGTATCTTGAAAAATACAATTACAAGATGTTCAATGTGATCTGCTCTAGTGTTAGTGTTTACATAAGCCAATTTAAGAATTCAATTTTATTTTTTACATTTTTTATTAGGCCTCCCTTTTGATGAATGGGCTGCCTCTAACAATGATCTTCGGGCTTGTGTGTTGGTCCTTCAGCAAATTGTTAATACCCTTTACAGTGTCTTTCAAGGAGACAGGGACCTGTCCTTCTGGGGAAGCTATCAAAGTAAGCTTTTATTACATGTACATGTACCTACATGTATGCACAATGTGTATTGTAAGATGTTATTTATAAATTTTTTGACTCTTCTCTTTTTGTGTAGTTTTTGTTGCTCCGAATTCTCAGGTCTATATCTACATTGACTTTAACAAGTCGCTCTCTGTCCAAAAGGTGAGTCACTTGAAGCCTATCAAGTAATGATGGTAATCCATTGATCTGTTTGTACAGGTGTATGCTACTGAATTGTCCTTGCAGCAGTCAAATAGTCGCAATGAGGATTGTGTTGTTTTGAAGAATATTTGTGATGTTCTTTTGAACAAGTTCTTGAATGGAGGCAATGTAAGATAATAAGTACAAGTAGTACTTCAATTTTATTGATGTTTTCTGCTTTAAAGCAATACTTAATGACTGATCTTACTAGCATTGTTTATATTTTTTATTTGTATAGGTTTCACCTCAACTTGAAGAGGTTCTCCGATCATTTGGAAATCTCTTAAACTCTCCAAATTGCGTCAGTCAGGTTGATATCCTTGCTCGTATACTTGGTCAAAGGAGGGTCTGTAAAATGCAGGCCACAGTTCATGGGTTGAACTCTCCTGAGTGCACAGTCTACTCTGTGGAGCATGAGCCTGTTTCTCAGTCTCTTGGTGTCCTCAAGCCCTATGTAAGGAAGTGTTATATTATTTTGCCAAGGTTTCCCACAGGATTTTGATTTTTAAAATAAATTTTGACAAATACAGGATATTTTGTCAAAAATCGAAAGGAGAAAAATTTTCATTTTAATATTTTTTCCTGATACATGTACATGTTCTTATGTTGCATAGGAAGTTTGCATGAGCGGATTCCGATCACATTTGGATTTTTTTTGAATTTTAAAAGTTACTTCAAAGGCCAGCTCATGAAGCTCACTCATGACTTAGCATGCTTTGTGGGAAACCCTGTAGTTTGCAACTATATTCTTGCTATTATTATATTACATATTTTATATATTACATATTTATGTACATGTAGGTTAATAATGTTGGGCCTTGTGCTGTTTATCACAGTGATGGTACTCCTGTTCATGTGACAGAGATATCTGTTCGTGGGTCCAAGAACCATCAGTTCATTTTGGTTCCTTGTGGCCAGAACACTACTCGTAGTCCTGGCTTCCTCTACATTGAATAAAAGCAGTGCTAAACTTTAAAAGAAAGAAACTGAACTTTCATTATCGTTATTGTTGTTAATATTGCCAACTTTTGAGTTTCTTTCATTTGTACCTTTCATATTTACCACTGTCAATGTGTCAATATCTCTCTATCTATCTGTCATTTACTCTAATGTGTGATTCCCTTTTGTACGATTATAATTATTCACCCTTGTTATAATTGACAATAAAAAGATTAAATTTTTTGGGGAAATTTTTTAACAAAATGCAAATATGACGTCGATAGTTTACGTCATAGCTATCACGCCCACTTAAGGTATCACGTGATTTAAGTGGCTGAAAATGTGTGCAGTGTACGTGTGCACTACTTTGCTGTGTATAGAAAGAAGCCGAGATTAAAGGAATTTCCCAAACACTTTTAAGACAAACAATCCATCCTTCCTTTACTTATATTCATGCGTACAAGGAACGATGATTCCAGTTCTAAGAGTCACGGGGATGGCAGATCAGCAGCAGCAGCAACAACCCGGAGGAGGGGGGAGACCGAGCAGCACAAAGCGAGTGGATTCACAGCAACAGCTACAAAGACAAGACTCTGGATTTCTTTCTGGCGCTCCTACACCAGTCACTCCTTCGAGACCCGAGATGAATGCTAACCAACCGCAACAAGGAGGAGGACAATCAGGAGGACATTTAGTGCCAAGAGATAGTTCGTTGCCTCCTATACCGGAACGATCTTCACCAGCAGGCCACCAAGAAATGGCCTCGATATTAGAAAAGGTATTGTATATTATACGTGTGTGTGTGTTGTAGATTCAAATGAGAAGGCTATGCTATAAGTTTTTGCACTCTTTAAACATATTAAGAACAAATTTTCATGCTGTACAGGTACATTGTAGTTAATGATGTACTTTCTTTTCAACATATTAATAGCTTACACCTTGTCACTATCCATGTTTTTGCTTTGTTTCTCGTCTTCTCTCTCTCCCTCTCTCCGCAGGTTAAAGAGCGGATACAAGAAGAGGATGATGAAGAGGAACCCACGTCCATACGTCCGTCCCGTCCCACGACCCTTTCTCCCCATGCTCCGCCTCCAAAAGAAGAAAAGAACACTCCTCTAACTCCAGGAACAGTTCTACGGCAGTACAATGAAAACCCAGGCCACCTACCGAATCATTTAAAGGAATACATTGAGAAACGGGCCGACGCAATCGTCCAAGAAGTTGTACCCGAGACCCCGACCTCAGTTCAAGCTCTCCCTCGGCCCACTCATGATGTGCCCCGGGCAGAATTACCTCATCCTACGCCTCCCATCGTCCATCAGACTTCGCAAGATATAGTTTATCCCATAAACGAAGTAAGTCTGTAGACAATAAAAGCTAGTCTCTCTTCTTTGTTATTGGGAGCCAAGGCTCGTTTGAGCGATTTCGCTTGTGTAATCAAGTTGATCTTGAGTGGTGGTGTGGTCCAGTATAGTGAAAGGAGAGAGAGAGAAAGAGGAAGAGTGTTTTTAACCTATGTCACTGTCACGACAAAAATTTGCACTAAAAACATGTTGTTGCTTATTGACATTCTCCTCTACCCCCTCCCTCCCCCCTCTCACTCTCTTTCTCTTTCTTTTTTCTTAGAAATATCTTCATCTTGGACCAGATGGCAATTATTACGAGATAAGGGATTACGATCGTGTCGATAACGAGATTCTTGGCGAAGGAGGCTTTGGGACGGTATACGCCTGCAGCGATCGTTACTACCAAACCATGTTTGCCATAAAATGTAACAAACACAATTCAGAAGAGAAGGTTCGGAATATGAACTTGGAGTGTCGTGTGTTAGATCACATTGGTCACCATACCCACATTACACAGCTGTTTGGTGCAATGATTGACAAGAATGTCTCAGCCTGTGTGTACGAGGGGCAAAAGTTTAAAATGTTGATGGAACTAGCGACAAGTAAGTGGATTATATTGAATACAGTATAATATGGTTCAAGTATGATTGATATTGTGACTATTAAGTGCTTAGACTGTAGTAGCATTGCTATCCTAATCTGCTCTTTTGATGCACCGCACATATTCACATAATTGTGCTGTCGGCCAGTTTTGTGTGTGTGTGTGTGTGTGTGTGTGTGTGTGCTAGCTGTGCTGTCAAAGGAAGAAGTGCCTAACAAGTAGACATTTTGATTGGACGAGAAGATGAGTATGTTTTCGATTGATATTGGATTGATGCTTTTACAAATTTCTACTATCAAATACTTCTCACTGCATGAAAGTTATACTTAAACATGCGCCATTAGCGTGTGACCTAGAGCTCTTACTGCTTGAAGCAATTAATCTCAACTTACAAATGATTATTGTTGAGTGTGACCTCCTCTTTATTGGCAAACTTTGTCTCTTAAGTGGGTGAGCGTGGACCAATTGATTAAGTATCAGACATTCCAGCCTTCATAATGTTGTTAGTTGATAGATACAGTAGTTCAACAAAGCAGCTTCATCTAATGTTGTTAGGAAAAGTCTTAGCATGTGTGGCAATTTGAGTGCTGGTCATGTTTATAAGTATCTGCTATCTATAGATCTCATTATGTATCATTGGATTAGTGCATGAATCTACTGCACAAGAATGTACATGTAGAAATATATCATCTTTCTTTTCTCTCTCTCTTGTGTGATGTTCCATCTTTCTCATTCCTTTTATTACAAATAGTCTATATTACATTAGCTGCCGGGCAAAGGAAGTTTTCAAGTCGCCACAAAATGCGACGGAGAATTAAAAGTTGACCAATTGTACGTCAGCTTCAAAGTGTTATTTGGGTCAAAAGGTCATATTACCGACACAGTTTATGCTTTTATGTCGACTGGAAACCTTCCTTAAGGAAACGCACTTCATATACTGTAGTTGTATTTATTTTGTGGTCATGAAAGTATGAACAAAGCCATCAGCTCTGTCTGTCTGTCTGTCTCTCTCTCTGTTGCATGTTTTGCTCTTAAAGGAAAGAGTTGTTGATATTGTTATTTTAAACTCACGTAGACAGTATTGATAACTTTGCTTTGTGTTCCTTCCTTCTGCTTTAAGCTCGTCTTTCGCTACCATATTTGGAAGAAAGCTCATTTGAGCGGACACACGCACACACGCACATGTATACTTTAGCGTGTTTCATTTTTATTATCTTTTTAGATGGAAGTCTTGATGAGCTGTTGTTTGATCCAGACACCAATGAGCCATCTGGTCTTCCATTTAACCAATCTCTTTTCTATCTCCAGCAGATCCTGTACGCTGTCCACTTCCTTCATCAAAGGGCTATCCTCCATCTTGATTTAAAATGTAAGAGAGAGAGGGGAAAGAGGAGAGAGACAGGTGGAGTTATATTAAATACACAATCCTGATGGCATACGTCTAATATTTGTGTGGTCTATTGCATACATAAACACACACACGCGCTGATACCTATCATGATGCAAATGCTCATTTCATCAGACATTCTTCTACTCATGTGATGTTTTGATGGTTAATAAATTCATTCATTTGTGACAAATGTAAATATTTTCATGCCCTAGAAAGCAGCCTTCTGGACTATATATGTTTCTATAAACCTTTTATAGTTCAGAATATGGCGACTGATATAGATATATTGAACTATTTATAATCAGTGTACACTATGCCAACCTTTAATCTCTATTTGTAAGTCATTGTAATTTCATGTACATAGCAGCTGCCTGTATCATTCCTTCCTATGCATGGTTATTAGTCATAGCATGATCAAGAATTCAACCTATTTACATATTCATAATCCTCTTATCTGTACAATACAGTGTATGAACTAATGTTTTAAACTCAATAAAAGTGAAGGGAATATACATGTATACAATTGTACATGTATACCAAATGAGAATGTGTTGCTAATATAATCTTAGATGCACCTACAGTACATGATAATTATTCATGTATAATAATGTAAGATTACATTTAATCCTAGACTGATCTCTCTCTTGCTACACCTGATGATAATCATGATAGTCATTATGAAAGTATATGATATGGCGCCACATGTGCATGTACAGGATAGAGGAAACCCAGTTCCTCTCCCACCAGTTTTAGTATGCACTATATGACTTTTCCCCATTCAAACACTGTGTTATGATAATGTTGCTTAGTATAGTAGACTGTGTCTGTTAGTACTGTACTACTGTAGTGATTTAAGTCTGACACTGACTCATTTTATAGTATACTAGTAGTTTCTAAAAGTGTCTCCCACTGGTTGGTGATGGTGTTGGATTTTCCCTCTTACTGGCACTGTTGACCTGTGACTCCCTTATATGGGAGATGGACAGGATGAGAAGCATTTTATAATTACTAATGAATGCTTTTATCTGATCTGATAAAACTGTCATACACACACACATACACCTACTTGTCATGTACATGAAGCTGAAATGTACATGTTTAACTGACTGTGTTTCATGTACATATATGTACACATACCCATACCATACCCTTTTAACTAATCCCTCCCTGCTTCTCTCTTTTCCAGGTGCTAATGTATTACTGTTTAATGAAGGACGGACTGTAAAGCTAACTGATTTTGGGAGTGCTGTAAGATTAGATGAATCTGGAGGCTGTCACATACAAAGCAATAAAGGATTAACCCCCTACTTCTCTGCCCCAGAGGTATGTACATGTATGATATAATGTCTACTAATACTAATAGTGGTATGTAAGGTATGTTGGGTATGTCATTTAAGATATGAATGAAGCATAACAAGTCACATTTCCTTCATTTTTTCAAACTCTTCTCTCTCTCCCTTTTCTCTTTCCCCTTTCTTTATGTGCAGGCTATAAGATGTGAATACGTGTCCTTTAGTGCTGACATTTGGAGTGTGTTGTGCTGCCTTGTGGAGATGATAACAGGCCACTTGCCGTGGTGCTATAATGGACTAAGAGACCCCCATAACATCATAATGCTGGTAAGAGAAAAGAAAGGGAGAGAGAGGGAGAGGAAGGTAGAGGGAGAGGGAGAGGAAGGTAGAGGGAGAGGGAGGTAGAGGGAGGAAGGGAGAGGGAGCTGTAGAGGGAGAGGGGGGTGAAGAGGGAGGGAGAAAGGTATGGAAGAAATGATTTAACTCAATTAGCTTTTATTGTCTCAAGAAAATATGTCTGTGTTCAGAATTAAGGCCCATGACCATTTTTGCATTACAGTGCTTGTACTGGCACACTGGTCTTGTGACTGGAGTGATTGCATTGTTGTTCTAGCAGTATTCTGTATTGAACAACTGCTCTAGCTTTGAAGTGACTCTTTTATGGTCTAATATAGGAGCAACACTGATGATGATGCAGTATAATTTTAAAATAAACAATTATCCTGTGTGGGTGCTGACTTTTAGCGTCTGTCTTAATTCCTGTCTTCCTTTAGGCCGGCCATTATTGTGATGCTGAGCCTTTGAAATATTTCCGTTGTCTTGTCCCGGAAGGAATAGAGACGGAGGATCCTAGGATACTGGAGTTGTTCGAGAAGGTATTTAAACGGAATCCTAAGGACCGCCCAACTGCACTGAAGCTCCTTGAACATGAGCTGATTAAAGATGGTGAGAAAGAGAAAGAGAGAGGGAGTGAGAAAGGAGAGAAGGAGGGAAGGGAGAGAAAAAAGAGAGAGAGAGAGGGAGAAAAAGGGGCATACATGTACATATAGGTTTGGGGCGCATGGAATTAATAAAATGTTATTTATCTCCAAAGAATGTTTATAAGCTCTTTATATTAATGATAACATCTACTGAGGTCATAGTTCTGGTAAACAGTTTTGGAGAATCTATTTTTAGTCTTAGGGAATCCAATAGGAACACTGAAAATGTCATCAGACTAAATATCCTATTTTTAGAATTGTACACTTTCCCCCACCACACATAATTATACTCCCACTCCTTAAATTACATTTACAACATGTCAGATTGTGCTTTACATTTGATATAATACCATATTTGGTTATGTTCAGTACTGAACCACACCCATTACCAAGAAGTAAGTGTGTGTGAACAGTCCTAATAAAGGACATGTACTACAACATATTTGCATGTTCATGTACACGTACATTTATGTTTATATTAACGTGCATAAGTTGTGAATGATATCATATTGTGATATGAGCATTCCCATGTACATGTACATGTATATGTGCCTACATGTGTGTGTGTGTGTGTGTGTGTGTGTGTGTGTTTATATTTTATTGTTGATTTTTATTTTCTCTAGCTCATGAATATGAAAAAGAGTTTGACCAGTATGAGGATATTGATGGCGAAGTCTTGGCCCCGCCTGAAGCTGCCACGCCTACTTCTAATGACAAAGTGGAATCTAATGGTAACTTATTTATGTCTATTTCTCTTTATTTAATAATAATAATAACTATATTAATCAAAATAAATAGTTAAATAATAGAATAAATATTGTTAATTCTGTTGATATTAAAATTGTATCTGAAGTTCAACAGCTCATCTGATTTTGTTTATAATATCAGCATTTTAATATTATCATATCTAATAAAAAATGTTTAAGAAGATTCTTTTTTTTATTTTTCGATTAATTTTTAATTCTCTCACAGCCAGTGGAGGTAGTAAGAAGTCTTCAAGAGCCTCAGTGGACAGTGGAATGGACACAGAAAGATCATCATCGAATTCGTCGTCTCCAGGATCAGCTACTGAACTAATAGACAGTAAAGCAAGTAAGAGAGGGAGGCGGAGGAAAATTATAATTAATTCATTGACGATTTTATTTGATTAGCATGTACATGTACATTAATGGTTGCATTGTGGTTAAATAAAATTGACAAAAAATTGACCTAAAATTAACAAAACCATAGCAAAAATTTATCCTTATTTACGGCTATTTTCTCTCTTTTTTAGGTTTTAGTATAGGCACCCTGCCAGTACCAGGTGGTGCCAGTGACTGCCCTCCTCCTCCTCACCCTCCTTCCTCTTCCTCTATCGGGGGACTAACCAGCTCTAGTGCTCCTCCTAACTTCAATGGAGGCTGCTGGGAAGATGATATTGAGAAAGATGGACCTAATAACAGTTGAGTATAAAACATCATACCAGCTCCTATACACATGTATATATTTATGCTTGTGCATCTAGAATGTATATCTACTTGTATTCTGTATTGATACAACACATGTACATGTACATACACAACTTGTATTATTATGATATTTTCTTTTCTATTATTATGTAGGAGTTCTGTCAAGAAAACTAAAGCGGACCACGTCAGCTAATTATGTATCCAACGGTAAGGCCGATATCCCCTCCCTTTCTCCTAATGTCTCTTATAGGCAGTGGCCTATAAAGTTTTGGAGTTGACTAGTTCTTCTTAATATTTGCATTATTCACAAGCTTGTTCACTCCAACCCTGACTCATTTTATCATTTACATATTTATATTTAGGACCAGAAGTTGACTCACCCGACGGCAAACATAAAAATCGATCCTTTCCAGCGACAGCTGCTAAAAATTCAACCGCCTCCTTCTCCTCTGCTTACTTTTCATCCTCTTCTTCCATGTCTTCTTCGATCTCTTCTGCTGTTTATCCCTTGAATCATGTTACCGTGGGAATGGGAATGGTCTCTGTAGGCACTCAGACGTCTCTGAGTCCAACGGTGGAGTCAATGTCACCTCTTGGATCAACTATGTTGTTCACTTCAAGCGGCTACAGATAAAGTGAGTGAGGCCACTACTGTCTGACAAAAGTGTTGAGAGATTGAGAGAGAAAGAAATTGGAGGATTTAAGTGTACATGTACAGCTGGTACATTTTGGAGGCATGAAATTTGGCGAATTTGTGGCCATCTGCTATTGAGCATGTGTACAATAGTTTAAAATGGTGGATTTTAATTATTTTGGCAAATTGTGATGCATATATAGAGATAGAGATTAAAATTAGAGAGAGGTACTGTATGAGTGTTTGTATGTGGGAAAATAATTGAAAGTGCTGGGAGATTGAGAGGGAAAGAAAGGGAGAGAGAGAGAGGGAGAAAGAAAGGGAGAAGTCCTCACACGAGGGAAAGCAGCTGTACTGTGAATTGAAGGATACAAAGGGACAGAGAGTTTGTGTACGATATATTGAGGCATTATTATGATTTGGTAAAGTGTGCGCATGTGAAGTACAAGGAGAAAGATGTATATTTTAAGATTAATCTTTTTTATAATTTTTGTTTTCTCTAGGGAAATGGAGCCTCCACTTGCCTCAGAGACTTAATGTTATAAATATTATTCTTTTTTAATGGAAACACTTGTGTATAAAAATTACAATAGTGATATGTTACTGAACAAATCAATTGTACATGTATTCATTTCCCTTTTCTCTTGATCTTTTTTAAAACTTTTATCTCTATGACTATTATATACTCTTCATGAATGACAATATGAAGGATAAAACACTGTTCTTTATAATCTCTTTCCAACTCACTGTATGAGTGACTCAATGTGTATAATCATTACTACTTTTAAATATTGATTTTTTTTATAAATTCATTTTCATTAAATTTTCATTATTTCTATTATGATGATACGTTATAAATAAGCTATGTGATAATATCTCTGCTATTATTATCATCGTTGCTGTGATGATCATTATGATTGTCATAGTCCGGTGATTGAGGGGAATGTGTTTGTAACTTGTTCAAATCTTTCTCATCAAGTCCCAGTTTTGATAGCTCTTGGTCTAAGAATTCAATCCTCTCTCTCTCTTGTTTCAAGTGTTCTTCCAGTAGGCTGATGTCTGCCTTCAAATTGTCGGCTTTTAAGTCCCTGTGCCAAAATTCCAACCAAGCTATTTCAAACTTTTCCTAAAATGAAAGATTGGACATAAGAAACTGATAAAATTTTATTTTTAGAAATACTTGAGCTGCATGATTCCAAATCAAAATTAGAATTTTTAAAGTTGCTCCAAAATTGGGCCAAATTAAGTCCCTGTACTATAGTACAGGGTCTTTGGCCAAATTTTGCCAAAAATGAAAAGGAGAGAATTCTTCATTTTTATAATCTTTCCTGATACATATACACGTTCTTATGTTGTGTAGAAAGTTTGAGCTGATTCCGATCACATTTGAATTTTTTATGAATTTTTAAAGTTGCTCCAAAATCGGGCCAAAGTCCCTGTACTATAGTACAGGGTCGTTGGTCAAATTTTGCCAAAAATAAAAAGTAGAAAATTCTTCATTTTTATAATTTTTCCTGATACATATACATGTCCTTATGTTGTGTAGAAAGTTTAAGCTGATTTCGATCACATTTGGATTCGAAAGTTCACTTAGGAATCAGGCAAAAGACAATATTTTGCTATAAATGAACAAAAGCTCTTACAAAGGTCCATTTTTGGTCCTTTGATAATTCAGGATAATTTATTTCAATAGCTTTCCTCTTTCTCCAGAGCTCAAACTGGTCATAAGTTAATTGACCTAACAATCAAAGAGGAGCAATCACATTATAATCATCAGTCAAAGAATAGGTTTCACATATTAATTTAATTCAGTGACTTACTTCCAACACCTGCTAAAATACCGCCAAAACCATGCAATAAAACAGAGGCTATGCTTCTCCCTAATAATAATAATAATAATAATAATAATAATAATAATAATAATAATAATAATAATAATAATAATAATAATAATAGTATAATTACTTGACACAGCAGCTAATATTATTCCAACAGTACAGCCACTAGCTGCATTAACTGCATAACCCAATGTCCTTTCATTCACTATATCATTTTGTTGCTCACCAGCATCTCTAATATCATCTACCAGTTTTAATAAACCAAATCGAATACCTACAAGTATAAAAACACAAAATATATCATTCTTATATCGTGTTAGCAGCTTGTTTAGTGTCAAAAAAACAATCAGTTACAATGTTACGACAAGAAATAATTCGACACTGAACTTCTTTGTCTATACCTAAAAACGATGCCGTTGCAAATGCAAAATTAGCTCCGACTGATAATGGATAGATGTACAAAGGTTTATTCCTGTACCATCCGATGGCTAGGCCTACTCCTGAGCCGAGGAAGGCTGCACAAGCCACGCCTTTAGCTACAGGCTGCCATTTCTCCTTATCCAGTGGAAGAGGGTGCTCTTTCAAGTGAGAATAAAGTTTACCACTAGCAGAGCCGAGTATTCCTAAAGGACTCTTAAAATTACTTGAAAAATTTCACAAGTGTTTCTTACCAGCAAGAATAAAACCTCTCCATTTTATTTTCATTACCGTATTTAGATCTAAATTTATTTATGGCTCACTCATTTTAATTTTTTCCTTCAATTTGCAATCCTTTAAATTAGAAAGCTTATTGTTTTCAAGATGGAAGGTGCCAGGAGAGTTTACTTACACAGAGTTGCGTTGGAGTCTCCTCACACTAAAAACAAGATTAAAGCGGTCCAAGGTCTAGCTGAGGTAAGGCCCCCTTCATTCTCCAAGTCCTTAAACCTTTTCCACAGAAAACAAGAACTCCTTTCACTCATATTAGACACAGATGGGACGCAAGGATATTTAAGTGAGCAGTTGTGGTTCTGTATGCATCAATATTCATATGTTTCTTGTAGAGGTGTAAAACTGGTCACTATCGCTGGTCTAGGATTGACGCTTCTGACCATGTACAGAATGGCGAGTGGTGAAATGTCAAAGAGCATCATATGATAATAATAATAAATAATAATAATTAAAAAAAATACCCGGACTCAAATAATAGTATTTTAATTATAAAACTATAATAATTATATGCAAGCAAAATTGAATAGTGAGACAATATAGTAGTAGTAGTGTATATTATCAATAGCAATTATTTCAAATAAAAGATAAATCAAGAGCAACAGCCAAACCTACGTCTCCCTTTACTCATCTGTGACACGACCGTCCACTGATTGAGGGACTGAGAGAACTCCTCCACCGTAACACAGTATTCAGTTCCTGTGTAGCCTCCTAAAGCATACATCTTATTACCTACTACAGCAACCCCCACTCCACTGCGTGCGTCTATCATTCTATTCACTGATGTCCATTTATTCGTGTTTGGGTCATAAGAATCAACCATAGCGAGACTACGGGAGCAGTAACACCCTCCAACTACATATAGAGTCTCGCCAAGGACCCCGGCACTGGACATACAGCGTGGAGACCCCATCTCCGCTATGAGCGTCCATTTATCAGTCAAAGGGTCGTATACTTCACATGAAGAGAGGTCAGAGGCCCCGTCATAGCCTCCAAATATGTACAACTTGTCATTGAGGACGGCAGTGGCTGACATGCTGCGGGAAATGTTCATCTCACTCACGTAAGACCAGCTGTCGGACTCCGGATTGTACTTCTCGACACTTTTGAGACAGCTGGAGTAGCCATTATAACCGCCCACGGCATACAAGACACCATTTACTACAGCACCTGATACACTGCTTCTCTCTTGATTAAGGTCTCCTACTCTCGTCCACTTATCAAGGTTCGGATCGTAGCGTTCAGCCAGTCGGAGTGCATCACGCCCGTCAGAGCCACCCATCACATAGATCAAGTTATCTATAATGCCAAGACCTACTCCTCGTCTAGCTATATGAACCGAAGCCAACTCCCTCCAGGTATTCTTTAACGGGTCGTACTCCTCAACAGTGTTTACTGTTGTCCTAGGGAAAGTCTCTCCACCCACCATGTATATAAGCGAATGGCGAGTGGATTGACGTGGGTGGTATGGATCGAAATCAGTCGTTTGAGAGGATAGAAAACCATTGAGTTGACTAGCTATTAGAGAATGCAATGGATCGTTAGGAGGGAATACACCATTGAGGACTTTCTCTTGTAATATAGATTGAGATATTAGCGGCAGTTTGATGTACTGTATCAAGGACGGCAGGTGCCTTACTCTTTCTGGCCTGTCGTGACCGTACCAGAGTAACACGGAGTCCAATATGTCGACTTCTGTTTGTATCTGTATGTCACCAGACTGTATCAGGGTTTGCAAATGAATTGAGGAGAGGCTAAGGAATTCCTCGGATTCCATCACTTCGCGAAAATGCTCCAATGCATATTTCCAGCTGGCTTCTGCTAGCGAGGAGCAACCGTGAATATCGGCAAATTGGTACATACCGAGACAATTCTCTGGATCGAGACGTGCCAACAGGAAATCAGAGCAAGCCTCTACTACTGACATTATCCCTAGCAGAGATGCAGCGTGGAGGAGTGCCTGCACGTTGGACTCTGTTATTACGAGGCTTGAGGAATAAAGGAAGCTAATGAGTGACTCAAGAGGAAGTGGATCGACGTCTTTAAGACTGATACGTGTCTGAGTACTCTCTTTAAGGTCATTCTTGAACATGGCAGAGAAGTACGGACTCCCGGCGGCCAGGACTATGCGGTGAGCAGGGAATTCTTGCTCGTTAATGACTAACGTTACATCACAGAAACGTCTCTCGTGGTAAAGATCTTGTAAACTCTGGAGGATGTGGCCAGGATGATTGACTGACTGGAAATAGAATGGGCTTGCAGATATGGTGCTGCTGCCATTTGTAGTGACTGTGGAGGAAAATAAAATAAGTTATTATGTCAATGGTAATAAAGAGAAAAAGAAATTACCTGCCATTTGCAACCCTGATCAAAAACCTGATGCTGAGTGTGTGATGATGATTATGATAGTCTGGATAATCACTCCAATATTTTTTTACAAACCACACCCATTTCAGCTGGAGACACGCCCTCTTAATTAAGAAGGTGGTGTTTCCGTATAGAAAATAGCCTACTGAGTTTCTGTGTCTTCCCTCTCTTGCTTGCTTTTTCTCCCTTCTCTGTAGTTCCAAATCTTTGATATCACCATGGGCAATATTCTTGGTCTTTTCAAGGGCCTGTTCGGCAAGAAAGAGATGAGAATACTTATGGTGGGTCTTGATGCCGCCGGAAAGACCACCATCTTGTACAAGCTCAAATTGGGCGAGATCGTCACAACTATCCCAACAATAGGCAAGTTTTGCGTATAAAATCATAATATCTATAATGATAAAACAAAGAGCATTAACCTAACAACCAATTGCTTCTTTTAAATCAACCTTATTATTGTCATTCTTTAGGGTTTAATGTAGAAACAGTTGAGTACAAGAACATTAGCTTCACTGTTTGGGACGTAGGTGGTCAGGACAAGATCAGACCTTTGTGGAGGCACTACTTTCAAAATACACAAGGCAAGACAATCGTTACTATTTGTTTTGTATTGTCTTTGGGGCGAGCCAACACTTTTGCATGTTTGTAGTAATTTCAAAGCTTAGTTTCTTTGTCCATGATGTGTACAAAACGAAAGGTTACCTGCATAAGCTGCTTCACTGGTTCATTAATGGTTATTTAACCTCCATTTGTTTATTAAAAGCATTGTGTACATATGTCAATGGTCCACCAAGAGTATACATGTACATATACTTTTTTGATGTTCACCTTTGGTTATGCATAATTTCCCCAAGAGGGAGCGAGAGCAGTGTGTGGCATGCAATACAAAGTGTTTGATCGATAATTGGTTGCAGGAAGCAAATCTAACACTGTCTCTTCGTTGCCGTGTTGCACCTTGTGGTTGTCTAGAATGTTCAAAGCCGATCTTGCTATATCCCTATTAGTTACATGCATTGTCTAAGCAGCAGTGGGTTGCTGTTTTTATATAAGTATAATGACAGATTATGTTTTATTCATTTATAACTCATTGTAGGCCTCATTTTTGTTGTGGACAGTAATGACAGAGAGAGAATAGGAGAAGCTAAAGAAGAGCTCTCCAGGATGCTAAACGAGGATGAGCTAAGGGACGCTCTCCTTCTTGTGTTTGCCAATAAACAGGTGAAGCCTTTCATGAAATTTTTTCGTTTGATTGCTAGAATATGGAATTGTAATTTTTGTTGTATAGGATTTGCCTAATGCGATGAATGCAGCTGAAATAACGGATAAGTTAGGTCTACATAATCTTCGCCAGAGGGACTGGTATATTCAAGCAACGTGCGCAACAAGTGGAGATGGGCTCTATGAGGGCTTAGATTGGCTGACCGGCCAGTTGAAGAAGTCAAGCAAGTAGAGATAAGGCTTAGTTTATTTTGACTTAGCAGTTTTGTCAAAGACATATTGTTACCCATGCATTTATACACACACTCTCATTCGCTTTATTATTATTATTATTATTATTATTATTATTATTATTATTATTATTATTATTATTATTGTGTTATTATTGCAAAAAAAATTACTACCACATTGTCATTATTATATTATATAATTTGTACATTTTGATTTAAGCAGCTGTCTTTTATTGATAATAATTATTCATTTACTGGTTATAATAAGTAACCACGAAAACGGAAAGAATACGGTGAAATAATTAACAGATTACGGAGAGTATACGTGGCAGTTGTTACGAGTACGGGTTTGACATCACCTGGTTTGAGGTCGGCCATATTGACACAGACAGCTTTTGTGGGAGGACAGGAAGTGGGCTCCAGATAAAGAAAGAGGGTGAAACCGGACTGAACAGTGATATCTTCTGACATAGACTTCTTTTTAGACCTGACCAACTCAACATGGGCGGTTTTATGAGTCTTTTCAAGGGCCTGTTCGGCAAGAAAGAGATGAGAATACTTATGGTGGGTCTTGATGCCGCCGGAAAGACCACCATCTTGTACAAGCTCAAATTGGGCGAGATCGTCACAACTATCCCAACAATAGGCAAGTTTGTGCATAAAACAAAGAGCATTAACCTAAAAACCAATTGCTTCTTTTTAAGTCAACCTTATTATTGTCATTCTTAGGTTTTAATGTAGAAACAGTTGAGTACAAGAACATTAGCTTCACTGTTTGGGACGTAGGTGGTCAGGACAAGATCAGACCTTTATGGAGGCACTACTTCCAAAATACACAAGGCAAGAGAACACGACGACCATCTTTTGTCGTGTGACGACCATTTTAATATTTTCTTTATTTTTAGGACTCATCTTTGTCGTAGATAGTAACGATAGAGAGAGAGCTACCGAAGCAAAGGAAGAACTCGCTCGTATGCTAAACGAAGACGAGCTTAGAGACGCATGTCTTCTTGTTTTTGCCAACAAACAAGTAAGAAAACCTTTTTGTAGATTTAACATGCATGTGTACATGTACTTTTAACGACCATTTTTGTATAATTTTTAATATGAATGAATTATGAAAATACGATAATAATAACAGTACAAAATACAAATGATACAAAGTGCGAATGATATAAATTTTATGTATTTTTATAATAATTATGACTTATATCATAGGATTTGCCAAATGCGATGAATGCTGCCGAAGTTACAGATAAGCTAGGCCTTCACTCTCTCCGTCAGAGAAACTGGTACATTCAAGCAACATGTGCAACGAGTGGAGACGGTCTCTATGAAGGCTTAGATTGGCTCACAAACGAGTTGAAAAACATAAAGAATTAATACGAGAACACGACTATAGAGCTACAATGTCTAGAGAGCTTTCAATGCATTATTAATAATGGATGTTCTAATAATTATTAATATTAATAAGTAATAATAATAATAATAATAGCTTAATATTGGCTTCAAGATATCATTTTTGTTCTTTTTGTACACTTTGATTTTGTTGTGCTAATAATTATTGTTAAAATAAAATTTTTTACATAATCAAAAACAGTTATCAGTATACGGGGGTGGGCGGAGAAGGGCGTGGTAAACTCATTTGCAAATTTTCATTTTTGCATATGACAGGGAGCCATAATAGAGGGGGAAAGAGAAACAAAGTACAAGAGAATGTCAAAGGTAATCCCTTTCTCTTATGTCATTGTTTATAATCCTATTCCTCTAGATCACGGGTGCCTCACGTGTAGTGGCATACCTTCCTAGCTTAAGAACCTTTCTTCATCGATTAAGAGCGACCACCAAAACTCCCTCAAGATTAGCTCCTACTTTACTGACAGAGACGCCTGCTTTTGTCGTCCCAACTTTAAATACAGCTGCTCAAGGGCGTATGGGGAGAATACAGGCTCACCAAGTCTCTGGTAAAGGAAGAATAGTGATATACATGTACATATATGTCAGTATACATGTAATCAAGTTATCATGGTGATGATAGTAAATAGATGTACTATTGTTCAAGCCTAATTGTTACACTATTGTTTGTTAAGTGGAACCGGTAGAGGCAATACAGTGCTAAAACAATAATCATTTGTTGTAATTGAGCAAGCAACACAAAGGACTCCATAAAGAATCAACATACACTCACTGTGGATATACACACTGTGTTACATTTTCATGTTGATTATATTACTCTAACATAAAAGTAATGCCTATGTTTATGGCATAAGTTTACTTTCATTATGTCACATAAACTAACATATTGTACATGTAGGTGTGTGCATGCATACATGCACCTGTACTTTCCTGAGTATAAGTCTTGTCAACATACTCTTGGTCTTGTTGAGTCCAAAGAAGTCAAATTCAAAGCTTTTTGTGTGTTCTTTCTAAACAGATGCCCTTGAAGAGGACGAAGCAATGGCAAGACTTGGTCTACAGCCGGGACTAATACTACCAGGTGCTACTGGACTAGTCATAGAAGAGACAGAGAAAGATGAAGGACTGGCAGAGGATGAAGAGGCAGACAGTTCGGTCAGAGAAACCTCGACGTCACTGGTTTCCAGTGAAAACGTTGAGTGTTGTCTCCAGGAGTGCCCGTCTTTCCTTCACGACGAACTGATGCTCTTATTTCCGGACGTGTCACTAAGTGTAGGGGAGCTAAGGATACTGACACTCTGCGAGAGAACTCACCACGACATGACTGGATGGTCACATCTAATTGAAGAAGAGAGAGAGGATCTCTTAGGACATGTAAGAAAGTGCACTTTCTTCAAGTATTACACATAACTACATGTATGTACATGTATATTCTGTATTATTTATTCTTGGCTTCTTTTTTTGACAGTTCATTGATAGTGCTAAGGAGATATGCAGTCGACTAATAAGCGAAGGATACTGGGCAGATTTTATAGATCCATCATCAGGAAGAGCAGTAAGCGGGAGAGAGAGAGAGACAGAGAAAGAGAGAGACAGAGAGAGAGAGACAGAGACAGACAGAGAGTAGTGTGACAATGTACTATTAATGAACTACCTTTCTCCTACAGTTCTATGGTCCATATACTCCGCATACATTTTACGAGACTGATGAGAGATTCAGGTATCTTGGATTTGACATATTAGACTTAGGATGCTGCAAATGCATCACTCACCCCTCGTGGGGCTCACACACGTTCGTGGGAACAATATTTACTAGTGCACCCGTCAACGCACCACCTCTGGAACTCATATTAAAGTTATAATAAGAATTATTAATAGTAATAATAATAATAATAAAATTGAATATATTATTGATTAGTTATATTAACAAAATTAATAATAATTATTATTCCTATAACTCCTTTGACTGGATGAGTCCTAGATTTACACGAAACAACCTCAGTGATTGATCAGTACTGCATGTGGCCAGTAAGCAATCGTCTTCACTTCCACCTGGTTGCCATTGGATACGTCTCACTGTGGAGGTGTGGCACATACTGCAGCAATTGATTAAGGAAAAATTTGAAATTAAAAAAAAGATCATTGTTGATCAGACACGATCTGTGAATAAATTCTATCATCAAGGAAACACGTACAATGTATTATTAATTATTATCGGATACAATGGGTGGAGTTTTGCTAACTCTGACCACGCCCCATTCTCAATAGAAAATGACAGCAATGACAGACTACCAGTCTCTAAACCAGCAGCTAATACATACCTATCACATGACAATCACATGATAAAGTACACACGCATACAAAACATACTTTCCTTTTTGATATGAAAAAGGTGCAAAGTCAATGGCAGTCACCGACTGAGACAACTCAAAAGGTTTGGCCGCTAGTGTCCAACCGCCCCCACAATTAATTGGATTATCTAACACAGAATGACCGTCACTCCATATACAAACCTAATGCATAATGAGAAATTAAATGACATTTTGTTATTATTATCAACTAAAGACAGGGCTTCTTGGTTTGTATGTATAGTTACACCTTTCTGTCCCGAGAGGCGGTTGCAAAACAGACATCATCATGACTCCAGCTGCAACTCCAAATGATGCGAGTGTGTGCCTTCGTATTCTTATCCATAACTGACACACAGTTCACACTTAGCCTCTCATCACTAGTAGCCCCACCTACCATCAATAACAAAAATAAACAACAAATACCTATTATTATCATCTGTGTTTCTATACTCTTGGATATACCCGTGCTTGCCTAACAACTATGGCATGTACTATGAAAATTTGAATGTCTGAATAATCATTTCTATTGTCTTCATGTCTTGTCTGAATCATAGATATTATAGACTATGTAACGTAACCTATATAGGTTACGTAGTCTATAATATCTATGTCTGAATAATTATAATATCTATGTAATTATAATAAGGCAAGCTCCTCCCAGAGAGGGTGTGGCTAAACTTTCATTAAATCATTTTAAGTTTAACTTTTTAAGACAAGAAGGACATGTTGGATTTTTCTTCTACCTCTAAGCAATCATAATATGGCACAAATACTGTTGCCTAGATTGACTGAGAGTTTAGGACCTTTCAGACTACCAATCTGCCGCTCCAATACTTAGTCTGAGTCGAGGTCTGGGTCCAGCTCTTCAAAATTGACTCAGGACATAGAATAAAAAACTTGAGCGGCCGACAATAGAGAGGTAAAGAATTCTAGACAACTCAGCTTCGATCTACTGGAAAAGAGTCTCACTTACCTCCATAGTACTAGTGCTTATTGCTGGGCATTTTCTCAAGAGTTTGAAGCCTTCCTGTACCAAGATATCCCCGAGACAGTATTAAATCTAAAGCTCTCGAGACCTTTTCTAACTAAAGGCTAAGCGAAGGGGCCTTGAGAGACTAAGAAAAGCTTTAAACTAAGGCCTATGGAAGCACTCAGCAGTAGAAAGAGAAAAAAAGATGGACGATGAATAAATTTTTAATGAATTAGCACTAATATGGCAGTACAAGGCATTTACACAGTGTATAATGCAGTATTGTAGTGACTGTTAGTATGTGTAGCCGGAAAAATCACGTGCTGTTGCCCGGCGGTCCGGGTAGCCTAGTGGTTGAGGGGATGGGCCCAGACCTTGAGGCAAGAAGGTCCGGGTTCGAATCCCCGAAACCGCATTTGTAGAATTTCTTGTAGGTTCTTTAGATAGGTTATAAGCCGTGGCTGGCTTCAGTGGCA